AGGTAGGTAGGTAGGTAGGTAGGTAGGTAGGTAGGTAGGTAGGTAGGTAGGTAGGTAGGTAGGTAGGTAGGTAGGTACTCCGTAGATAGGTACGGACTTGAGTTTCCCTACCCTGCAGCCTGCATGCATATTAGGTACAGGTTGACCGCCTCACCTCGCCTCGCTTGATAGGTGAGGTGCCTCTCGCGCCAGCGACATATATAGCCGAGTAACGAGGATTAGTGTTAATACCAGTACCAATATCAGCACCAGCACCAGTACGGAGTATGGAGGACGGACGACGGACGACGGACGACTGTGTGAAGCACATACTGTATGTACCTAGGTAGGCTGAGGCTGTGTCGTGCGCTCTCGTCAAGGTCAGCTGTCAAGCGACCTTTACCGTTGATGGCTACCGTCAAGCTTAACTGTCAAGGTCAACTTTACCGTTTACCTCTACTGTCAAGCGACCTTTACCGTCGAGGTCAACTGTTAAGGTCAACTTTACCATCAAGTTTAACTGTCAAGCGACCTTTACCGTCAAGCTCTACCGTCAAGCTCAACTTTACCGTTTACCTCTCCCGTCAAGCTCAACTTTGCCGTCGAGCTTAACTGTCAAGGTGACCTCTGCCATCAAGCCTAACTGTCAAGGTCGACTTTACCGTTTACCTCTACTGTCAAGCGACCTTTACCGTCAAGCTTAACTGTCAAGCGACCTTTACCGTTTACCTCTACCGTCAAGCCTAACTGTCAAGCTTAACTGTTGACCTCTACCCTACCTTTACTGTTAACCCCGCTTGAACGGCGGCGTCGTCGTCCTCGCCGTCTTGTAGGCGGCCTAGGCCGGCTTGGCCTGGCCTGGCCTGTTGAACTTCTACTCTATGGCTAGACCCCGACAGCTACACAGAGAGTGGCATTGATTCCGTCGGAGTATGTGGTATGTGTACTGGGCAGACTTCCTCGGGATGGCTTAGGGATGGCTGTGCTTCGCTGTCGCTGTCGCTCTGGCTCTCGCCTTCGGGGGGAAAAACTGCAAGGACGGGGACGCCTCATATCACATAATTGCCGTTTGAATGATAGCCGACTGGCAAAGGATGCATTTAAAGAGTTTCTGAATATGTTCACGGAGACAGAGACAGAGACGGAGACAGAGACAGAGACAGAGACAGAGACAGAGACAGAGACAGAGACAGAGACAGAGACAGAGACAGAGACAGAGACAGACAGACCGGTATGATCATTTAAAATAAGTCTATATCATGGATTCGTAGGCATGATGAAAATCCAGTATCTAGAAGCTGAAAATCCCACTCCGCCGTTTCCCAATGGGATATACGACCAAGGAGCTCAAATACAAGCCGACGCTAATGCCAATGGACAACTGCACCATGCCGAAGCCGACGTTGAAAATGGTGTCGGAATAGACGGAGCCACTGCCGTCGTCCTGGGCGGCCAAAAAGCCAGCGGTGCCGTTGCTGATGACGCCGTCGACGGTGGAATTGCCGGTGATTTCGTTGGCCGTGGTGACGCCGGCCACGAGACTCCCGCTGGCTGCCAGGCCGCTCGGCACCTGGACGAAGATGGAGGGCAGCATGGCCGCGGCAGCCAGGCCGTGGAAGAAGCGACTGTACAGGTTGGCCATGCAGCCGATGACGAAGGCGCCGATGGCGTTGGCCACCTGCGTGTTGTTGGCGAGGCGGGTCGAGATCCAGAAGGTGGCTTGGTGTCCGCAGAAGGCGATGAGTGTCATGATGGGCATTTGGTGCCACTTGGCTTGGTTGATGAAGGCCAGACACATGGCGAAGATGGGCACCCAGATGAACTTGACGTAGACGAGCTTGTAGTCCAGATTGTTCGAGTTCCACCACCAGGGCATCTCGCATGTCACGTCGCTCTGGGCGCCGGGGTAGATGAGACCTAGAGACATTGTTTGTTAGCTGTGGTTGACGTAGTCACAGAGAGGACAGAACCAGAATCGGAATTTTGAGAGCAATCAAACGGAGGGAGGACAAAGAGAGAGAGAGAAGTGTGCCACTTACCCATGATGACGGAGCCGACTAGGATCCCAAAGCCCAGAAACAGTGAATATATAATGGCGTAGACCATCCTCACGGAGCCAGAGACCAGGTTCTTGCTCTGGAGCTCCAGCGCGGCACACAGCACCGTGTATCCCGGCAGAATCAGCGCGATGCTGCTCTGGGCCATGGCGGAGAAGCAGAAGATGGGACTGCCGTTGTGGTAGATGGAACCGAGGCCACGGGCCGCCAGGGAGATGAGCACGGTCGACAAAACCTCAAAGACATGGGCGAACTGGGTGGAGCGAGGGACCACGACCTGCTGCAAGAAGCCCAAGAGGCAGCCGAGCACGAAGCAGGGGGCGAAGTCGATGGGTCGAGCGGAGAAGGCGAAGGGGCCGACCGCGATGGCGGCGACGCCGTAGGCCAGAATGACCCAGTGCAGTTTGTTGCGCGGCGGGCTCTTCAGGATGTTGTCGAGCTCGTCGGTGCCCTCTTCGGCAGTCAGCTTGCCGTGGATCACGCACTTGTACACCGCGTGCACGTCCTTGAATTTGCCCAGGTCGACGTTCTGCGACTCGCGCACCAGCGTCACCTCGGTGCTCATGGTCAGCTTGTCGTTGATCGAGACGATCATCGACCCGGGCAGATACAGGAAGTCTCCGTCGATGCTGACCGCCCGCGCCGATGTCTTCATGTACTCTTCCAGTCGGTGCGTCGGCGCCCCGACCGCCATCAGCGCCCGCGCCAGTTTCTTCAGGTACTTGCGGCACGCAATGATCTCGGCCACGTCCTGTATCACCCTCTCCTCTTCGGCTCTGAGGTGCTCGGCTTTGAGGTGTTCGGCTTTTTGGTGGAAGTGCTGACGATTCCCGTCGTTAGTTGAACATCTTCTCATGGAAAACAAAACAGGAGACGACAGATGACCCAGAGAGCAGGGAAAAGAAAAGGAACAGTGAGTTGTTGGTGCCGCTGTGTATGATTTGGACTTACATTAGCAGGATGCTTGATCATGTCCACGGCCGTCGCGATCATGCTGTTCGACGACTTGGGCCGCCGCAGCGGCGGGCGAGGCGTGTATTTACTGCTCCCCGGCGCGGCAAACGCCTCGGCCGTGCTCGATGCTTGGGATAGTAGCGCCGAAATTGACCCTGTCGACTGGTTCCCCGGCGATTTGTCGTACCACTTGGGTCTCTTGGATGGCGTCGCCCTGCCCGAGGACCCGGCCGACGAGTCGTGCGCTTCCGAAGTGTTGCGAGAGTGACCGTACAGGTGTTGATTGTGGTGGTGGAATTGCTGCTGCGGCTGACCGCCATCCCTGGGCCGATACGGGTTCTGCGCAAGGTCGTCGTGGTATCGCGGTTGGGTGGTGTTGTCGCGTTGGAGGTTGGCGAGTTTCGATGATAGGATCGCGCCGAATACGCCCGGTCGGTACTCGTCCGGGGGCGGCACATAATCCAGGTCGTGCACATGCTTGTCGGCGGCGGGAGTCTCTGTACCTGATCTATGGAACGGTCAGCAACACAGTTGAGAATCGACGTTGACAAGGGAAGGCTGAGGGCTCCCGGGGGGGGCAAGTCACGTGATATGTCAGCCTTGCAGGGCGACGGGGGACATGAACTTGCCTTGGCTGATCCTGCCATCTAGAGTGGTTGTGGGCGCTGGTCAAGGTCCTGATAAGCCGTCTGGCTTCTTCCAAGTTTTCGTTGTCCCGTTGCAGTGGCTTTCCCTTCTCCTCGTCGCTGTCATCGTCGGTGGTCTCATCGTGCAGCTGATAATGCCGTCTCTCCTTATCTAACGGCTCGAGCGGGATGTCTTCGACATTGACTAGCCAGTCTCGTAGTGGCTTGGTCGGCGGGGACGAGTTTGGTGATGCATATGCCTGCTGTTGGTGCGGCGGTGGCACAAGAGACGCGGACCCGGTCGAGCTTGGCCGGGGCCCGGCACTGAGTCCCTGTGTCTTGTTGCCCGGAGTAGGGTTGCTGAGCCGGTTTGCCAATCGACTGGCACGGTCTTGGGCATGAGCGGCCGCAGCACTCGTCCGGCCAGTCCAGTCAGCGGGTGCGAGGAGATTGTCTGCCACGTCCTCAGATGAAGGAACCCTGATCTCGGGGATTGTCCTTCTCGTCTCGATCGCCTCGGGTGAGTGTACCTCGACAAACCCATCGTCCTCTTCATCATCCCCTGTTACAGAAAACTTGACTTTGTGCGCCGGCCGTGTTCCACTCTTCCCGCCTCGTACGCTGTGAGCTCGACTCGGGTTGGTGCTGGATTCGTTGCTGCTGTTTTGAGACCCGGGCAAATGCTGGGACGCCCTGTCCGTCATGACTTCATCAAGACTCGTTTCCAAGAGATAAGAATGGTAGAATGCCGGTCATCGAAGACTTGAGAGCGGAATCGAGACGCGTTTGAGATGTGCAGGGTCGGTTTCGACTACGCCATCGTGTGTAACACTGCAAGATAGTTCCTACAAAGAGTGCTTGGCCTTGTCGACAAAATTTCGACAGAACCGTGGTATCTGGACAACACTAGAGACTGGTGGCAAGTAGGGTCAGACCTGTGACCAGGCGCTCAGAGAGCAGGACACTGCTCTGAGAGAACGAAAGGGGAGAGTGACTGAAGAAGAGAACCAAATCTGTATCACAGAGTTGGACTGGGGCAGGGATGGGATTGGAATCATCGAGGAGCACCCCAGGCGGAAATCTGATTAGTACAGGGACTTAGGAAAAAAGGGATTAATGGGGACCACGATGACTTCACAGCAGCGGAGAGAGAGTCCACGCGTCTGGTCTGATAACAAAACATGTCTCGTATGTGGTGGAGGCGTAGGACTCAAGCGGAGAGCAATCGTATGTCAAAGGCGAAAGAGCTACGTATAGCCCACGGTAGTGTACAGCATTATCGACCGTGCTTCATAATAGCCAACTCGCCAGACAACGCTCGAGGTCTGGGTTCCATGTGCACTGTGCACTGCACAAGCAAGTTGGTGGGAGCAAAAAGTGGAACCGAGAAAATTCGATAGCGGTCGAGGTGGTGTCATTTATCGTCCGCCGATCGGGAGAGGCGGACTACAAATAGAAGGCTCCAGCCACAGCCGCAGCCTTGGGCGGAAGGGGGAAGGACCTGGCGATCAGTTGGACGACATGTGTATCGACACGAACGTGAAGAGGTGGGTTCGGGGTTTCAGAACCGAGGAATCCTTGCACAGGCAAAAGTCGGCACGATGGTTGACAAAGCCATTGACCCAGACACACTGCACAGTGTAGGCAACCACCATCATGGGAATGGCGTGTGCGCGAGAATTTGATCTTTTTCTTCCTCTCTCCTCTTTTCTTTTTCCGTTGGGAATCGATCGAGATGTGGCGAGCGAAGCCTGGTGGTCAGGAGAGTGCCACCGGACCAGGCACCTCCGGTTTTTCTTAACGGTAGGCTTCGGCTGGCGTCCCACTCGGTTCAGCCTCGGTGTCGATTCGAGGCGTGCACGGTGCGCCATCAGCCCAATATTCGACTCTTGTTGGTGCTGCTAGCAATGCTAGTCAATAGGCGAAAAGAGATGGGGGTCAAGCCTTTCCCTCTTCCGGCAGTTCCGGGACTCCTTGGCCCACTCGAACCCCTCGGCTCACAGCCTGCCCCTCCTGCCTGCAACACATCGCTTCAGGAGGGGCGCGCGGCGGCCTTTAGTTTCCGTCTAACGGCTGAGGGTCGACATGTGCTTCATCAGTTGATGTTGATGGAAGCATATATTCAGGAGGAGATCTCCCTTTCTGCTCCGTTCCCCATTTTCGCTGTCTCCTGGAGTGGAATCTCCTCCGACGTTCTAGACCTCTCGCCCGAGCCGAGAGATCGGTACAAGACACGCCTGTCGCCTCTGCCTAACAACGTTCATATGCGCACCTGCTCGCTGAGACTTACCTATAGTCACATCACATGGAATCCCTGTGATTGTGATCTGCCATGATTTGGATTTTTCGAAATGTGACAGCTTTCGGAGATGTGCTGCCGTATTACAACCACAAAAGAACTCGTGTGCCCCAGTTTGCATTCTGGCAACAATCTCATGCAACTGAGTTCTCTTCATGTTGGTGAGGTCATTCATTGCATGGAATGATGACGTTGCCTGAAAGTATACAAGGGAATAATGGCGTTTCCGAGTCTGAGAGATGCGGCCCAGTTGCGCCTTCACCTTTAGATCGCAAGTGATCTGGACCTCCTGGCATATAACACAAGGTAGTGTTCAGATTGAATCGAAAACGACATAGATCCCAGGTAGGGAGGGGTTCACGGAGATTTAAGCGTTCTGGGCTGTCTGTTCCCCTCTGGACAACATGTGCCTTTGACATTTACAACGCGCACTTCTCAAAACAGCATGCAGCTTGTATCCTCCTCGCAACACGCCGTCCCCGGTAAGTGATTTTGTCTGCATGGTACGAATAAAGTGGTGAATGAACAAGATGGGCGAGGACATGTCTCCTCTGATCGTCTGGTCCAAATCAGACCGGGGTGAGCGGATACTGCTTGTTGACTTCTCACCCTGTTTGCAACCCGACCGTGGTGATCTCTGAATTGCGTACTTGTTGGTGTAGGAGGGGTCAAACCTAATCATCTGGGTCCCGCCGTCAGGATTCGATCCCTCCAAAAGAGCTGAAAGATTGCCTCCCTTTGACTTTCCAGGTCGACCACCAATCTTGGTCGACGCCGTGGGGTCCTGAAATGTTGAAGAGCACGGCGTGGAGGAAAATAAATCCACCGGCCATCCATGCCTCCTCAGTCAGGGGAGTTGCCTGCGGTCACTGGAGGTCCATGCAGTATACCAATTTCAACCACGTGGTAGGTTCCTTTATGCTCTCCCCTTCACTTTGTTTGACGGCCAGTTCCGTGACACGGAGCTACCTGGACCACTGCATGCAGCACCCTTTGAAATGAGGGCTTGCTCAACGGTTCATCAACAACAAGAAAAAGGTAAGCTCTGAGCCACTGCGAGATAATCGGTCTATCTAGGCGACACACCGCATCAAACCTTCAGACGTTGGAACCGCTGCTGGCTTATCTCTAGACCAAGTCATCTGTTTGGTTCTCTCTGATACACTGGCTGAGATCCCCAACACAAAGCAGTTTGTAATTGGCTCATAATCCAGTGAGTGTGACAAGGTCCACATAGTGACGTTCTGTGTAAGTATACTGGAATATTGGTATTTTGCCGACGGAACAGGCTGGTTGGATGGATCGAGGCATGAAGAAAGGCCGAAGTACAGGTAGAAGAAGAGGTCTTTGCCATGGGTTTTTCGACTTGTTTCCCAGAACTACCCTTTCCATTACCACTGTCCTGTGAAATTTTGAGCAACGACCAAAATGGCGTCCACCAGCCCTACACCGAATGGAGATCTTGAGAAGAACGGATATGTCCTCGACAACTCCCCTCCTTTCGGATCCGTGGATGATAAAGGGGAGCGGCGTGGTTCCATTTTTGCACCGGATCGAGAAACACAATTGCGGCAAGGCAGTCTCACCGTCTACCACGAGAGTTTCTTCTCGGCCTTCAAGCCCTCGAGCTTTCAAAGAAACCCCAACGCTAGAGTAGTGACTGAAGCAACGGACAATGAAGGACGTCCATTGAAAGACCAGCCTCCGGCCGAGCCTGCGCTGGCTATGAAGTTGAAGCAGAGACACCTGCAGATGATTGCCATCGGCGGGTCGATCGGTATGACCCGTACTTAACAAACAAAACTGAGGACATGCTGATTCTTTGGAGGTACTGGTCTCTTTGTCGGTTCGGGCTCGGCCCTTGCAACCGGTGGGCCAGCATCTCTTGTCATTGCCTATGGCTTGATCGGTATCATGCTGTACTGCACCGTCCACGCACTTGGAGAAATGGCGGTTCTCTTTCCTATTGCCGGAGCCTTCTCGGTGTACTCCAGCCGCTTCATTGATCCCGCTTGGGGTTTTGCCATGGGCTGGAACTATGCTTTGAACTGGCTGGTCACCTTGCCCCTGGAGTTGACGGCGGCCTCCATCACTATATCGTTCTGGGCAGGTGCCAGAGATGTCAATCCTGCTGCCTGGGTCATTTTGTTCTGGGCCGCTGTGGTGATGATCAACTTCTTTGGGGTCCGTGGCTACGGAGAAGCCGAATTTGTCTTTTCGATCATCAAAGTTGTTGCGGTAAGAAGCTCTTGAAGGAACTTCTTCGTAATCTTGCCACTGACAGCGAAAATTCTGCAGGTGATCGGATTCTGCATCCTTGGTATCATTATTGCAGCGGGCGGCGTCCCTGGCAGTCCTCAGGGTTACCTTGGAGCACATTACTGGTACGATCCGGGTGCTTTCAACCATGGATTCAAGGGGCTCTGTTCGACCTTCGTCACTGCCGCATTTTCATTCGGTGGCACTGAACTGGTCGGCTTAACCGCCGCAGAGACAGAGAATCCTCGGAAATCTTTGCCGACTGCTGTCAAACAAGTGTTCTGGCGGATCTGCTTGGTAAGATGAACATGGATGGCAGTGGCTCGTTGCTGACTTTTTTTTAGTTCTACATGGTTAGCTTAACCATCATCGGGTGCATAGTCCCGTATACAGACAATGAGTTGTTGAATGGCTCGAGCAGCACCGACGCAAATGCATCACCATTTGTGATTGCAGTCAAAAATGCAGGCATCTCTTCCGTGCCATCGATCATGAATGCGGTGATCCTCATTGCAGTGTTGAGCGTTGGGAACTCATCCATCTACGGATCCTCTCGTACCCTGGCTGCTCTCGCGGATCGAGGCCAAGCACCAAAATTCCTGGGCTACATTGATCAGGCTGGACGGCCTTTGTTCGCGATCATCCTTGCGGCAACAATCGGGCTCTTGTGCTTCATTGTCGCTGCGGGTAGCGACACACGGACACAGGCTTTCAACTGGATGCTCGCGATCTCCGGTCTTTCATCAATTGTGACCTGGGCGTCGATCTGTGCCTGTCATATCCGATTCCGCGCTGCGTGGAAATATAACGGACACAGCACCAGTGAGCTCGCGTTCAAGTCGCAGCCGGGGGTCATCGGCTCCTGGATCGGGCTGACATTGAATATCTTAATCCTAATCGCTCAGTTCTGGACCGGCTTTGCGCCTGTGGGATACGCAGAGATGTCGGCGGGCGAAAGGACCCAGGCATGGTTCGAGGCCTACCTGTCTGCGCCCATCATCATGCTCTTCTATATCATCTTCAAGATCTGGAAGAGACCGGCCTACAAGAAGATCCGGGAAATCGATATCACCAGCGGCAGGAGGGAGATGAATCTGGCGGAGATCCTTGCAGAGGAAAGAGCCGAGCAAGCCACATGGCCACGGTGGAAGAAGGCTTACAAGGCGGTGTGTTGATCGTTGGAGGGCTGCCAAGGGGGTCATTGTTTCCTCCTGCTAGCTTGAGAAAAGGGTGAAACGCTGACCAGGTATTTCTATCTCATCAGAGCCATTCTTTGAGATTAAGACTGGTGGAAACCAGCGCACAAGTTGCTGGTAGAAGAGCCAGAACAGAAAACCCGGCAACCCGAAATCTAAGAAATGCGGTTTCGAAGCACGTCCCTATTTAGGTGTGAGGCAACGCCGGGGCGGAGCCCGAGCCTTGAGAGCAGTTTTCCAAGGGAAAATCATTATTGAACGTACCTCTCGCCTTCAGCATACTTTCCACCCAGGCCAAGATGTCTCACATTCACATTCGAGACAGAATTGAGGAGTCAGGAATAAGATTGACCCTAGTGTGTATATCGTGACTCGTCGTGGACCTTATAAGCTCCACCTCTAATTGAAAGCCGGGAACGGGTCTTGACGACGAATGGCTCCCGACAGTAGCCCATCGGTCAACGTTGAAAATTGTCTTCCCGGCCAAAATATGGGCGAATCTGGAAATGGCGACCAAATCGCCGGGCAGCTGTTATGGACACTGTCCTATGCTCCGCACAGCTACGAGGATTCTGTCTATTTGCTGACTCTGCCAGACTGAGATCGCCGCCTACATCAGCGACCATTGCTTCTGGCTCCGAATCCTACATGGCTCCGAGATTGCGTTGGGCTGAACGACCGCTTCGGCGTCAAGAAACCCACACATAGATACAGATTCAGACGATCGCCACGACCAGGCACTAGTCATACAATGTACACTTATAGCCAGACTATTAACACCTTACAGAGTACTCCGAACATCCTAAACCCGGCAAGAGACCCACCAAATTATGCCTTGGTCAACGTGTCAGTGGCTTTGCAAGGCTGCGTCCGATTCCCTCCCAAGACTCCACTGGCAGCTTACTCCGCCGCCTCTCGCTGTTCTGATCTTTTAATTTTCGGAAATAATCCTCTTTGCATGGCCGCAAAGGGAGGGATTTTTGGATTTCCTGGCAAGGCAGAAAGTCGTATCCCGATATACGAATATAAAGGATGACTTTGCCTGTCTGGACGGGAATTCATCATTGTTCCGAGGGTCTCACCACCTGGAACAGGCTCCCATGACATGCCTTCCCAACAAGATGACAGAAAAAAAGATGCGTGTGCTCATCACACAGCTATCAATCTTTATTAATCGTTCCTGCCTATTCTATAAGGCTATCCCTAACAAGGACGTCGGTAAAGGACGAATCACCATGACGTGAAAGTAAAAGAATTCAGGGCTCAAATTTGGAGATAGACTCGTAAAGATACTGTAAAAGGCGTCCCTATTTCTCTTACGTTACCTTCTCCTCGTCCCTTGGCTTATATTTTAGTCCCAAGCTATATTACCTTCCTTTAGTTTCGTGGTGGTTTCCGGATTCTTATCCGGGCTTTCTTTCGTTCCCTTCTTCCCGTTCTTTTTTTTCTTCCTTCGTTACTGAGTACATGGCATCGTGTGGAAGTTGCGGAATAATTTTAGTGGTAACTATCCTTGCCAAAATATGGGCGGATCTAGAAACGACCGAATCACGGAAGGTATTATCAAAATTCGGGGTGGTCTTCCGTTTTGTGAAGATGTGAAAAACGTCACGCGCCATACTTTCGCATATAGCTGACGCCTGGTTGAGTGAGGAGTCCCGACCTGGCACCAAAACCACAGCTTCCGCTCTCACCTCTGAGACTACCTCACACTGTTGGATGAGGGCCTGGCACCGAGTTTCTCTGCCTCAACCATGCGAGAAGAGACCTACGACATTCTGTCGTTCCAGAACGCAGCTCCATCCCCGCCTTTGGGGTCCTCCATTTGGCCTCGATCGGATGTATGTTGCCACATGTGCTCTCTCAAACTTCGCCAGCCTACGTGCAATTGTCACATGGTAGGTCTGCTGGGGGCCCTGCACCAAAAAGAGAATGGCGAGAAAGAGGATGACGAGGACGACGAAGAGGACGACGACGAAGAAATTGGCTCCTTGAAAGAGTTTGTAGAAGAAGATGAGGGTGGTGAGAAGAGCGGAGAAACCTTCCCATCTGTACAATGTTTGGTGTGAATTGCCTGGTGACACCTTCAGCACACATTGTTCCTTCTCACCAACGAGTTCAACGTCGTTGCATGGATCCTCGGAACTTAGCGCCTGTTGAACCTTCATAATGCTGCGTAGACCTTAGACTGGAGACTCGAGCGCCCTTACGACCTACAAATATGTCTGATTGAAGATCCTTCACTTCAGATCAATATGATCCAAGTTCGCCGGGGATTTAGTCATTACTGTATGAATATGTCAACAAAGGCCAGTACCATATGCGTCCGCATCTACGTATACTCCTATCTCTTGTTCCTTCGACTGAGAGAGATGTACCACGGCCCAGCTTCACCCCTGGCGCCGCCGGAGTCGTTGGCTGAGGTTTGGCGGCCGCCGACTGTACCACGCGGTTCGTACACGAGTGTATCCATTACTCAGCGTCGTGGCCATCCTGGCGTGGGTGGTCCCCATCGCCTTGACCGGGGTTCTGTCCCAACTCAGCATGCTGGCTGAGTACGCCTCCTGGTTGTCGTGGTTGAACCGCATCCCTCCGGCGGGCGTCAGCGTCCTGCAAGCATTGCTGCCCACGGTCGCCGTGTCGGCACTCATCAAACTCTTTCTGCGCGTGCTCCAGCTGCTCGTGACCCGAAGACGGCCCCGAACGGAAGGTGAGGCTCAGCTGATCACCCAGCGGTACCATTTCGCCTTCCTCTTCGTCCACACCGTCCTCGTCGTCTCCATCCCCTCGGGGCTCACAGCCACCATGTTCCAGATCGTCGGAAACGTCAACAGCGTGGCCGCGGTGCTCGCCCGCAACTTCCCCAAGGCTAGCAACTACTTTCTGTCTTTCCTGGCCCTACCCTTCACCTCGACCGCCCTGACGCTCTCTCAGCCCGGGGCCTGGCTCACCCAGCCTCTCACCCTCGTGCAGTCGTGGACCCCGCGGCGGTTGCTCGACCACCATCGGGCACGAGGGGTGGTCGACTGGGGCTTGGACGCCCCACAGCGTCCTCGCCTGTATCGGTACGTACCCGGGCACCGGGCATGGGAGCAAGCCCCCCCCCCCCCCCCCCCCCCTGGACCTGGTGGCGCGTGACTGACTTCAACGTCCTTCTGCGGCTTGTCATTGTCGTCATCGTCGTCGTCCTCCGGCGGCGGTGTCAGCGACGCCAGTTCGGATCTTGTCTCGTAGTCGCCGCGGGACGGAGTTTCATTGGGATATGAAGGCTCCAGCGCCGACCTCTCGTCGAAATGCCACACCCCTCCGGCGACCGCTGACCTTTCGAAGAGCGTGACTTGCAGCCCCTGCTTCAACAGATGTGCCGCAGAAGTCACTCCGCTGATCCCGGCGCCAATGACAGCAACCCTTTTTGGCTGAGTCTCTGTCATTTTTCCTTATCTTTTTCTTTTGTCTTTTTTCTTGTACAAACTCTTCACCTCCCTCCAAGGTTCTCTAAGAGAGGACTTTGGGGGTTACCCTCGAGCAGGACTTGTGGTTTTATTTATACCTGTAAAGACCGGCTCCCCTTGGCCCTCTTGGGTCATGATTCCTCCGTAGGTACGGAGCACAAGTTTCTGGCGCGCAAGAGGCCAGGGGGGGAGGGTTCGTCGTGAGGTCAGATGATACTATCAAATGGCTGCCTATTCTTAGAGAAAGCACGCTGCAACGCTAGCTGCATTACCCCTGTAAGAAGTAGGCGAATCTGAGGAAAGATGACGAGTTCCGACGAGGGCTTGGTTGGGCTTGGAGAAGAGCAACCGGTGCTGCCTGGCCAGTGGCCACTAGTCTGCTGGTTGTGTGTTAACAGATATGGAGGAGGTACATGGTTGCCTGCTCACCAATGGTGTGTGTTTGCCGGTCCATTGATAGCCTCCTGAGCATGGGATTGCTGTTGATGACTTGGGTTGGCTGCCTGGTTTACTCCGTACAACCGAGGCCGACCTGCCTAGATACCTAGCTAGTATACAGTACTAATACTGTACCTCACTGATTAGTGTTCTAGACACTTCAAAGGCAGGATTGGACCCCGGTCCGCCCACGGTCGCCCACCACGTATCCCTACATCTTTGGACTCACGATCTCTGGACTGCCTGGACTGCTGGTGGAAGATGCATCTGCATCTGCATCTGCATCAGGAGAAGTCCAAGTCGAAGCAGAGAGCAACGGAGCTAGTTGTCAGGCTTGCTGGTCGAGTTCTTTGCGGCGGCGGATGATTGCCTGCTCTCTCTTCCACAAGAACCGGATGACGAAGGAGGTGAGGATCATGGCGGCAGCCAGACAGGCCGAGGTGACGAAGCCTTTGTGGTACTCAGGGGCATCGATCTGCTGCCAAACCACGAGGGGCAGCCAGGCCTGGAAGACGTAGGCGAACTCGTTCATGGCGCCGGTGACCAGGGCGCGCTCTTCGTTGTCGTCGGAGCAGATCTCGTGCGCCCAGGCCATGCAGAGCCCGCTTAAGCCGCCGCCACAGCCGGCCAGGATGTAGCAGGCCCAGTGCCAGCCGACGGGGATGTTCCACACGGCAAGACTGGCGTAGCACACGATGGAAACTATGCCGCTAAACACGATGGGCGGCCAGCGCGCGCCGCGGAAGACGGTGTCGGACGTCCAGGCGTAGATCAGCGTGCTGACCACCTGCACCGCATATGTCGTTGTCGGGTACGTGTTGATCTGCGAGACGGTGTAGCGCGGATGCTTCGAGGCCTTGAGATACTGCGCGAACGTCGGCTGGCCTACGCCCGACCCGGCGTTGTTGAAGGTGATGTACAGCACCGTCAGGGCGTAGATCTTCCACGACGATAGGATCTTCCGCACTTTGGCCCGCGTGTACGGTGCCCGTCGCGCCCGCCCTTCCAAATCCATCCGTTTCTTGCCATACTCGCGCTCCGCCGCCGTGAAGTACCATGCCCGCGTGATCTCCGGCACGTCCGGCAGCAGGAAGAAGCCGGAAATGGCCACCGGCAACGAAATGATCCCGTCGACAATAAAGAGCCACTGCCACCTAAACGAAGGATAACGAAGTGTTAGTTAGTCAACCAAAAACGACTTCGCCACATCCCCAGATCGTGGGATTTGGCCAGGTTCCCTCCTTCCTCTATCGACTGAATTGAAGCGTCTGTCTCGAGGACAACAGCACATCCACATTGTCATCAGATGGACGACGCCAGCCTGCAGTCGGGCAAAGAACCCCTTCCGGGAGCAACTGGCGGTGGAGGGCGAGACGTTGCGCCTCGTCGCACCATCTTTTCCCGGGCAGCACGGCGCAAAACCCAGAGGTGGGCGAGCCCCCTGTCACAAATGACCTCGCAGACCTGACCCTCCGATCTAGATCCCGGCAGCCCATGAATCCGCAGGAGGATCTGTTTAACATGCCCTTATCCAGGCCGCGAAAGGATATTGTTCCTCGAAAGGGCCACGTTGTCCAAGTGGACCGAGAACAGATATATCGGGCAACCCAGCATCATCACGAATACACGTACAATGGAACCACCCTGACCGGACTGGTCAAGTTCGATGACTGTACCGACTATGGGATCAGCGAAGACGCCGAGCAGGCTCTGTTGAAGATCGAGGTAGAAAGACTGGCCGAGGCGGCTGAGAATGAAGGGCCATGTCTCTTCGACGCGCACGGGCTATTGAAGCCCACCAGCGAGGAGCTGGCTCATCTAGCCGATCAGATCTCCTGCAACATGGAAATCATCCGCCTGGACAACGCGCGAATTTCCTTGGAACATTGCGAGGGCGACAGTGACGGAAGCGCCGAGGTCTTTCGCACGGCCCGTCGAAGACTGCGTGGCCATTTCAAGCATGAACAGACCCAGGTGCGAGGGGCCGAACCCAAGATCCTGCATCCACCAGATCGGAATCTGGTTCTCTATTTCGCCCTGGTTGATTACATCACGGCCTGCATCGCTCGACTGCTGGTGCGCACGGCGGACAGCGCGTACTGGGACTGTCACACCCTCTCGATCCTTGCTTCGTTTGCCGTCAAGTTGAAGGTGCTCTCGCATGACCCAGCCCGGTATGCCAACTTCAGCATCGACACGGCCGAACACGCGATAGAGCAGTTGAGCCAAGGGCTTGCTTCGAGGCAGGCCATGTTCATCAAGATCCGTGTAGACTCGAGTGATGCGAAGGCCTCTGACCTCAAAGATGTGGACACGCTCGATTCCGAAACCGATGTGAGCACCCGCTACTACGAGGAGAAGACGTACTTCCGCAGTCATGTGCACAGCCTGGTGAAGTACACCATGGACAACCTGGCCCAGGACAAAGACAACCGATCGTCGTCCGGATGCTTCGAGATCTGTTCGCTGATCTATCGCTGTGGTATTGATGGAGCTCTGAGCACACTGACGAGTAATCGCCTGGGAGAGATTGCCGCCTCGTCCGATCCGTTCCGGCTGAAGTGCACCTTTACCGCCCTGGAGCTGACCATGAGAAATCTCTACCGGTTGAAGGCGGACATAGATGCCGCGGGGCCCCTGACCAGAGAACGGTGATCAAGTGGGACTGGACTCCAGGCGAAGGCGGAGTTGGCGATTCCAAAGGTGAGATGGCGACATCCGCCTTGGACCACGTCATCTCGTTCGTGGTGCCTTTCTCCCTGGGCATCACGTACGCCACTGACTCTCTCGACTCCCTGGTCAGTCTCGCCGGCAGCGGCACTTCGGACGAGGATTTGGTCCGTCAATTCAGTCCGCCATCCAAAGGGGTTCGCGCCCTGGTCAGTCTGTCAACGGCCAAATGGCGGGACCGGGAGAGCAAAATCCATGACGACGAGATTCAGCATCTGCCAGACAGTCCCATCCGGTTCGGAGTACGAGGTAAGCACATGGCTGTCCCATATTCCCAGTGTCGCCGCTGACCCCTCCTTAGCCGGTACACTAGATTTGAAGAAATATTCACAGAAACATGCCGGTGCTGAAGCGTCAATGGACGCCAAAACCAGTAAAGTCCTGCGACGGTACGAACTCGACAAGCGCCAGATGGACACGTGGGAAACATCTGAGGAAGCAGTCACCATCCAGGTCAAGACGTATGCACGGTCGATCATGGGCATCGCTGCCTTTATCGTGTGCGGTGGCATGTCGGTGCCGTTCGCGGTGGGCAGTCGCATCCGAGGCGTCGACCCCTTCCAGATCACCACATTCGCCTGGGTCCTCGCCGGCTTCTTGACCATCTTTGCCAAAAGCCGGTACGTGAGCGAATGGCCGTGGCATGACTTCATCCACGGCCGCGTGGTGTGTCGGAGCGTGAAAGACGTCTGCGATGTGACGCGCGTCGACCCGCAGATGGTTCTGATGTACCTCCTCCTCGAGGAGCAGGTCACCACATTGCGTACCAAGGGGCCGTACAACGGCATGTTTTCCCGCCGGTCGGAAGATGTAAGCGGCTTCACCATTGACGAACCCACACACATCTCGACCATGCTGGCCAGCGGCTTCGTCGTTCTCAAGGTGTTGAACGAGTTCGGCGAGCACCTTGTTTGCCTCGATGTCCGGAAGGGAACCAAGGGCGAGGCCCCGTGGCTGCATCAGACGCGGCGATATCTAGCGTGCATGGATCTCGACAACGAGGCTGACGATAGGCTCTTGAACGAGCCCGAGCCCGAGCCCGAGCCCGAGCCAGCTCTCCCGCCACCGTTCGGTGATAAGCACCAGACGGTCAAGGCCACGCGCCTGGCGGTGACGAAGGAGCGGGCGCCTGTGGACAAGGTGAAGAAGCTCAAAATAGCTCGATTCCGTGTCAACAAGGTCCTGGGTCTGTTTGTGGGCAATGCCAGATTTGGGTAGAGGACGAACGAACGTCACGTATAATGAGACTTTTTGAAGCTGGGAGTAATTCGAAGTCATGACACCCTCAATCTTTGTATCTTTTGAGGTTCTGTACAGGAGTCGTACGCACCGCCCGGTGTGTTGTATTGACAAAGCCGCCTCATGTGTACCTTTACCGAGGTAGCAACCCAATCGGCCCGACGGCTCACAGGAAAGGAGTAACGTGTAACAGCTGGTTTTGTGCAGCTGCTCTTCAACTTGGATCCAACTAGATGTCTCAACGTATGTGACTTGTACCCTGTCCTACGGGACATGATCGCGTTCCGGGCGGGACTGCAAGGTTGGATTCTGGGACTGACGTATTTTATTACCATATGGTCTAATAGATGTAGATCATCGAGGTGCTTCAAACAACGTCATCGCACTTGAGTGTCTTGCTGTGCTCTGGTACCCACTGACCGCCCGTCAGCTCTCACACTGCAGCGGCACGACGGCGAGAAGACAATAGCGGATGCAGACCAGTGTGCCGGAGCTTGCGAGCCTGCGAATCTTTGGTTTGTTGGGAGGTTGCTTTGATTTATATATTTATTTATTCCTTCATTCATTCCCACGGATCGACGATCAACCTGACGCCGCTGACTCCCACAATCAGCTTGTCCAGGGCGTCGTTGACGCCCTTTGCCAACCCGCCCGGCACCTTTTCGGTCTGCGGAGGGATGAGGGTGCCGCTGGCCAGCACGTGCGGGAGGTAAGTCTTGTAGGCCCAGAGTTCCAGACCAGGCTCGCCCTCGGAGGGGATGATATCGGGCCAGGAGGCAAAGACGCGAGTGACGCCCTCCGGGAGGTCATGCGGGCCGGGCCCAAACGGCGGCGAGGTGGTGAGGACTTGGCCGCCACCCTGGGCGGCCACGACGGCAGCGTTGACGGCGACGGTGGGCGGGAGGGAGATGGTGTCGACGACGAGATCGTAGGGCCCCTGGGCGACCAGCGCCTTGACCAGCGCGGCGTGGTCCTGGGTGTGGTCGACGACGTGGACGGGGCCGAGGCTCTCGACGAAGCGGGCGTGCTTGGGCGACGTCGTCGTCACCACCGAGTAGCCGGCCTGCGCCACGTACTGCACCGACAGGGTGCCCAGGTTGGAGGTGCCGCCGTAGATCAAGACTTTCTTGCTCTTGTTGGCGCTGCTGTTGTTGCCGTCCAGCGCCGGCCGGTCGAGTTTGGCCCGCGCGTTGAACAGGCCCAGGACGGTGTTCAAGTTGCCCAAAATGCTGGCCACCGTGCCGACCTCGACCCCGTCCGGCACCTGGGTGGCCGTGTCTTCGGGCGCGACCACGTACCGCTGGTACCCGCCGTACTGGAGTCCGGTGCCCATGCCGTTGGTCCGCACGCCCACGCGGTCGCCGGCCTTGAACCGCGTCACTTGCGCGCCCACCGCTTCCACCGTGCCGCCGTACGACAGGCCCAGATTCGCCGGGTACGGGATCGGGATGAGGGCGAACTTGGCAATCTTGGCCTCCACCGGGATTAAGGCGATCGCTTCGTTCTTGACCAGAATCTCCTTCGGGCCGGGCGTGTACTTTTCCACCTGCTTGACTTCGAGCGGGGCCTGTGCCGCGGGGATGATGGCAGCGAGGTTGGCCATGGTTCTAGTTTGAGTTTGAGTTCTTGTTCGAGTCCTTGATCTTGTCTTGTGTGTTTTGTTGCCTTTCTGAACAGCACTCTTTCGGAGAGATGGAGGGAAAGACGTCGATGGGAGTGGGAGAGCTTGGATGATCAAAAGACGGGGAGGGGCGACGAGGCCAAGGAATATATACTAGGTAGTAGGTACCTTATACAGCGATCCTTAGCACGTCAGCGCCCAAGCTCTGTATTATCAATACATACGTATGTACGGCCAATCCCTGCTGACTAATAGTAGGATGTAAGCTGTATCCGTCCCTCCGACCCCATGCCACAGGGTGCTCGGACAGTTGATACGCTTTGTCAGCTGGTCGGTGTCGGAACCTCACCATCCCGAGACCGACTTGCAAAGATGGAGAGAGGGGTCAGTGGATGGAATTAATCGTTCCAGAGATGGGTTTCCACCTGGGAGAGTAACAGACGAGAGAAACCTTGATCCATCTCGCCCAGTGTATTATGCTGACCACTCGTATTGTATCCAAGTTCGCCCGTTAATCGCGCCGGAAGTGCACCGATCACACCTCCGACCTGTTGTTTAGTTCGTTTGTCATTCGGTGCATTGGCGCCACGGGCCAAGCGCCACCTACACGTGCATCGGCCAGGTCGTGCACCTTACAGCGACCAGAGCCATGTTTGGAGATCCTGAGCATTGGTAAACGACGTCTTTGAAGGATGCATTGATCTGCTCGCTTATTGTCGGCTCGGCCGAACTCGTAGCCACCATGTTACATGATTGCGTGTCGGAGTATTCTTTCATTTGTCGGCGATTGGCCCGTTCTACACCCAAGACTGTAAAGGCCTGAAAGAGAAAACCGTAGTTTGGAGCCTATAAATGGACAAGCCACTGGTGCTCGATATTTCGTCCTGGTTTTGAGTTCGCCGTTCCGAAGTTTTAGTCTGGGGCCAGAATGGTGCGTCTGCAGGAACATATTTTGTCTACACGACTAGCCTCGTTATTGTCTCCTCAAATCCCAACACCCCCGGTGTCGCCGAAGATTTGGGTCCCGATCGTCGTTGTGGCCATCATGCTTAGCGGCGGGTTGTGCTTGTTCCTCTATGTCCGACGACAAGCTCACACGCGGGTCGAGAAACACGACCGCCAGTGGCAGGGTCAGGACGCTGATGAGGAGGAGAGCCCACGTCTCATGAAGGTACATGACCCCGACCTAGGCGTTGGACCTCCGACCGCTGACCACGGTATCAGCACCGCTGGCTGGCGGGAGTCGGGTACTCCAGCAATTTCAAAGTGGAGGTCCTGGCGCCCAGGAAGTCTCCGCCTCGATCTGTCGTACGAGATACAAAATCTGGCGTCGTAGAGAGCTGCCTTTTGCCGTAAAACCTGGTTGATTGAGCTTTTGGAAAGACAACAACGTTGATAGTATCGAGTTCAACATATGTATTCAATCTTTAACTCTAATTTTACTTTTGAGGACTTTCTAACTTTGGTATTTTTCTTCATCATAACTCTCTCTTGCCGATTGTGTTTCAGTGGTGCCAGTACGAGTAGGTGCCCAGAATAGATAGACTCGGCTAAGCTTTAGCCAAGCAATCGGCTTGTTTGAGAGTAGGCCTCTAAGGCTTAGGGGGCTTAGCTGAAGTTCCCTGTCTTCCAGCTGCTGCCGCGTCGCCTCGTATCATTGGCATATGTTGGATGGTACGCATGACCATCCTGGAACATTCGTTTGGTCCTGCAGAACAAGTTTGTTGGGTGCAGTAGTGGCGTGTGACACGTAATCATGGGGTCTGAAACAGCCATGGCACTGGAACTGGGCCGTAGCTTTCCTACCTCAGTCGCTGCTTATCTGCTCCTCATGCTCCTTCGATTCCAGGTGTCGGTCGATTATCCGTATAGAGATCCCAGAGGAAGCAGGTCAATCCAAAACCTGTAGCAATCAATCAATCTACGCGATGGAGGCCCAAATTCAGAACCAAAACCAGAACCAACAACGCACCCCTCAACCGACCGAAGCTGACCGTGAGGCTGGCACCGTCGTTTCTCAACAACCTGTAAGCTCCCCTCTCTCTTCCATCCATTCTCTAGGTTGGTCAGTTCCGTGCCAGGAGGTATTACATCTCTCAGGCGGCGGCGGACTATCTATCGTCTACCATTCCAGGCTCTTCTCAACCATGTTCTGACATATTTTGTCTCTTCCTGCAACACAGAGCGCACTAGCACCTATGGACATGGATTCCACTGCAAGCAGCAAGGGGACTCCGGCCGTCAGGCTTCGTGGCGGTGGCGAAGGAGAGGCGATCTGCTGTGGTCTGTAAGTATCACCTGTTGCTAAAGCGTCCAGGATGTGATCGAATTGACGATGGGACACGTATAGGTGTGCCGGACTGGCTTGCTTCGAGTGCTGCGAGGTCTGCTGCTAGACCAGAAGAATGAGGAAGCCGATGCACAGCGTGCATGCATTTCAAGTTGACTCCCGTACAATGATCAAATAACAACGATGATGGATGTGACGAACAGCGCTGGAAAGGAGGGTCTTTGCAGCATCGAAGAGGCTTTGAAAGGCTCAACATCTAAGACGAGACGGCTTATTGGTAGCAATTAAGGGCCTTGTACCTCTGTGACCCTGCGAAGAGATTTTTCTTAAGGGAGCTTCATGTGCAGCATTTTTGCAGACTCCAGCATCGGTGCTTTGGGAGCCCGTAAGCACTTAAAGTACTGAGTACTGCGGAGCGTTGGACGCAACGATCTCCGGGTACTAGTAGCCAACAGGCAACCGGCATCCAGGAAGCTAGTCCCCGCGTTTCCTTCATTTTTGTCCTCGGTACGGAGTAGGCCTCTCCCACTGCCGAGCTGCGATCTGCTGAATTCCTACCTAGGCCCACGGGCACCCCGACAGGATGATATCTCGACAGGATGTAGGTCTCTCAATGATGTAAGCGACATCCGCTTGCGTATAACTTGCATCTCGAAACAACAGAGTCTTGCATAACAGGAGTCGCGGATCAACCACATCATATGGCTGCGAACCCGCCATTATCGGGACTCCGCGTCCTCGAACTCGCAGGCTTAGCACCAGGTATGAGAGCGTGGTTTCGCATGTTTTATGCGAGCCACATTGACGACATCCAGCACTGTATTTTGGCTGACGTGACCATTGGACAGGTCCTTTCTGCGGTCTCCTGCTTGCGGATTGGGGCGCCAGCGTCCTCCGCGTCGACCGCCCCGACCCGAATCCTACACCGACCAACGACCTGTTGACTTCCCACAAAGCCTCGATCGCGATCGACCTAAAGAACCCGCAGTCTCTAGATATATTGCTGGCTCTCGTCACGAAGACCGATGTCCTGATTGACCCGTTCCGGCCGGGCGTGCTGGAAAAGCTCGGGCTAGACCCAACGACGATCCTGCTCAAGAAGAACCCGCGCTTGATCGTGGTGAGATTGACAGGGTTCCGACGCGATGGTAAATACAGCTCAATGGCAGGCCACGACATCAACTACCTAGCGGCGTCCGGGGTGCTGTCAATGCTCGGGGCACGAAACAGCCCGCCCCTGCCGCCGGCCAACATTCTCGCGGATTTTGCCGGCGGCGGTCACGTCGCCTTCACGGGCGTGCTGCTGGCCTTGATCCAACGTCAAACTAGCGGAAAAGGTCAAGTTGTCGAAGCCAACATGGTCGACGGAGTCAGCTATCTCGGCACGTTCCCGCGACTCCTGACCAAAGAACCCACCTGGAATGGGGCGCGCGGCACGAACACCCTCGACGGAGGCGCTCCATACTACGGCTGCTACGAGTGCAAAGACTCAGGGAAGTATATGTCCGTCGGGGCCCTGGAGCCGCAATTCTACGCACAGCTGCTCAAGGGTCTGGGGTTTACGCCTGCGGAGGTTGTGCCAGGTGGCCTCGACAGGCAGGACAAACGCGCCTGGCCATACATGCATGAGGTGTTTACTCAGCGGTTCAAGACGAAGACCAGAGAAGAGTGGGAGGCAATCTTTGACGGAACAGACGCCTGTGCTGTGCCTGTACTCGAACATGGCGAGATGGAGGCTGCCGGCTATGACCACCGACCCCTTGTCGGGCTGTCGGAGTCGCCGGCCAGGCCCGTTAACACGCCCTGGCAGGGCAAGCCGCTGAGGCCGGGCGAAGGTGGCGAAGCAGCTTTGAGGGAGTGGATCGGCTGGAGCAAAGGCAGAGATTACGAGATCGCGGCCAAAGGGGCATTTATCAAGAAGCAGAAGAGTAGACTATAAATGTTGTAATTGGGAGACGTGCTGAGAGATAGATCGCCCTTTAGCATCAACGCGGCAACTTGGATTATATGGATTACTTTAAGCTTTTTTGAGACCACTTTTTGTGTCCAAGGTGATTTGGCGTATTAGGTGGATTCTGAAATGTCGTCTACTCACTTCCATGCAGATGGGCCTCCCCCGGTCAAGGCCATCGTGTTTCGCCGTGCGGTCTTCGCGACCCTTCGCCGGATGGACGGTTCGATCATGGTCTCCTCACCAGTACCCAGCAACACCGCCAAAGCCAGCTGCCTCTGTCAGGTCATCAGCATTCAACAAGCCAACGCCCTGCTCGATAAGCGTGGTCCAAACGGCGTTTCGGGTGGAGATTGGCCAGGCCGGCGTGTCCCAGTATCTAGCCAGAATGCCACGTTTGTTCGCCTCAGCCAGGTGGCTGCGCACAATGGCCAGCTGGGTGTCGTTGAAGGTGGTGCCGTTGATGTCGCCAATGTAGCGGCTGAACTGGGTCGAGGCTATGGGCGACACACTGGCGGTGATGTTGGCCTGGACATCGTCCAGCAACGCGAGGTTTGCGTCGAAGAAATAGTCACGCTGCTGCACGGGCTGGACTTGATCCAGAGGGGTATTGCCCGTGCCGATGACCGTGACGGGGCCCGGGGTAATATGCGTGCCGTTCCATGTGGTGAGGTAGTTGGCGTCGCGCAGGGGCTGGAGTGCCTTGACGACGACGGGCCAGGCCGTGGGGCCGTCGGTCTTGACGTCGACGAACAAGTAGAGCGTCTGGCCTGATGAGGTGTCGAAGACGCCGTTGCGTGTGGGAGACGACACAAATGGAGAGGCCGGGTTCTCCCGCTTCACCACGTCCAGGATCGGTTGCACGTACAGCGAGTCGAACGTGCGCGCGGCAGTCAGGGCCGACTGCTCGTGGCCAACGTACAGGGTGTCGTTGTACAGCCACACGTCCGCTTCAACGGACACGCACCCTACAGACAGCGCCGTGTAGAAGGGCACATCCCGCCAGTAGTCGTTGTGCGAATGGATGCGTTTCTGGAACCCGGCACGGGCAAGTTAGCTGGCGCACGGCTGGGGCGGGCTCGACACGGCGGGATCCCTGCCTTATCCTGACTCGGTCGACACTTACTGGTACTATTCCCCTAGTCAGATCAGTCGGGTATTTGTATCCGTCGCTGTTATGCGTGTTGGACAGGATGTTCTGCAATGAGGCGCCAATGTCCAGGCCTTCCGCAGAAGCCGACGCCGGTAGTGCGGCTGCGGACACCTGGAGCGCAAAGGGGAGCGCGACCGCTAACAGGGATGGAATCATGACGGGGTCTGATGAAGTCAGGGAGCTCAGTGTAGGGAGAGATGAGATGTAGGAAGTCTATGTTCTGATTTCATGAGAAATACTCCTTATACATACTATGCTCGACAACGCAGTTAGTTGGAGTTCCTGGTGGAGATCATCCGGGTTCTAGGACTAGGAGATCATGGGCCCATTCAGAGCCTTGGGGTTCCTGCATGGAAAACCTTCCACGCTCCAATCGTCCGGAGTAGACCTCTACACGTGTGTTCGACAATTTCAGTTGAAGACTCATGGCACAAGAACACTGCGCACGTGGGTTTGTTTTGGCCAACACCACTGGACAGTTTCGATTTGAGACCAAGGCTGCTTTTAGCCCCATTCCATTGGTATATCTTGGTATATCTTGGCTGTCGTGATGGAAGGTGCCGTACTGGACGGTCAAATAACACGACTCTACGCAAATCTGGATATGGCAAGGTACCGAGAGCTCTAGTGCTAGGGTATGGCTCCAAGGGTGGGCACGAAGAGGATTGATATTTGTTCCTTGTCCTGGTGTGCGAGAGGCGGGAACTGATCACGGGGGAGAAACGTCTTTCACTCCGAGCAATGCTCCTGCAGTGCGGCATGACTGTCTTCATCATTGGGTGTCTTGGCCTGGTGGTGCCGTTTCCTCCGAGGCCGTGCACAGCAAAAGGTGTACCAGGATCGCGGGATGGTATCTCGAGCTCTAGATATCGAGTACAGCTGTCTCGCGTCATGGTCTTCGGTGTAGATCCTCCTTTCTGCCACTCATAGGGGTATGATATTTCACAGTTCAATATTTTGTAACGAGAAGAATCGTTGAGAGGGTCGTGGTTGGCGGTGTCAGGCCGGAAGAAAGCTGCGGGATGTGGCATGTTGGCCGTCGGCTTAGTTTAGTTAGCATGCTGGACAAAGGCATCTGGCACATCCGATTGATGGCAGCGCTGGGATAACTCCGCTCCTCAGGCCACTGTCATCACCGACGCGAGAGCATCAAAAGGGGGGAGATTCAAATCGGGTGCTCGGAGTATCGGCATCAACAATTTGAATATTGGCTGGGTGCTGGCGCAGTGGAGTACGCAGTACATAAGAAGTTGGCTCAATGACGGCAATGACAAGAAATATTGACGACAGTGCAACTGGAGATGAGGTGCTGGTGGCGGCCAGTTGTGAATGTGACTTGGTGGCTGGACCTGGAGAAGCCCCAGAAACAGCCTAGCCAGCCTTGGCCACCAAATCAGGCTGAGGTATGACGGCATCTCGACGCGTTTGCTTTGTCGTCGACGAATCCAACCTGGCTAGGCCGTTGTCAGATTCGCCTTGAAACGCGGGTGCCATGCCTGATCTGCAGGATGCCTGCCTGTAGAGGCTCGGCTCATCTTGAAATCAGGGAATCACATAGCCCGGACCAGCCTAGATCCGCCCTTCTACGCTGTCCGTTGGACGGACAGTGACGCAGTGGCAAGTTCATGCGAGCTCCTTCCCTAAATTGAAGTGAATCATCCCACCCCGGTAGTAGTATCCTGGCCGACATGGGTGGTAGGGGGTTTGAGGTAAGGTATATATGGTGTCCTCCCCTTGACTCATCTTTCTTTTTGAGCTCTACACATCCTCGCAAGACTAAACACCAGCCCTCCGTGTCGACTTCACCCCAATTCGAATACAACCAATACCTCGAGGCCAGAATGCAGTTCTCCAACATCCTGATCTACTGCCTGCTCGCAGCTGTCCCTGGCTTGGCCCAGGATTCTGCTGCCAGCTCAGCAGTCTCGTCTGCTTCAGCCGCAGCCTCGTCCGTGGCCGCCTCTGGCAGCTCTGTCGCCTCTATCACCTCCGATGCCTCGAAGTCGGCCGCCTCAGCATCATCTGCTCTCAAATCAGACGAATCCTCCGTTGCCTCCAGCTTCAACTCCGCAACCTCTGCATTCTCGGGCAGCCTGGAAAGCCTCAGTTCCGCTGCTGCCACCGGTGCATCTGGAGCTGCATCTTCCTTCAGTTCCCTCAACTCTGCCGCCAGTTCAGACTTGGGAAGTGCCACTAGCGCAGCTGGTAGTGCGCTGAGCAGTGCTACAAGCCACGCAAGCTCGGTTCTTTCCTCTCTCTCGTCGGCTGTGGGCTCCGCCACTGCCTCTTCATCCTCGGGTGGTGGGAATGCTGCTGCTGCCGCCGTACCAACTGCGTTGTCTGGAGTTGCCGGTGCTGCCCTATTGGGTCTGGCCGCACTGCTGTGAATTTGATATTATGATGGACTGAGTATGGCGAATACAAAAGCATTCAGAATAGGAGGGAAGGGGATGGGGTGAGCATAACATGGTATTGGAGGTCATTGAGGTATAGGATGGTGGTTGGCTCCGCGTCAGAGATGAGATGTACGAATCATCCAACATAGCATGACAACATCCATCAGTCTAGCCTTTTCCCCTGCCAATATATGGTCGCCCCAACTTTGAAGGATTACTTGAACTCGTTCACCTTAAATGGGGCCAGGGGCAAATGTGATTTTACAATTTTTTCATGCTGCGTGTCACGTCTAGATCATATTAACTTGACCCAAAATGAAACTCTTACTTCTAGACTGTTGACACTAGAGGGTGTTAGTGTGGGTGTGATCCTCGGATTGGGAGACGATGAGCACAGAAAATGTCGTATGACTCTTCGTTCTGGTTGCGTCTGATTCTGCTGCTGATGAAACCACAGGCGAGGACTTATTGTGACTTTGATTAACTTGGCCTCAACCACACCCCGGAATGCTCCAGCGGTGATGTTAGGCTACCCCCACCTTAGCGTTGATGTTTATGGGTCTCCCATAGTTAGCCTTTGAGGATTTCTTGTGCAGATCAATTTGTAAACGTTCCTCTGCCATGGCCTTTTGAGATATTAATAGACACTAGTGATAACATCCATTTCACCTCATTGAAATTTGTATGCCCGGTGTAGCAAGAAGACCAGATACAGCTGGAGTGAGTGACGGCTTGCGAGTTAGTATTACCTAAGCTAAGTACGAGTTACATAATCTTGCCAAGCCGCCCAGGCCGCAGCCTGCGCCTCGAAGTTGAACGACAGCGCGGTTTTCCATCTTCGCTCCTCCACCCTCGTACAACCCATTCATCTCGGCGTACAAACACCTTCGTTCGAGCTCCAGTCACACTTGTGGTACGAAGCCGTCACGCGATAAGGCGTCTTTTGCCATGCCCAAGGAGCGCCAGACATGCACCGAGTGCTCTATGCGCCGGCAGAAATGTGATCGCAACATCCCTTGTAGCCGTTGCGTAAAGAGGGGTGACGGTGCAAAATGCAGCCGGGAATGGCCTCAAGGTGGCTACGATCCCAAGGTCCATCGCATCTATCCTCGGACTTCAACCAAGCCAGAGAGCAGCCCATCCGCCACTGACGCATCTCCTGCTGCTCGGACTGTTCCCGATTCCTCGGTCCACCCTTCACTGAGGCAGCAGGCCTCTGCCCCTTCAGGACCCAAGTTCCAAGCACCACCTTCAACTTACTCAAGCAATTCTCCTCCAGCTTCAGCCACAGGTCTAGTCACCGATGTAGACAATGCAGCCACGGTCTTAGAATTCCTCACCTGGGGTCGAACCAAGCTGTCTGACTACGATCTCAAAGCTCTCGAACTGCTGAAAGAACCCCACAATGCAGGCCCAGCGGCAGTTCCTAGAGACACCGGCCCTGACTGGGATGTTTCCAATAGCTTAGGGGGCACAGGTGCTGCTCAGGTCTCCTTTCTGCAACTGTTACTTCCAAGTCGCGCACAGGTCTTCCAACTAGTCGAGTACCATATCAACTCAATTCTGTGGTATCATGGATGCTTCCATGGCCCGACGTTCTACGAAGAGCTCAAAACGGTCTACAAGCGCCCGAGTGGCTTGCAAATCAGGGACATGGACCTCAGGTGGACTGCCTTACTGTTTTCGGTGATGGCTGCAAGCATGACTTGTGCGAGTGAACATTTGGCGTTATCGTGGGGCTTCAAAAAGACGGAGAGAGCCAAACTCAACCGACAGTGGTACAAGGCTACAGTGACGTGCCTTAATCTTGCCGACTATATGTGGCGCCATCATGTCTACTCCGTGGAGGCCATCACCGTCCTCACATTGTCTGCTCATGTCCTCGGCTTCAGCAACACTCAGAGTACGCTGTTGGGCGCAGGGCTGAAAATTGCCCAAGGACTTGGGCTTCAGCGACTTGGTCCGGATAACGAGTTCAGCAATACGAGCGGGCCGTTGACTCCAGCTCAACGAGATAAGGTAATCAAGCGGGAAACGGGACGGAGGTTATGGTCGCAACTTTGCATCCAAGATTGGTTTTCAATACCTTTCTCGGAAATGTATTCGGTCCAAAAGATGCATTTCACCTCTCTCAGGCCTATGACCTGTGACGAACTTACGATGGAACCTCTGCCGGACGATGTTCCAAGTATGGTCGGCTTCCCAAACCTTCTCTTTGACATTGCTTCACTCATGCCTCAAATGCATGATGCGATCATTTCATCGAATACGTTGTACACTAAATACGAGCAGGTCCTGGACTACGATGCCAAAATGCGTGCTCTAGCAACGGAAGGTTGCGCGCCATATTTTTCTATGAGGGAAGCAATTCAACCTAACTGGCCGACCTATGTCCCCTGGGCGAGACGAAGCTTGACGATATGTATTGCTCACAAGATCATCATGATCCATCGTGCTTTCCTTGGCCGCAGTTTCACCGAGCCGGCTTTCGATTTCACCCGTCGCACCTGCATGGCGGCGGCGAAGACAATATTGAAAGAAGCCAGGCAAGCCTACGACGAAGAAGGGCCAATGCTTTGGATTGATCAAGCATTCATGGTTGCCGCAGGGATCACTCTGGCCTTGGACATTTTCCACCGCCAAGGAAATGAACCCGAGTATGATGAGCATAGAAAGTTGGTCGAGAACACAATCAGTATGCTCGGTAAATTCGAGAACAGCATGATCGCACTACGCGGCATCCGCTTGCTTTCGTCGTTGCTTGCTGAGCAGGCTCGACTCAGTGCAGATCAAACGCTGGAGAACTACCGAAAGCGCACACATGGCATGGCAGAGCATGGGCAACCGAAAAGGCAGAAATTTAATGTGCCAAAGTTTGTCGAGTCCTTTGTCGGCAACGACTCGTTTACGCACTCGTTGCGGAGTGCCAACAGGGGCGGCGAGGCGTCGATGGATGTCCGTGAACCCAGCGAAGCACGTACCCCGGCAGCACAGGACTCTGCCTTCACAATGGATCTGGGGTACGAGACCTTTGAACAGCTGTTCCCGCCTCATACGGGCATCAGCAACAATTTCCTGTTTGAAGATCTTTTGAACTTCGACATCTGAGCCAGGGAGATGCCAAGAGGTGAGGTTGTTCGAGGGGCTGGCAAGCCCGAGCACCGTACGACAATCGGCGCCAGTTGATTGGACGATAACGTGCAGGGAGGCCCGTACAGCCTTATCTGTTCGTACGCTGGACCGACACCCCTCAGCTTTCACACGTATAGAGCGACTTGTCAGGATATAAAGGATGCATTGCCGTCTTCCATTTTTTTTCAAAGGAGTCGTCATTGTACACACTGCGCTCCATAGGCAAACACACCGTCCATCTCGAGCACAGTCTTCCTCCTTGAGCTTGTCAGACGACGACGTATATCTCCGCAGTTGAGGTGATAGTATCGTTACTCTCCATGGCACCACAACAGACGAAGTACGTCGATCGAACGATCCCGACTATCTCTCTGGCCAACTTCTCTGAGCGCGTCGACGAAATCACAGCCGAACTGGTCACCGCGGCCGAAAACGTAGGCTTCTTTTGCGTCGTCGACCACGGCATTTCACCGCAAGAAGTCGACGAGATCTTTGCACAATCCGCCCGCTTCTTCTCACTTCCGGACGATGTCAAAGCCAAAGTCCCGTTCTCATCTGCCAACAACGCCGGATGGGAAAAGAATGCGCAAGTCCGGCCGTCCACAGGTGCTGCCGACAAGAAGGAATCGTACCAGATGCAATTCGGAATGAACATGAAAGGCAAATGGCTCGAAGAGGCTGACCTCCCAGACTTTAAAGAATCAAGCCTGAAGTTCATGTGGCATGTCCAAGAAGTCTCGGAAAAACTCATGCTGTGTTTGGCCCGGGGACTGGGCTTTCCCGACGACTATTTCATCAAGGCCCACGATGTGAGGAGGCCCGAGAGCCAGACTGTGGCCCGGTTGCTCCATTACTTCGCGACACCTGAGAACACTAACGGCGAGGTCTGGCACCGTGCGGGTGCACACACGGATTGGGACCTCCTGACGCTACTATTCCAGAAAGCAGGACAATCTGGTCTTGAGGTAAGCCATCTACAGCCACCCCCTGCCCTTGCTTGCATTTCGCCTGTCATCTTCTGTCTTACTCCCACTCTGATTACTGACTGAGCTGCTGACATGATCTATTCTTTCCTCGTCTTTAGATCTGCCCTGGCCGCGAAGTCTCAACGTCGTTCGGCCACGGTGATACCTGGACCAAAGTAACCCCCGACCCGTCCTCCAACGCGATCATCTGTAACATCGGTGACCTACTGATGTCCTGGTCCGACGACCGGTTCAAGTCGACCTTCCACCGCGTCAAAGCCCCCAGTGAGCCAGACGACTACTACGGTGAACGCTATAGCATTGCCTTCTTCAACCAGCCGTGCCGTGACACCTTGATCCAGGGTCCGCTCAAAAAGTATCCGCTTATCACGGGTGAAGAATTCACCCGCAACGCCATGATGCGCAATTTCAAGGCCCTCGAGGCCAAAAGGCTTGCTGGGCATGACCAGAATGGCACGAACAAGAATATTCACGTTCAGGAAGGAAAGGTCGTGGCGGGGGTTGGAGCGTGACTGCACGCTCTCGAAGCAAAATATGATGAGAGGCATGAAGAGAAGAGTTGATGGAACTCCTAAGGGTCACGGGAAAAGCAATGCCGAGATTGAGCTTTGAGGATCGCTGTAGTATTTGCGGTGCAGTAGCACTTCCTTCTGAAATGAATTAAATGTCCGACCTACTTAGAACTCTGGAGATTCCTTGTGCCATGTGGTGTCGTGTGGTTTTTGGTGTATTTCCTCCTCACTGAAGCGCAAGCCCGGAACAAGGGGATGGGAGAAGCGAGTCATCAGCTTATAGTGTCTGTGCATTATGTAGTCACGGGCAACGCTCCTTATAGGAAGCCTACAGCGCAAAGATTCACTTGGATCTAATAGCAGATTCTTGAAGAGGATTGCTCGGTCTAGGTCGGTCTAGGTTGGACTTGCGTTGCCCTGTCATGTATCCGTACTCCGCATGTATGTGACCGACCAGCCGACATATGCTGGCCGGATATTGTTGACTGCAGTGCTTAGTGGAGGGAGAGAGAGAGAGAGAGAGAGAGAGAGAGAGAGAGAGGGACAAGATCCGAGTGTGACGACCATCGAGCTGTCTTGACAATCCAAGGTGTCCTTCTTCGTCCGAGGTATCTCCTTGCCACAGTGGCAGATGACATTGCAGTAGGAAGTCAACGCTGCATGTATGTATGAGCAGAGGCAGCCCTAGCCCGCGTATTTTTTTCTGACTGCTGCTCCGTTTTTCTCTACTCATGGCCCCACGGGCTCGATCTCCATTTAGTTGGGGCTTGAACTGGAGCTGGAGTCGGATTTGGAGTTGAACCTGGGCGGGCGTAGTACACAAGTCGCCTACCGCATACCGCTACAGCCAGCTAGCCAATCTGCTTTGTCTAAGCGTCGCAATGAGTGGCAGTCCTCCGAGACTGCTACATGATGTAACAGGTATGACAGAGACAGAGACAATGGAATAGTGGCAGGGCAGGACAGGATCAGACCAATAACCCCCTTAATGGCTGTCACGACCCTAGTGGAAGGCGATTTGCGTTTTTGCCTGGAACCCAGGCAAGACAGCGGAAACCACTGTTGGCGGGCGGTATTCCCACATGGTTCATTCGTATTCGTTTGGAAATGGCGTGTCAATAGTGGGTGGCCATTGCTTTCCCCACCGGAGTCGTTGTGGCAAGCCTTGCTAGGAGGGATTGAGGTATCGTGAAGCCAGCAACATGTTCTTGAGTCAGGACAGCAACCTGATGGATGTGTAAAATGCAACTTTTATCCTCTCAGGTAAGCCGTAGGTCAGCCTCCGCTGGACAGAGAGATCAATGAACTCTCAAGAGGGAAGACAATCAGATCACAAATGTGACTTCCTCAACCCTCAACCCCAGTCTTCTTGGCAAAGACATCTCTTGCCATTAAGGTATTGAGCACTGCACAGTTGAAGGCGGCCTCTCCTGGCGGAACGACGACGAAGATGTAGGTGTTCTCCGTGAATCGGGCGAGAAAGCAGTTGAACCGCTGTGTCTGGACCTTGAACAGCAAGAAGCCTGCACTTGCCGCCGTGGTCCTCGTATTCCTCGCGACCGTGTGTTTATACGTCTTGAAGATGTTTGAGATGCGTTCGTGCCGATCCGGATGCGGGTTGTCCTCCCCGTACTCAGTGACGACGTTGGTGACTGTCAGGAATGTCGACCGTTCAAAGAGCACTATCTCTTCCGCCGACAGCTGCTTCGCAAACGCTTGCAGAAACCGTTCGATCACCACCAGATTCGGAATCATCTTGTGCACGATCCCCGCCCACGCCTTGTACAATGTCTGATCCCAGATGCTGCTTGCGAACGTCTCCAGACTAAGTCCCTCAGATCGCGCAGCAATCAATTTGCAGCGTTCCTCATAGATACGCTCGCGGTGCTCCGTCTGAACCAGGTCCATCTTGTGGATCAAGCAAAAGATATGGGCGGTGGGACTGTACTCTTTCAATGCCTTGATCACTTGGCTATATGTTTCCAGATCTTGGTCAACTGATCGCGATTCAATGTCGAACACGTAGATGAGGACTTCGGCATCGGAGAAGACGTTCTCGCGCTGAGCGTTGAGGTATGAGTCCATGAATGCATCTTGTCTGTGCAAGGTTGTCAGCGTCCGTCCAAACTCCCAGCAATCTAGAGAAGTGCAGTGTATCTCACCCGCCACAGTCCCACAGGTTTAACGTCAGGTTGCCCATGAATTTTGCATGGCTATGCTCGACATCGATGGTGGCTCCGAGCCGGCGGACATCCTTCGCTACGTAGTTGCTGAAGATGATGGAGCGCATGGACGACTTTCCTGAGCCGCTTTTGCCCATCAGCAGCACCTTTTTCTTCCGCTTCCGAGTGTCCATCTTGCCGGACGGTTTGTAGATACAGGATCTGCTGGACCTCGTGCAACCTGCGATGCGGAAGATGGAGGCGGGGTTCAAGGTTGGGCTAAAGGTCACTGCGGAGGAGTATTGGGGTATAAAGCGCACACCCTCTCCGGTTGCAGCAGCTTCGGTCCGTCGAAGAAATCCAAAGCCGCATGTGCCCGGTTCTCTCGCTCGCCACGGGGAATGAGGTTCCACGAGGGAGCCGAACGAACAGGTGTGAACGAAACATATGGGATGGGCGATGTTACAATGACTGGAAGCCGGACCCCAGCTACATCAGGACTGGACGAGGCTGGAAATCAAAGGCATGATTGGCTAGGATCGTTTCAGCACGTTTGAACAGAAACTAGTCAGTCGATACTCGCTCTGTCCCCCGGCCGTTAATCATTGGACTGGTGCTCGACGGCAGCATGAAGCCTACAACTCGCTTCTCAGACAAGTCGTTGAAGGGCAGCATGGAACCCTGCGGCAAATAAAACAAGGGTCGTGTTGGGCAACCTCGAGCATTCCATCGTCAAAAACATAGTCTCGTAACCCCTCTTCCGCCCACACCCTGCCCACCCAAGGTCTATCATATGAGCGATCTCATGTATCGGTGAATGCGGTGCCACAATCAAAAAACAGTCCCATCAGAGATGATGCCAATGGGCGGTGCTCCGGTAATGGGTCGAGACACTTGTGCAATTTCACGTCCTCCCTATCAAAACTCATCAGTAACGCAGCGACGACGAGTGCGGGCACTTCTCACCTTCCAAGTCCCTGCTTCGAGCATCTGAGCTAGAGTGAGTTTCTCTGCACCTTGGAGCCCAAGACCTTTGTTGACCGCAACAAGAAGCTCATCCAGGAAGCCAACTGTGACAGCACGCCATTCGACGATCACATCGTCACCTGGTTCAAATGTCGGGACAACCTCGACGGCATTTTCATTACTGACCATCTGATGGTAATTTTTCAAACCTTGCTGGATGTCCGCTTGTTTGAGAGTAAGGAGTCCCGTGTCGACCAACAAACCTCCATTACGGTATTCGGGAAGACCAGTCATCAGTTCAGCTCCAGCAAAGTGTATGTTGAGCAACTTGCTCATCGGGACCATCAAAGAGTAGCACAGCCACTGTGTCAGCTTATGAAAAGGTACAATATTCTCCCAGGGACGCGCCGGAGGAGATTTAGGCATCGCTTGACAAGGCCAGGCATCTCCTAGCGGGATCCCTTGAATGGTAGTTCGGGTAGCCGGCCAGATACTTGACAGTCCATCCATAAGCACACTCCAAAGAGTTGGCAACAAGACAACAGGGACGGAGGCCGCCTGGGTAGTAGGATGTGACATCAAATAATCTAGGATGGTCAGTTTAGTCGAGGGGCGCGGAGGAAACATCCTTACCGATCATGTTTCCTGGCCGACCATTCACACCGAACATCTCGGCATTACTCTGCAGTGCTGAGCTCAGCCTGATGAGCAGACCAGTACGGCCCTCGAGCCCGGACATGGGATTAGAGTCTGAGACTTGCATGCCTCTTGCCAATGCATCTATCGTCAGCTTGCTCAGACCAGCAGCATCCACTTGATGAGGTTGAGAGGGATCACTGCTGAAGGAACCAGCCTTGAACATCTCCAAACTTGCCACGGCCAATCCTTCACTTCGGGAATAGACCTTGCCAGACTCCTTAGATTTGTAAGACCACTTGGTGCCCGCTCCAGCATCGAGGAGGACTGATACCAGGAACAAGTCGACCAATCGCCGGGTTCGCTCTTGGTTGTCGATGGAAGTTGGCCATGATTGCAGCAGCTGAGTTATTCTTGGCCGTCCCCCGACTTCAAAATGTTGCCAGCGGCCATGAGGAGGTATGGAAGCATAGTCCCCATCGAAGTCTCGCTAACCCGCATCAGTCCCTGGGTCGAGTATAAACGGTGCGTGATCTGCGAAGCTCACCTTGATGATGGACACGACATAGTTGGCAGTTTCCTGGAATTTTGACATGTCGACATCAAAATGAATGAGACCATTTCCTTTCGCCTCCTCGAGCACTAGTTTGGTTCTTTCTCGAACGGCATGGATGCTTCGAAGGTAAGCTGCTGGCTTGGTGGTTGGGTCAGGCGGATCGGGGATGGCGATCTCTGCCAGGCCGTTCGACATATTTGGAGAGAAGGACTTCCCGCTGACGAGCTTCGGCGACTTGTGTGAGTAGCTTGAAATGAGGTCGGCGGCGGTGGCAGGCCTCAACAGTGTCAGGTCAGACTTCGATTCATCTGGCGATGAGCGTGCTTCCTTTTTCTTGAAAATGCCCATCATAGCGGAGAAGGCCTACCGACCTATCGCTCTTACGCGGCTGATACCCAGTGCTGGTGGATTGCAGGGGGTCTGATAGGCGGGCCGAAGTCTGCGCTGCAAGGGGCGGCTAGGTGCGAGCTGTCACGCTGTCAGCCATTCGTCAACTGATCGACCTGGGCGTGTGTCAGTGCGCGATGGAGCCTGTCTGGAGATAGATGTGAGAGACCTTGTGTTTGCAGTACAAAACCCGTTCTGTGGCAAATCAGCTCACCTGTCTAGATGATAGTAGAGTAGGAGAGTCAGACCACAAGATCTGGGGCGAGCGGACTATGCTGACGAAGTCTGGGAGACGAAGGACCAGACTGAGAATCGAGCAGTGGGAGTGCTAAGTGAGCGTCGTGTGAACGAAGTGAGACACAATTGAAATTACTACCGCAGGAAGAGGCTGCTGGGGCGGCTTCCTCCTAGGAGTGAGTACAGTATACCGCAGCTTGAACAACCGAGGGAGAGATGTTGATTTCGCGGACACCTGAGCTGGCTTCTGGTGACAGGTTCACGATACCGAGTACAGTGCTAAGTCTCCTCTACTTATTTGGTCAGGGAATTCATTTTCCAGCGAGTTTTTCCTCCCTACCTAGGTATGCATAGCTCAGGAGAAGTATGCTACTGATCGGTTACTAGTATTAGTTACTGATCTTTGAATACTAAGGAGTCTAAACAGGTGCTCAGGCGCAGCCAGCGAGCCTTAGGCCTTAGCCACACCCGTTTGGTGCGTGGGGAAGGTGCAAGCCTAGGAGCAATCCACATTGCAAGCTTAAGGACGGGGCCTAGGGGGGCGGCTTAGGGGCTCCTAAGGCCTAAGGGCCCCTAAGCCTAAGGAGCCTCAGGCTCTTTGATCCTGATCACCCCCTTGGATACCCAACGTCTTGGGACAGTCGGTGTACGGATGGATACAGAGTACGGAGTACAGATTACAAGTACGATTTTTACGGAGGACCCCGAACAACAGCTGGGGGTTTTTACAGCTACTGGAGTTCTTTCTCGACTCTGGTCGTTTGTTTGGCTTATAGGTATGCTCGTGGTGTCACGGCAGCCTTTCAGGACCGACTCCTAGATTTGCCATGTGCACAATGCTGGGATTGGGATTTACAGTAGCCCATAATTTGGGACCCTTGGGCCAATGATCTGTGCTGTCGAGCTGTCTTACCCCAGATCGAGTAACATCCCTCATTTTCCAGGCAACAGTGTTCGGGAATAGACGATAGGCTGACAGTCCAGCAGGGCCTGGTCCGCTGGTGGTTATCGTAGCTATATAAGACTCTCGACAACCACAACCCTCCAAATTCTATTCTTACGTGTCTCTCTGACATGTCCCAGCCTCACAGTCGACGTGGAAATTTGAGGCTCGCGTGAGTATCTACAGAAGCCGATTGGTGCCTTGGGACAGTCAGCCAGACCTGAAACACCGAATCTCAGTTCGTCGTGTTGTTGGTGCCGCGGGTTGACTGCCGAGGTCCACCATCCGGATACGCTATCAATCAAGCTGTCTCTGGGACGAGATGGAAGCCCTAACAGAGAATGCCCAGCAAGGGAGTCCCCTGTTTGCGATGCTCCCGGCTGAGATCAGAGGTTATATCTTTGAGCTTTGCCTAACCTCCCAAGACGACGGGTCAAAGCCATATAGGGCGGATCGAATCTTCTACAGGCCAGGCTACCACTACTACCAAGCAATCAACTGCGACTTGCTGCGGACCTGCCGACGAATCTATCGCGAAACCCGGCTGCTGCCTGTTTCCGTCCATGAGCACATATTCTGGCTCTTCAACGGTCCCTGGAAATCAATTGGGCGCCTCAACCGAAACACTGCTAGGTGGGCAGCTTGGTATCGGTCCTTAACCAAGGATCAAAGAAATGCCGTACAGGTCGTGCACATCTTTGTCCAACAGTGCTACCTGGAGAGTCTGGGGACCTTTGCGGATCTTGATCCGTTGTGTTTCCAAACGAGAAAGCTACACTTGACAATTCGACACTCCGACTGGTGGTCCTGGGAATCGCCCGCTGAGTCAAATGATCGTCTGGGCATCTGTCCCTGGCGTGTGGCCCGAACTTCTTGTCAGCAAATGCTTGCTGAGCCACCACGACCGAGTGTCAGCTACATCAAAGAGCGTATGTCACCCCAAACGTGGGGTGGTCAGATATGCCAAGTCCCAGGGCTTCAAATGCTCGAGATGGAGTTCGAGACAGACGAGGTCAAAAGGGCGCAACTTGAACTCGTCGTTCAACGAGCCAAATCTTGGGTTTTCCCATTGTGTAACCAGAACGTAGTTCTCGCATGGACTGGGCAACTAAAAGAATCCTCCTGGGAGGGTCTTCGGGAGCTCAAAGACGACTATCAGGTGTTGAGGGAGCAGCCAGTCGGGGACAATTTGCCTAGGCGCAAGTATTATGTGGTCAGCATGTTGTGGAGAGCTTCAGCAATAGCATGAATCTGACAGATCTAGACCTACAGCTTCATAAATGCTGTGGGTGGATAAAGTGGATGCACCGAGCAAACATATATTACTCCGTAGACCACCCACAGCGCAAGAACTCGGGAAGTATCGAATCCAACACTGTGGAATGGTTGCTGGTCAGAGTGATGCATGTGCGTGTCGATGTTGTACGTATTCTGCTCAAGATGCGTGTGAAATGGTGAATGAATCATGCGTGTCTCCCTACAATATGCTGTGGGCCCTGAACACGAGTCACGTTGAATCTATCACCGAGGGGAGTTCTGGACGCATGTCACTCACTCACTACCAACGCCAACGTCAAACAATTTAATTTCCGTCCACACTTCATCCAGAACAAATCCGGCAGAGGTGAACGGCGTTTATGATGAACAAACTAGCGAGGATCGTTCCTTGTTTTTGATTTTGCCGTCTTCGCAGCCATGGACGATATAGCGGGGTTGGGCTGGTCTTCAACCCCGACCAATGGACAGAAAACCGCAGCATCGAACTATTCGGCCTTCTCGACCTTGAAACCTACTCCTCCGGTCTCAGGACAGGCGTCGCCGCTGAATTCGACATCCCCACATCCTCCTACCAAACCCATTACTCCTTCCGACGACAGTTTTGCCAACCTGGTGTCATTCGGGGGGAATTCTAACAAGAATCTGTCTCTGCTAGAGCAACAGAAGAGGCAGACGGAGGCGAAGCTGCATCAGCAGCGGGCTCAAAGTCAAACACTAAAAGACCAATATGCTGGCGGGGATGACCAATTCTGGAACACTTTAGGGAGTGGCAGGGGAACGCCGTCCACGGACAGTTCTCGGAATGCAACAACCTCGAAGAATGGTGTCGTGAACGATGGTGGCGACGATGATCTCTTTGCTGCTTTCAATCGCCCTCCTGAGGCTACATCAAAGCTAGCTACTGCAGCTTCGGAGAGAACCGTAATAAATAACGATGACGACCTATTTGGGCTTTCAAATTCTGCTTCACAGAGGGCCCCAACTACCGTCACTGCTATCTCCACGGACGACGATGTGCTTGGACTGCTCGGTAGGCCTGCACCTGCCCTGACTAGGAAAGAACATCCTCCGCCTGCGGCGAAGGCGAAGGCTGAATCAGCGGACCTTCATCCTCAAGACAGAGCGGTCGCGGAGCTTGTCGACATGGGATTTACCGCTGACAAGGCAAAAATTGCTCTACAACACACCAAATCCGGCACTGACATCCAGGCTGCCGTGGGGTACCTGCTTAATGAGGCACACTCTGACTCACGCCAGCACTCACAGTCAAGAGGTGCGATTTGGGAAGGGGGGCAGTCAAATGTTGACCGGACGAGAAGCGGACCCCGATTACCAACATCAAGGCCGTCGACACTGTCTGAAACGGAAAACGGCACTAGAAATCGAGACCAGGGCTTTGCACGCACCACAGAAACAGACATCGAACACAAGGCAGCCGAATTTGGAAATAACTTTTTGAAAACAGCTGGTGCATTGTGGAAACAAGGCACAAAGAAAGTTCAACAAGCTGTACAGGAACTTAACTCTGACAGCGATTCTGGTAGTCAGCCCCGTTGGATGCGAGAAGCAGAGCGGCCGATTCGAAGTGATGCTCGAGTCCGACGGAGGGAGGACGAACTGGTCAAAAGTCGGATACAAACGCCAAGTAGCGATGTTCAAGGCTCTGTCGGTGTCACAGACGAAGCTATGATGCTCGAATCTAGCCGGCCAAACCCCCCACCGCGTCTGGTGGCATCGTCGCGGGCAGACCGGCGGGTTGACTCTAGCGCTGACAGCTCTCGCGACCATTCCCCGAGTATGCACTCAAGTCTACGGGAATCGCTTTCACAGAAACAGCCTGCGTTCATGCGGCAGCAGAACTCGGCTCCGATTGCAAGCTCAAGATCCACATTAAACAAAACGACAGCTGAGGAGCAAGCCGCCCAAGCATATGTCAGTTCAGCCCGACGGCGCAAGCCTCCGCCCGAGTCTCAAGTGCCTACTGCCTCATCAGAACCAGATCTTCTTGATGGAGCGCCGAAGACTGTGGGCAACACAAGGGAGCCCGTAAAGGTAGCATCGAATCTTCCCGCTCGTCCTCACTCACAACTTGCGAGGCGTGTGGAAGCACCTGTACGGCAGCCAACTCCAACTCGCAGGATCCCTCCGGTATCTGAAATCAGTCTCAAAGCATCTCATTCACACCGCGAAAAAGGGAACGAACACTTCAAACGCGGGGACTATTCCTCCGCCCACCAATCGTACGCCACATCCATATCACACCTGCCGGAAAACCACCCTCTGGTCATTGTTCTTCTTACCAACCGAGCTTTGACGGCACTGAAAATAGGGGAACCGAAAGCCGCCATCGCAGACGCGGATAGAGCCATAGCTGTGATCGGCCCATCAAAAGGTGAATCTGAAACCATCGATCTCGGCACTGGTGATGCTCCCAAGCCCATGCGTGAGTACTACGGCAAGGCCCTTATGCGCAAAGCCGAGGCCCTAGAACAGATGGAAAAATGGGCTGAGGCGGCTCTTGCCTGGCATGAAGCTGTCGCGGGCGGCCATGGCGGCGCTTATAGTATTCAAGGCCGCATCCGCTCTGAGAAGGCCACAAACCCAAAACCATCGAAAACAGCACCTTCGCTAGCTGCGAGGAAGCCCGCCGCCTCCACTCCTGTCATAAGCCGCCGTCCCGCAACAATAGCATCATCATCGTCGTCATTGTCATCTGCCTCAGCAGCGACAGCGACAGCTCCAGCGGCCGCCGTGGCGCGACTCCGCGCAGCGAACGTTGCAGCAGAAAAGGCGGACGACGAGAAATTTCGTCTCGCAGATTCCGTTGACGCTCGTATTCAAGCGTGGAAAGGCGGCAAGGCCGATAACCTGCGGGCTCTCCTGGCAAGTCTGGAGAACGTGTTGTGGGCAGGCTCAGGGTGGAAGAAGATCAGCATGGCCGACCTTGTACTACCTGGCAAAGTTAAGGTCCACTATATGAAGGGAATAGCGAAGGTGCATCCTGATAAGGTACGTGTCTCAGATCATAAGCTTTGTCCGCTATTGTGCTGTTGCCAGATTTGGGAGCCCATCCGATCCTTATTGCATCTCGTGCACACTTGTACCTTATGTGCTTCTATTTCGTGCATTTCTGTTACTGATTCGTTTGTTTAGATTCCGACGGACGCAACGACCGAGCAGCGCATGATTGCCGGGGCAGTGTTCAGCACGCTCAACGAGGCATGGGACAAATTCAAGGCGGAGAACGGGCTCTAAGATCCATTCTTCCGCCAGAAGTCATGGATGAGGTACAGAGGAGGCGAGATCAGGAACATACACTCCTGTCTGAGCCTTTGATCCAATATAGAAGATAATCCATGACCTGTATAGTTCGACTTTCCAGCGGTCATGCCCTTGCATTGCCTTTCTACTTAAAACATCCTCACATCCACATATTATCTCTTGTTGCCACCTATTTTGACACCTTTGTTCGACTTCTTCCCTTTGGACTTCCTAGTGGCCCTGGCAGCTTTGGCTTCCAAGCCTTGCTTGACTCGGGCAGAGCGTTTTCTCCAAGCCAGCCACCGGTCCTGCCGATCATAGGGGCGGATATTAACCCCTTTCCTTTCTGCAGCGCGACCAATGGACACGTTTGCTTCACGGTATGTACCCTCCCGCTGGATAGTAGGCAGAGGGGTTGTAGGAGTTGATCCGGTTTTGAAAGGAGTGTAGCCGTAGGTGCTGGAATGGGATTCTAGGAAGTTTTTGTCGGATGGTGTCTCTCTGACCGTTGTAGCATACATCCCTAGGCGTCTGCGAGACGGAGCGTTCGGAGGGTATGGGAGCTGTGAACCAGGCCCTTCTTTTTCCAAGGCCACTCCTATATATCGCCGCTTCGGATGCTTAAGAGGATCTCTGTAATATCGAACGTAGCCATGTTCAGTTGCATAAATCGTATGGTCCTTGCCAATACCGACGTTCTCGCCGGGGTGCCATTTTGTGCCTGCAGCCCATACTTATTAGACGTGTTAGGACCAGAGTCGAGCATCATTTTACCTCTTTGCTTAAAAATAATGTTTCCCGGCACCACATACTCAGAGGCCGACTTTTTAGCGCCTAAACGTCTTCCGGCAGAGTCGGTAGGACCATTTGCTCGACCTTGTGTTGCATGAGAAGCATGCCGGACAAAGGTTGCAGGAAGCGTGGGTTGAAGGCGCGTTTGCTTCGAGCAAAGGCTCAGTGAATTCAGAGAAGAGAGCAAAGAAGTGACCACCGAGTCTGAAGGCACTGCAGGCCTGTATAATCGCGGCTGCAGCATTTTGACAATGATCGCAGACTGGAGCGCAGCTTGAAGATGTCGTTGAACTGGTGACCAACTGCGAAGAAATGAAAACTGCGCTAACCACCTTCAGCCACCCACTCTTTGATGCGCAGTCAGGTAAGACACCGCTTTGACTCCTTTGCTTGTGCAATCTACGTCTCTCGATTGAACACATCTACCAGCATCCCGAGCCCAGCATGAGGGCAATTCTGAGTTTACTCCTCATCTCTGCAGGGTTAGCTGCGGCCCAGTTCCAGTTCTTTGAGCAGTTTTTTCAGGGAGGGCAGCAAGCTCAGGGTACGCAAGAGAAGCAGAACGTCCCCAGCGATTCCAGCTGGTACCGTCAAAACTGGGATGGAGGTATGTTTTCCTCACCAGCCGGGCTCGCGGCTTGTCTATTACAAGAGACTGTCGCAGACCTGGTCATGGTCCCGCACAGGTCATTCGACTCAGACAGTGGAAGAAACGTGTTGAATCTTGCTAACGTCGATCAGCGACCTGCTCAAACTATCTCTGTCCCGACACACTCGCTTGCGTTCATTTTCCGCACCACTGCCCCTGCCCGTTTCCAGACGTGGAGGAGAAGGTTGAACTAGGCGAAGGGATCGCCGTCTGCGCAAGCAAGGGTGGCTACAAAGTTGGCGAGGCTGCACGTAAAATTGAATTGGCGAGAAAGGCCCTCATCTAAAGCAAGAAACGATATCCTACAGGACAAGCGTGCCGCGATTTTGAGGCCGATTTCGTTGCCGCGTGTCTCTCGGCATCCGGTATCATCTACCGTGGCTACACACGGTCCAAACCAGGAAATCTGGCCACAATCGCCCAACCGCCGTTCTCTGGCGGTGGGGTTTCGGATCTCTTTCCCGGGGTTTGGCTGGCATCACGTTGCGACATCTACAGCATTATCCTGGCCTAGAAGTTTTCCTTGATGAAAACCATGCATCCCACCGCTGATGGTTTCCCAAAACGCTACAATGGGGAGTAGCTTCCCCGAAACTCTGGTTGAATTCTTCAAAACGCCACAACTCGTGTGAACGGAAGCCATAGCAACCCTATCACGACCCCAGAGACCCCTCGAAGTGTGTCCAGTCTCCCAACAATGTAAGGCGACAGAAGCTGCTTCCCATCGGCCTTCCAACTCCGTCTTTTATAGCATCGGCTCCCGAGTAGAGTTTGGGGCGTACCCTACTCCGTGCGAGTCTTTTGTCCCTCGTCCTCGGCGCGGCACCTCGAGCAGGTAGATTATTAATGCGAAATTTGATCTTGAACCTCAACAATGGAGACCGGACGATCGCGACCCGTCCACACATCCCGAGCCTTTCAAGCCAGGATGTGCCACGAATTCTTATGCAACGGCACAACCTGCGGAGATGCAGACCGCGAAAGCGTATCAAGTGCATTCTCCAGTGGTCCACGCCACCCCAGCCCGACATTGGGCTAGCCACGCCATAGATGCTGCGCAGAGTAATGATCGTCAGATCGAGTTATAGGCTAGGTTAGTGCAAACCGCCAATGACATTGGGTAAATGTGTCGGCCGTTTCGTCGATTGGTCTACTCCTGCATTTTTGACACTTTGAGTCCATGTCTAACCAAGGCCTTCGGGGCACCAGCCCCTCGTGTCGAGAAAGAAAGACGAATCCACTGGTGTACTTGTTTTTTCTGGTGGCCACGCATCGAGTCTAACCAGCCAGGGTGGGAATCTAATATCCGACAGTTCTGTTCACACTTGGACATAATATGACACGTGGATGCCTTGGGGCGCCACCCTCCCGGGACATGAAGCAAGAAGGTTATTCATGGCGGTACCAATACTCCTTTTGCTATTATTCACCACAGACCACCCTTCACACCCACCTTACCCGAAGCCGCATGCTTTGCCAGAACGCCAGCCTTGAACAGCACTAACGAAGCCCCGGACAGGCCTGCGTTCAGGTTGCTTGAGGCAAACACGTTACCCTGGCTCGCCTTGTCGCCGAGACACGCCCACTGACTAGTTCATTTGCTTAAGAAACCACCACGGCACTCCCGCAACCCTTGTCAGCTCGTATTTCTTCATCGCTTATCCCGAAAGGCCCTTTCTCGACCTGGGGAGCGCTCATCATCGAGTCGGGCCTTTGTCGCTCATTTGTGGCCCGTTGCGAGATGACAATGCTCAAACCCCTTAACAGGTCATAGGACTATAAGTTGTCCATGTCGGGAGCTCTTTCAGATGCGGATGCTGGTTTCAAGGCTGGTACTTGAACGCCTTGTCAGTAACGACTCACAATGCAAGAAGAAAATGATAGCCCGTCAGGTTCACCGGGCCCGTCGAAGAGAAGGCGATACTCGCGCGTGAGTAGGGCCTGCAATGAATGTCGGCTCCGCAAGATCCGATGCAATGGTAGGCAACCGTGTGAGCCGTGTGAAGACTTTGAGCGCCGTGAGTATAGCCTGCAAACATTACTGCTTCGGGCATCTGACTCTCTGTCCGCCAGATTGCACATTTACGTCGACCAGAGGCCAGCGCATGGCAGGAGCTCCTCGAACCAAAATCCTCGAAGATCGATTGCGTCGGGCACGCGCCCTTCTATCCACGCTTCAGGCACAAAACCCATCTGCCCAGCTTCATGCTGAAGTGAGCAGCATTTTTGATTCGCCGCCGGGCTCCCCTTCTTCCCTCTCGGACACCACGGGTCCAACGGATGACAGCGCAGGTGACCATTTTGAGAACATGCTAGACGGCAAAGGTCGACTAACCTCTAGCAAAAACTCGACGGAATACTATGGCGGTGGCTCAGGATTTGCATTTCTCCATCAAACTCAACAGCTCTTCAATCAAGATCCTTCCTCGAGCGAGCAATCAACCAATGGCCACGTTGACGTCGATGCTATGTCAAGCCTCTTTGACTCTCCACTCCCTGACAAGCAGGCTTTGGCAACCGAGGTCCCCTTTGTGAAGCTGTTGCCATCGAGGCAGACGGCAACAGAGCTGCTTCACGTCGTCTTTAAACAAACCTATCAGTTACTGCAGTTTTTACATGAGCCGACCGTTCAGAAGCAAACTGACCGCATCTATGACTCCGACCCGATGGACTTCGAAGACTCCGACCACGACTTTTTGCCTTTATTCTACATGTTGACCGCGTTGGGGTATGTTTTTCACCAAGATATGCACCGTAAATATGGGTGCAAAGGAACTCTCAATCAGGCGTAAGGCCATCTAGCAAACTGCTTGAGCTAGCCTCTACTGACGTGTCCAGGATGCGGCATGTGATTGCTGCCCGGAGAATGGTCAATCTCGACCACTGCCGGGACCTGCTCTGCTTACAGACTTTGTTGTGCTTTATCCTATTCCTCATGTCCACAGCTCGATTAGCTACCGCCCACACATTCATTGGACTCGCGGTTGCGGCCTCCATGAGGATGGGCCTGCACTCCAGGGCCTCCTGTGATGGGCTGTCCGAACTGGAGAAAGACGTTCGACGACGCGTATTCTGGACAATCGTCAAGCTCGACATCTACAGTGGTACCGTCTTAGGTCTTCCCGGAATGATCAACCTTGATTATGTGGACCAGCCCAAGCCGAGTGGCCTTGTGCGCGACTATGAAGACGAGAGCCACGGAGGGTTTGCCTCGGTAACTACGCGGAGGGTCTTTGCTGCGTCCGCTCAATATCTCGACGTTCTTTTGATCATGGCAAAGGTGACGCAGAAGTTGTATCCTAAGACTGATGAAGAGGCTCATCGAGCCAATGGATCGACCAAGATGTATGTCAGCAATGCTGTCATATCCGAAATCGAGGGCGACTTCAAGGCCTGGAGAGAGAGATTGTCCAGCGCCCTCGGGACCCCGGACGAAAACGATTCCTTGAGCAGGTAATGAGAATACTTCTGTCCAAGCCGCAAGCTGCGCTAACTGCGATATAGCTGTGTGTATGAGCTTGAAATGGTTCACAATTTTGGCCACATCATCCTTTATCGACCCTTTTTGCACTATTTGGCAAGGAGCAGGGGCGAGAATCCTCCCGACCCCAGACTGTTACGGTGCGCGACATCGTGCATCAAGATCTCTCGATTCACCATTTCGCGCTCCGATGCGATGCTCAAGCAAGGATTCCTCGCACCGGCCGCATGGCAATCTGTCTACACGGTATTCTTATCCCTTGTAACACTAGTATTCTTCCTTGCAACCCAACATGGAAACAGAGAATACGCAGCTATCCAGAAAGATACAGAATGTGGTATTCAGATCCTCGCCAGTACATCGTGCTTGGATATTGGTTCAAGAAGATGTTTGGATGTCTTAAGGGTGGGTTACTGTTTCAGTACTATTTGGTGAATTGGCTAATTCAGCTTAGATTCTCACTCGGAGACTATCACTCGACATAGACCTGAACATTGACAAAATCGCGAGTGAGGCCAAGCCGCTATGCAGGAGCTTGAGCTGCAGTTCGAAGGCAGGTCTTCCCGGGGAACATCTGCCATCGAATATTGATCAGGACGCCAACCCTTCAAGGAATGACAAGGTTGGCGCGAAGGCGCCCCGGGAGACGTCTGCCATGCCCAACAATCAGCGACAATTTGTTCATCGCCCTCAACCAACAACTCTGCAAAACCCAGCCATAAACATGCTCTCAGCAAATGTAAACATGTATCCGCCACCATCATTTCCCTACGCGGCACAGCCTCTCATGTTGGGACAATCAATGGGCGGAACAGGCACTAGCCAAGCCCCCGACTTTGCAATGTGGGATCTTGAACATCCTCAACCCCAGGAAGGGAGGGGGTCGTTTGGTCATTCATCAGAAATGGAGGTGCCGTACACCGAGGGGTTTGCCTGGCCGTTTGAAGTAGCAGGGGGGAACGCAGACAGCAATCGTTCGCGCCGGCGGGGATCACGCTCCCAGCCTATGGGCCATCCATTGACCCAACAAGACATCGCGGCATTCATGCGTATCAACCCGGGAGAGGAACCATTTCTTTAAAACCGGAGTGTTGAAGGCGGATGCACATAAACGGGACTGCCTCGTTCTACAGAGTACAATGAGAGACATGCGCGACAACAATCTGGATGGAATGTTAAAAAGAAGGAATCGTTCATGATCCCGGACCACAAGGTAGGTTGTACAAAACATAACGGTGATTCAAGAGGTTGTTGGCTTCACGAGACGGGAAGGCATGAATCGACACAGACTTTGCCGATATTCGCCCACGCGAACAACCCCTTCACTCTAAACACCTGGTAGATTTCGATTGGGTACTGCGATGGTAACTGTAGGTGTTGTCAATCGTGGTGTGGCAAGAGACTTGACACCCCTTGCTTGAGGCTGCCATACTCTGCAGAATGAATAGAGTGTGGCGGTGCATGGCCTCCTTAGCCCCAGCTGTGGCGCAGCTGGGGCGCCCTGGAAGTTGGCGACGTCATGGCACCCTTTGCACGTTACATGCAGGCATGCGATAAAAGTCGCCAGAACCTTGAACGGTACGGAGTCCTTCAAACGAGATTGGTGCCTGTGCCTACCCTCGAGTACCTATTTAACCACCTAATTCCCGCCAACCCCAAGCAATCAAGCCATATCTCTCACGCCCCCATCATCAGTCTCACATACATAGCATCGGTATAGCCAGCCGCATCGATACGTGGTCAATATGTCGGACGCTGCTCCAGCTCTCCTTGTTATCCTGATCACCATCCTTTGTAAGTCCAGTCCTATGAGGTGTAGGGCAGTACGATTGCTGCTCTCCTCTCCATCGGATAGATATGCCCAGCTAACTCTGTCTCTTTCCAGTACCACCTGTCGGCGTGTATCTCGTCGCCGGCTGCGGAGCCGACCTCTTTATCAACATCTGCCTTACTCTCCTGGGCTATATTCCTGGCCACATCCACGCCTTCTATGTCGAATATGTTTACTTTGACCGCCGAGAACGTGCAAGACACGGCCAGCTTGCTGGCCGTCCCGCACCTGGGGTCTACGCGGATCGAGTGCAGAATGGTGGATTCCAAGGGTACGGCACGATGTGAGTGAGCATCGATGGGAGCATCTGCTGTCGAGGTGGATACAAAGCCGCAAGGATTTAATACGGGAATGACGAGGTCGGCAAGGAAGACGCCCGGGTCAGCAACCTGGTGCGGGGACCGAATCTGGCGCTCGACGAAGATACCTGTCCCCAGCCATGGAGTTGAAACCAGAGGAAGCAAGATACTCTACTCGGTACAGAACTTTGGCGCATGCCCTGTACTGCCCCAGGGCTCCGCGTCTTTTTGGGGGCGACACCTCTACCAGAGTTGATTGATTGTTTCATACCTAGCGAAGTCTACCTAGCTTCCATGTGTTGTTCTTGCGATTTCTAAGAAATATTATTATGAGTATACGGAGTACACATTCGCCTACCAGCTATTACATCATGTTCATGGCTGATCCTCTGGTCGGTATCGAGAGCAACCTGATTAGAAGAACGAGGGTGGAGGTAGATATAGCATCACGGAGTACGGATACTTTCATCGGGCTATCAAGACAAGGGCACCTGCAGGTACGACTGATAATGAGCTTACCTGTCTACTAATCTAGTAGGTATCTCCTCCGTATGTATACTGTATTAGCGTATATTGTACGTCCGTGCTGCGTGGGGACATTCTTTTTGAACTTCAGGCAAATGTTGCTCTAGTGTTTGCCACTAAGTGAGCTGCGCGCATAATATATATATATATATACACACACACATTTATATATACCCCGTACAAGACTCTTCGTACACACATCATGATCCTCGCAGGATACAACTTGAGGTGTGCTTCCTTGCCTGCCTGGCCACCATTCGAGCCACGTCAGCAGGGCCACTAAAGTTGGCCCCCTACACCATGACAAAGTGAGACGAAGAAGTGCTTAGGAGGCCTAAGGCTCAGGGGCACCAATTGTATTGCTACAGTATAAGATTTGTTGGTGGAATCGTCAGGCCGGCAACGTCCCACTCTCAAATCAATGGACCCCAGCAGGATAACCTTTGCGCCCCGAAACACCCTGGTGACGCCTGATATTCTGGTTGCGCCACCACCACCGCTGCCCCGGCGCGCGGCAGAGCGGAAAAGAGACATTTCATATTTGATCCTGCTCTTCGACTAGAATTAAGCCTGGGAATCGAATGCATAAGGCTGCTTGAAACCGGGTCGTCGTTGAGTTACATATGTCGGAACCGGATTTCATCGAACTACCTGGTCCGTATGGCTCTAGACCTCAGGCATCCGGAGGACATTTTCATGGTCGTCCGCCTAACAAACCAGTTGGCTCTTTCAACCGCAAAACTGCTTCGGCCACCTACAACCCCATCTTGACGCCGCGAGACGAGGATGAATATTCAGGGTTTCCGGCTCGAGAGGACCGTCTGGCCGCCGACCTTGGTCCCGGCAGAAGTGGCAAGTTCGGCGTCGACCTGTTTGTGGAGATTGCCGTGTGTACTTTTGCTGTACTCGCGTCAATCCCATTCATATGGCTAGCTGTGACCGTGACCAAGTTACACCACAAGGAGGTCACAGAATCGCGGTCAGACTACATCTTGCAGGCCACCAGCACAGTTTGCATCCTCGATCCACTGTGGCTGTTGAAGTACTAACAACGGCAGGTGTCTACTCTGTTCACTATCCTTTTTGCTGCGGTTCTAGGCTCAACGTTGAAACGCTTTGCTACCTGGAGACTGGAGCGAGGTACCCGCCTCGGTTTGTTGGAACAGATCATGCAAAGTCGGACCGTTTTCGCCGCTGTTACCACTCAGTTATCCTTTCGAGCTATCAATCTCACGGCTCTGGTCTTGCTATCAGCCTGGACCTTCTCTCCGCTAGGCTCTCAGGCTTCACTTCGCCTTATCTCGACGGGCAATCTGTATACGACAGACTTTGGACCTGTCAGCTATCTCGACACGATTACGAACCAAGTCTTTGATTCGGTTTCTGGAGTAGACTCTTTATTGACAGCATTGAAACCGACATATATCAGCTCCATTCTTGGATCAGCCAGCATGAAGAATGGGACCATGGATATGTGGGGCAATGTCCGCATCCCATGGCTTATGGATAGCGCAAGCAAAGATGGTAACGGATGGGCTTCTCTCACAAAGGCGCACCTGGCCGAGGGTTCATACTCTTCACTCGTCGGCATTCCGCTTGCATCTCTAGCGAATCGCAACTCCAGTTTTGTACTTGAAACAACATACGTGAATCTGGACTGCGACAAACCGAAAAACGAGACACTGGTCAATATTGGCTTCAATGTGACATCCGGCAATGGGACCTTTCTCGGTCCCAATACCACGACTTCCTACAACAACGGAATCTACCCCTCCTGGCAGGTGGCGATGGACCAGTTTGTGAACAACAACCTCTACTTTTATGGCTACCCTGAGAAGTTGGTCAATGCCAGCGATGCCAACCTCCCGCAGGCTACTTTTCTTTTTCAGGACCCGAGCCCATGGGTAGCTCGGTGTAAGATCAATCAGATCTACGTCGAGTCTAACGTTACGTGCGTCTCGGCGTCAGATTCTACAGTTCTGGTGTGTTCGGTCATGGAACAGCGAAAGTCTCCGAACCGGCATGCCCCATCAACTATCACCAGTCTCAGTTTCCCCAGCACATTTAGCTATATGATGTACGAGTGGATCATGGCAACCGGTCCAATGCTCAGCTCGGGATACTCCACATTGACCGAGTACTATCTCCAGAATACCAGTGCAGCGTTCATTTTAAGTGGCAACAATCGTGATTATGCGGACTATTCCAATGTTACGGCAGAAGCATTTTCTCAACGTCTCGGTCAGCTCCTCAATACGTGGGTCGTTGCAAGCCAAGTGTCGGCGAACCTCATGGATTATGGCTTGAATGCCCGCAATACCACGGCGACTTACCTTGAAGCTCGTCTGGTTTACCTCTGTTCCTGGCCGTGGCTGGGAGCATACGTTGCCTCTATTGCGGTCATGCAGATTGCAGCTCTTTTCAGCATCTGGTGTGTTGCTCACACCACGATTCCTGATGTCTTAGGCTACTGCTCATCTCTCACGCGGGACTCCCAGTTCTTCGGGTTTGTGAAGGGGGGCAGTGCGCTTGATGGGATCGTCCGGGCTAGGAAGCTACGAGACATTAAGGTCAGGATGGGTGAGGTTGTTGGAGAGGCTGACGATGGTCAATTCCACGCTGACTTTGACACCCACTTGGGTCCGAGGTCTCAGAATGATCGGACGAAATATCTTGCAATAGCACCGCCCGAGTATCTCCAAGCACCCAAGCGTGGGACATGGTACGGTTAGCAGAGGCTGTCTCTGTGGAACAATGGTCTCGTGAATTGAATGTAAAGAGCCAGTCTCTGTCACTAATAATCTGTCACTTCCTGCGACGGGTGAACACTCCATAATGCCAGGGAGACGCCTCACTGCTTCACTCTGCTCAGCCTGATCACGTGGAGTTGCCAAGGCTGCGCGTCTTTTGCTCACGCGTCGCGTTCCGCGTCATCTAATCGTTGCATGTACTCCGTACCTTCCCTCCATCACAGATCGCAGAAACCACGTCGTTAGCTGGGTAACGATAAGACTGTGACGCCGTTGCATAGATGTCAGGCACTTGTAGTGCTATTTGAAACTGTCTTGTTCGCTGTTCATCTCACAATCATGGAAGCTGCAGTCCATTCCCCCCACCCGGACGCTCCTTCATTGTCGAATCAACAGTTCACGCCAACCTCAAAGAAACGCAACTACGATGGCGAGATTGTCCATCACTCAATCACCAGCATTGTGTCTCCCGAGGACCAAAAAAGCAGTAGTTTTAGCGCCAGCCATTCCCGTATTGGCTCGCCAGCGTTGAGCAGGGCCAGTACTCCTTTGACCGACATCGGCTCCCTGCCGGCCCACAGTCCTTCTCAACCTGAAATGGCACTGGATAGCAAGACACGGAAGCTGACCTTTGCCGAGCGAGAAGTTGCCAATGCGTTGAAAAGACAGGAGAAGGAGGAGAAGGAGAGGGCGAAAGCCGAAAGGGAGAAACTCAAGGCCGAAGCACAAGCCAAGAGAGAGGAAGAGAAGAAGCGGAAAGATGAAGAAAAGGAAGCCGCTCGAAAGGCCCGAGAAGAGAAACAGAAACAAAAGGATGCTTTGAAGCAGCAGAAGGAAGCAGAAAAGGAACGAAAAGCTCAAGAAGCACGTAAGAAAGAAAGAGTACGTAAGGCACACTGTACTCACTTTTGTTGCTGACCGCCTTAGGCACAACCTCGCATCGGTGCATTCTTCGGCCGACCAACCGCTGCATCAACACCACCTGCCAGCTCTGACGATGCTTCTGCCGGCACATCCAGAAGATCTTCCATTGCATCGATCGATATGGAACCGTGTCTGACGGAGATCAAGACCTCGAAGCCGCCCAACACGGAATTCCGCAACTGGATTCTACCATTTTTTGTCAACGAACACATGGAACTGGCACCATTTAACCGTTTCCACTCACATACTAATCCATTTAACGACGAGCAGGTGCGACTGAATCAGCAAATCACCCCCGAACAGATTGGCACACGATTTCCAAAACGTCGGAGAATGAAACGCATCAAACCCGTCAAAAAGATTGTGGAAGAAATGAATGCGGCGACAGACGCACCAGTTGACTCGGATCGACCAACAGATGATCTTGCTGGGATACCGTATAAGTATTTCTTTTTCCGCGAAGACGTGCGACCAGCATATCAAGGCACTTACACCCGGGCTGTGTCTCCACGGTCGGCACGCAAGATTGCCCGGAATCCTTCTTACCGAGGTCTGCCTGATACAGATTATGATTATGATAGTGAGGCCGAATGGCAGGAACCCGAGGAAGGAGACGATGATCTCATGGATGAAGACGAAAAGTCTGAGGACGATGACAGCGACGAAGACATGGATGATTTTCTCGACAACGAAGGAGAAATGGTCAAGCGACAGGCGCTTGTGGGCGATATGGAACCCAAATCTAGTGGATTGTGCTGGGAGGGAGCAGACCACCGAGCAGAAAATGGGTTCGACCTGAGCAGGTACCGCATGGATGTTCTGCATGACTCGACGACTTTCCCGATTGACCCGTATTCCACCATACATTGGTCAGAGTTTGGCAAGACAAGTCCGAAGAAACGCGAGGGCAAGACGCTGCCGCCGACAGAAAATGGTCCAATGCAACCTCCTCGACTTCCACTTGTGGCTGTGGATGGGAACAGCGGAAGTGTCGTGGCTGCGTCGAATTTACTGGGGTTTGTCTCGAGTCACGGTCAGAGCGAAAACAAAGTCGCGGCTCCACGGTCAATTGCGGGCACTAGTGCAGGAGGGTTGGGAAAGCCATTCAAAATGGTACCGAGGGATCTCCTTCCGGCCTTCAAAGATGCCGTGTCTGGTAGCGACTTGACAAAAGCCGGCATGATTGAGGTGTTGAAGAAGCAATTCCCCAAATGTTCCAAAGATGCCATCAAAAATAGCTTGGAAGCGATTGCCGAGAGGAGAGGAGCGAAGGAGGCCGACAAGAAATGGGTGTTGATCCAGTGAATGAGTTGGCGACTGACAAAGACAAGCCATGCGTTGGGATTGTCCACGATATTTCAACATCAACTGCAGCAAAGGTATAGCATGCCATCTAAGGTGCGAATGCAGAGTGCTGGAGGAAGATGCGCAGTCCCTAGATATGAGCCGGATGGATTGTACGGATAATGGATGGAATGGGGGTAATGGTTCTTGCATGCCGAGTATATGTCAGGTAGAGAAGTGGCCACCAACCTGGACTCTGGTGCTGTTCAAGTGTACAATCCTCCTTTACAATCCTCCTTTACAATCCTCCTTTGTTGTTAAAGCCTCACGGGTGGAGCGAAGCAAATGTTGCATGTTCCTGACCATCAATCACTGAATAATGTGCATGTAGACCCGATTGGAGAGCGCGTATGTGTGGGGATGGCCGTCGTATATGTACTCCGTATTTGTAGGTTGACAGTACTACTCCCTATTAATCGTATTCATTTGATGCTATACATACGCTTTGCCTACTGTAGCTTACTTCTAGTCGCCTCTATTCCGCGCTGAGCAGGCGTATGGGAGATTGTCTACGTGTCTGTCCCTTTCGAAAGGCTCCATGATGTGAATGCAGAAAGGCATATGACAGAGAACAACCGGCAGAAGAAGAAGAAGAAGCAGAAGCAGAAGTACGGATACAAGGACCAGGCATTCGTTACTTGCCTCTCGCAGCTAGCACTTGGTCCGTCTCGACCCTCGACTCGTTCGCTCTGCGGATCAGAATACGAGCTCGTACCACCATCCATAATGGGAGACGCTGGTGTTCCCGCCACTGCCGCCGCCGCCGCCGCCGTCGCCACAGAGCCAGCAGGTTTACCTTCTCTCCGTCCCACAGCCTCGTTCTGGCAGACATCGCATCCCAACCGGGTAGCGGAGCACCGATCCACGCCGGATCTGCCGGCCAAGGCGGCCATCGTGGTCATCGGCACGGGCATCTCAGGCACGTTTGCGGTCGATGAACTCTTGCTGGGTCAAGGCCGAGGCCAAAGCTCCAACCAGGTCAACAGCAGTGATGATCCAAGCTTGAACAACGACAAGGCCAATACCAGCGAGCATGACGGCGAAGTGGATGTTCTCGTCCTCGAAGCACGCACGACCTGTTCGGCCGCGACAGGCCGCAACGGCGGCCACCTGCAACCGGTGATCCACGCCGAGAACAGCAAAATCGTCGACTTCGAACTCGACAACTTTGACCACATCGAGACGCTGATCCGCTCCAACAACATCCCGTGCGACTTCCGTCGCGTCTGTGGGACCATTGGATTCTGGAACAAGACTTATTTCGAAGAAGCCAAGGCAGCTCTGGGGTATGATGGTGCTGCTACAGCTACAACTACAGCCACCACTACGGCTACAACGACAGCTACGGCTGCAGGAGAAGGCAAAGGCGAAGGCAAAGGCGAAGGCAAAGGCGAAGGCGAAGGCGCCAAAGCGAACCCTGTTGCTGTTGCTGTAGCTGATGCCGATCCTAGTACTAGTGCGCCTTCACAAACCAACAACCCACAACCACCACTGGACCACGCAGCCATCACAAACGCACAGCATCGTGCGCTGGTGCGGGTGGTCGAGGACGCGGAAGGACTCAAAGGTCTCGGACTACAACCAGGGGCGGTGGGCGCGATCGTGCAGGATGTCGCGGCGTCGTTGAGCCCGTATAAGCTTATCATCTGGATGTGGGAGCGGTTGCTGGGCCGGTTCGACGCGACGAGATTGAACTTGCAGACCAACACTGCCGTTACGGCCATTGCGAAGATCACAAGAAGCCATAGATCTGGGACTGGGTTTGGGTTTGGGTCTGGGACTGGGACTGGGACTGGGTCTAGACATGAACAAGAACATGAACAAGAACAAGAACAAGAACAAGCACAAAGACACGGAGATGGAGACGGATACGACCGCTGGCTCATCCACACGCCTCGCGGCGTAGTCGCCGCCCGTCGCGTCATTGTCGCCACGAACGGATACACGTCTCACCTACTGCCCGAATTCAGCGCGCTCATTTCGCCCGTGCAGGCGCAAATGTCGGCGCTGGTCCCGCCGCGCGGCTCGCCGTACGCCACGGACAGGTTGATCCCGACCAGTTACGGGTTCGAGGGAGTCGGGACCCAGGACCGCGTCATGAGCGACTACCTGGTGCAGAATCCGCATGTGGTAGGCGGTGCTATAGCCAAAGCTGCCTATCAAACTGAATTGGGTGGTGGTGGTGGTGGTGATGCTGCTGCTGCTCCTGCTACTGCTCCCGCCGTTTCTGGTGGTGGTGTTGATGGTGGTGATGGTGGTGGTGTTGATGGTGGTGGTGATGGTGGTGGTGATGGTGGTGGTGATGGTGGTGGTGATGGTGGTGGTGATGGTGGTGGTGATGGTGGTGGTGGTGGTGCTGCTGCTACTGCTACTACTGCCACCGCCGTTTCCGGTGGCCACCTCATGTTCGGCGGCGGAAGACATCTAGCCGCAGGGAACGGGGTCGGCGTGAGCGACGACTCGTACGTCGACATCGACGTCGAGACCTATCTCCGAACCCTACCTGAGCGATTGAACCTATATGACGATGAATCCGGCCACGATCACGATCACCTCACTCACATCACGCCTTCCCCTTCCCCTTCCTCGGCGCCGCTGCCGCTGCTTGAAATCGCAGCCTCCTGGACTGGCATTATTGGCTCCAGCGCCGACGGGCATCCTTGGGTCGGTCCCGTTCCCGTTCCCGTTTCCAATCCCGTTCCCGTTACACGGCCAGGGTCAGAGTCAGGGCCAGAGTCACGGCCAGAGTCAAAGTCAAGAATATCAGAACATTCGCCCTCCCCGTCCAGCTTATTCCTCTGCGCCGGGTACAGTGGTCACGGCATGCCCAACGCCGGCCTGTGCGGTCGGTACGTGGCGGGTTTGGTGAGGACGAGTTTGAGTTTGGATCAAGACGAGCTTGCCGATGTCCATGGAGGCCAACGTGAGGCCAGTACTAGAGTTGGTCTTCACCATGGTCATGCATCCCCTTGGACCGTTCCTCGAGAGTATCTGCTCACCAAGGAGAGAATGGACGCCATATTAGGGAAATGATGCAAATGGGAAACGATGCAAAGGTCCTATGGTGAACTATAGAAAGGACTGTCCAATGGGTATAATGACTCCAGTTCTGTCCATCCTGGATCTACATTTAAACAATTCGTAGGAAAATGAAAGCAGGGGTCCTTGGTGAACTATAGAAGGAACTGTCAAATGGGTATAATGACTCCAGTTCTGGCCATCCTGGATCTGCATTTAAACAATTCGCCTGTCCCAGATTGCTTGCCTAAATCGCAAATCCACCCAGATTGCTATCCCCCCAGAGCGGCGCCTGAACATACTCCGCCGCCCGCTCGTGTATGTTGCCATAGTTCCAATCGCCCGAAGATCCAGTACTGTCGGGAGTGATTGGACCCATCCCGACCCCCGAATTGATGCCTGCACCGGTGCCAAGAATCCCACTTGTGCCTAGGGCTGGCGAGAACGGCTCCTGCTTGAGGGTGGACAAGGTGGGATACTGGGAACGTGAGCTGAGTTGTGCCTGTGTCTGTGTCGGGCTTGTGGTCGCCGGAATTCCCGTGTACACACTTCCTGAGTTGCTTTGTCCATTCGTATTCGACGCGAATAAACTCTGATATTTCGCGTTCGGATTCGGGTTCGGCTTGGATTTGGGCCCGGCAAGAGCTGCGTTCAACTTGCCTAGCGCGTTGAGCGACTTTGCCATGCTCCGAGCCCAATGAGGCGAATCAGCGAGTGGCGGTTCAGAACCTAATACAGCTCGGTGCATTGGACCGTCCTGTGATTGCAAATCAAAAGAAGGATCTTCCGATGTCCGTTGGGCGATGACTTGTTCAAGATCACGAAGCAAGGATAGCCGCTGTGGATCGTGCCCGGTCTCCGGTAGAGTACCCAGGAGAAAAGCGGCCGAGATGGCGCGTTGAATAGCGATCCATGATCGTGAGGCAAATCTGTTTGTTGCATGCAATTCGACGTATGATGCAACGGCTGCCTCCAGATTTTCGACACACTGCCGCCGGAATTGCGCTCGAGTGGTTGTGTCGAGCGCAGTCGAGCCAGGGGACTGGGTCGAGGTCTGTAAAGCCTTTCGACGGCCTCCAGGGGGCGACTGAGTCGGGGTCAAGTTGGAGAGGTTGGCTCCCTCCGAAGTCGACGGGGGCGGTTCCTTCAACGCTGGACGACATAACTCACTGGAGAGATAGGAGCAGTGAAGTTTTAACGCCAGTCGTTCAAGATGCTGGGTCATACTGTGGCACTGACTGCGTTCTCGAAGGTGGACCGCGCCTTGCGAAACGATGTCGGATATTTCTTGGGTGTATTTCCGGATTCTCTCCCATGTCAGGTAAGAGCGAGGATGGAGAAGACGTTCTCGCACAATTTCCTGAGTCAGTCGAATGATGCCAAACATGGTTTCTGCATAGCTCCGGTCTCCTGGCGAGCTGAACTTTCCATATGGGATGTCCGGAATACACAAAACACTGGATGTTGGCCGATCGTAGCTCACAGCAAAGTGAGAATCCTGCCAGGCGAGTGCCCACCAGATCCGGCGACGCGTCCACTGTTCAGCCTCCGTGAAATGATTAGAATTGATCTGCAATCCGATCGAGAATGCCATCCGGAGTGTCATGCCGAGGAAGATGTAGGCGACCCCAGGATTCATGTTGTAGGAGAGGACATTTCCAATGATCAACGAGGCCTCGATTGTCTCCAGGCATGGATGGGTCAGGAAGTTGGACATTCGAAGTGCTTGATAGGAGCAGCACACTGTTCCACGTCAGCCAGTGTTTCCCCAGCGCTTGCACTTGTACTCACCGTAGACCTGCGACGTAAGCTCTCTCTCTTTTGCGGGTCTCGCCGATGACTGAGATCCAGACGCAAACACCGCAAACACCAGAGACAGCCAGGGCAAGGAAACGCCGTACGGCTTGTTGGGGTCGAGTTCGAGATTGTCGCGCAAGGCTCGAGCCCGGTTGGAGAGCATGAAGATCAGGGTATCCTCGAAACTGGCCGTGTCAGGCACTACGGGGTACATGGTACAGGCGACGTCTCGGTAAGCGACGAAAAACCTGTGCAGTGTTAATAAGGCAGCTTGTCTTCGTCGGGCCAAGGGCGACTTGCTCTTTACAAAGATCGTCGTCAGGAATGGCTTTACAGAGGCCGCTGACATCTTGCATGCTTGAGGCAGTGCTCCATAGATCGACGAATGGGTAGGTGGCGCTCTCATTGTCCAAGCCCAACTGAGGGAGGATGTTCTCCTCCAGGAGAGACCGGGCAGTATCTTGAGCAGATTGGCTTCTTCCTAGACCCATCATGTATGCAAGAACCGACCTCGAACCCAGATGCATCATACCCATCTGGTTACTGGGGGCGTGGATCCCTTCTCTCTCAGCGTCGTCGGATCGACTATGTGTGCCTGGTAGATTGGCATCGTCGATATCTGGTTGAATTGCCGCAGGAGAGACCGACTCTGTTTTGGTGGCGCCACGTAGACGCTGCAGTTCCCGATTCATGATTTCCCACTGTTCACGCGCTACCGTGACATATTGGCCGCTTTGCAGCAGAGGGTCATGATTGTCGGACACACCGCCCTCAGGGTGGTTCAGGCCGCTGGCGAGAGCAATGCGGCGCTTTTTCGTAGGGCGTTCATATGAACATAGCTCCGGGTGGTCTCGTTTGACACATGAATCGCAGGGTAGGTTACGGTCACATTTGACCTTGCGCCGGTGACAAGCGTAGCAGGCCTTTGGATCTCTGACCTTTCTCTTGTTCCTGATAATCGCATCGATCTCTTCCTGAGCCATTTCAATCCTACCATCTACCGCAGTCTCGAAGTTGGAGTCATCGTGATAGTCACTGGCCGCGTTGTCGGCAGCGAATGCGCCACGAGAATCCATACCGAATAACCGTCCCAGAGGGTGGAGGAGACAGGGTAGACGAGATCAGCGGGCCGGTGGGAGGGAGTGACGAGGCAGCCCGGCTATGAGGACATGTTGGCGCAATGAGGGCAGGATGTTGAATTGCGAACCACGCCTAGCAAGTGGAACGGTGTACGGCAACGGCAATCAAGGGAGGGCGGTAGTCGAGGTGTGGAAGTTGAAGGGATTGCACCATGAAAAGAAGAAGCGACTCCGTGATGGCAGCTTGCAATGTACCAAGTACTAGTAGTGGTAAGTAGTACCCAACAGTAATAGGCGGGGAGGTTCGCTGCACTTGGCTCGAGGGCACGGACCCCTCCAGAGCTCGTTGAATCGTTGGATCGTGGGATGGCGCGAAACAGCGGGCAGCGACAAGAGTTGGGTTGAGTCAGGATCCGTACTCCATACAGAGTACTCTGTAGTACGGAGTACTGACTCCAGAGTCACGGAGTACTAATAAATACTGGGACTGCGATGGAGATAGGGATAGGGACTGCCAGTGCGTGCTACTACTGTGGGCGGTGCAAGTGCAAGCAGACTCGCCCGCTGCTGCCACCAGCTGCTGCTGCCGTCCGCTAACCCTGAAGTGCACTAGCCACTACGGACTTCTGGGCGGCTTGGCAGCCAGCCTCGTCGGCGTCTTCTACGCTCGCTGCGACTTGTGACTCTTGTGATAAAATAGTGGCCTCGAAAAGCCTCATTCCATCTCTGATGGCATTCTCTATGGCCCCCGTGCTTTCCAGAAGAACCCCACCATAGACGACAGACTGCGCCAATGGTACGCGCTTCCGCCCGCTCCTTTGCAGCATCGCGGTGAGTTTGAACCTTTTCCACCATGTCGCGTGCAGGAACTGTATAGTATCGTCTACGAATACAATGGACGGCTCTATGAAGCTAGTATGCAACCCGTGTTGCTCGGGCCGATCGAGCTGTTGGTTCCGCCCAAACACATTGCCATTGAGGGATATTTCCTCTGAGTCTTCGTGAGTTGACTAGTCGAATGGACTAGGGAGGCTTGTAAAACATACCCAGCATGCGAGATTCTTGTCTATTATTGAGTTATTAAATTTTTTTCGGTCTTTCTTCTCCACTGGCTCTTCGGACGTGATTGACGTTTGCAACGGGACCTGGACGAGGTAGCTGTCTCTTTGCTGCTCACCGTGCCACGGTTGATCCGATCAACTCCCCTGATACATTCTATATCTTGGGATGACAACGACTATCATAAACTGTGTTTTACAAATGGCCCTGAAAGGTTCCCTTTCCATGCCCCTTACTTCTTTCCATGTTCTCTTCTGGTTTCCCTTTCTGCCGTTTCATATGACATTAGTTTTCTTTTCTTTTCTTTGGGGCTTTGGTGACGCCAGTTTTACTCCTCGCCCATGTGAGCGTCCGAGATCCTCCATCGGTCGAACCATCTAAGGTATGCGTATTGGCGATTGCTTCCTTGCATGCCGAAAACGATCGGGCTGAATAATACAAACAGCCCGATGGTCACAGCATACAGGACTAAATAAACGCTCCATCGTACCTTCTTGTTTAGTCGCTGCGTGGTCCAGTCGACGCAAAATCCTGCCACCAAGATCGCAAAGTAGAGAGCTGGATAGTAATGGTGGACGTAAGTGACTCGCCCCATGATCACAAAGGGCAAGTAGTGGAAGAACCAGCCAATCACTGGATAGATGCCAGAATAGTGGATTTGGTCGATGTCGCCCGGGCTCAGCTCGTTGTATCCTCTTTGCCATCGGATCAGATACCACAGGACAATGAGTCCTGCGACGCCCAGTGACGCGGTCGAGCCCCAATACACCATCGGATTTCCAAGTAAGAAATATTTGGTGATATTATCGTCCCAAGAGCACATTCTAAGGCCTACATGCAGGATGGGCCATTGCCAAAAGTGTGATGCCAGGTCGTCTTGTTTATCGGGATCGGGGACCAGGGCATTGTTGGAAGTCATCATTGCAACGTTGAGATGGATGAAATCTTTCAAGAAGGGTGACCGGAAATTCTTCGTGTCGGCAGGGGGCACTGCAAGGCGTGTTAGCTCAGGGGAGAATTAGGAAAGCGTAGCTGGACTTACGTCGGTCATTAACATGAGATTCCACGTTCCAGTGAGTGTAGACATCCCGAGGATTGTTGGCCTTGGTGCAAGTCACTTCAATCTGCTTGAAACCCCATTGAGGGAGATTGACAGTTCCAGCTCGTAGGTAGCAGCCCATGTCGGCGTGTCGCAGCCTGAAGGCTGTTGTCAGAGTGCGGATTCGGGAACGGTCAGACGAGGCGGCATCGCTAACCACCTCAACCTGCCAATGATCCTTCTCGTCTCCGACGGTAGTATTGCCGTAGCAAGACACTTCCCAATCGGCCTTTGTGACTGGCGCTGCAACGGTATGCGAATGGAGGTTTCGGCCGGTTTGAGCATGGATAAGACGAATGACTTGTTTGTCCGAGACGAAGCTCAGCGGGCTTTCTGGATCAAACTCGGGTTGGCTTCGGTTGGGCCAAAAGAACCAATCATTGTTGGCATCTTTGTGGTGGTAGCAAGTGACTTGCTGTTGCCCACTGCCTTCAGGGTATGACTGGATGTGGGAGTGAAGCAGACCCCCGCCATAGCCCATGTTTTTGATGGTGACTCTAGAGCCTAGGGCGATTTCCAAAGGCGAATCCTTGCCGACCTCAGTGCCACGGAGGTTCGCCTGGAAGAGCGAGGACATTTGGGCATCGCCAGGGCCGGAGTTCTCGAGGATGAGGAAATGGAGGTAGAACGAGAACATGTACACAAGCAGTGGAATGACGATCAGCCCTACCACTCGCGCAACAACATGGGCAGCCAGTTCAGTCTTAGGCAACTTGAGATCACCAAACTTGTTCCACAGATCCTCTGCCGTGTAGAGCCCAACCAAAGCGGTCGCAAAAAGGCCGACCCATTTTACGCTGCAGACACATCCGATGCTTAACCCGGTCAAGATAAGCCAGAAAAACCACTCGATGGAGAAGCTCTTGTGCTGCAGTCGGTGGAATCGTGCCCAGCAGAGGACAGTAGTAAAGGTAAAGCAGAGCAGCATGGAGTCCAGCAGAATGAATCGTGAGATCGTTGCGTAGGAGTTTTCGCACAGAACCATGAGAGTGACCAGCCACACAGCGGGACGTTTGAAGTTCAGTTCTCTCGCGGTATAGTAAGCCAGGGGAATGGTGACGGCTCCAAACATGGCGTTGAAGATTCGCATAAAGGTGTAGTCCACTCCCTCAGGGTATGTCTCGCCAGACTTGAACTCAAATGACCCGTTGTAGCCAGCTAGATAGCCCGATAAGCCTACTAGCATCTTTCCCAGGGGAGGATGAACATCGAAGTAGAATTCCCGTTTGAGGTAGTGGGACCCAAACTTGCCGAAACTGGGCGTTCGAGTTAGCACTGGAGATATCGAATGTGCAGGATGCCATGGCTTACTGTGCTTCGTCCCAAGTCACGATGGGAGACAATCCTATCCTCCACAGCCTCGTGAACAGGGCAAAGGCTGTGAAGATGATCGGGGCAATCACCCACTCCCACTCATCGAGGAATTGGAGGATACCGGTCTGAGACTAGCTTTGGCGTTAGAGTATTGATCGTCCCAAGAAATGGTATACTCACCTTCTGAAGCTTCTTGGTGTCCTCCGCTTCCACCTGGTAGATGTGTTGTCCATTGGCATTTTCATAGCTAGTCACATTTCTCCGGCGCAGTTCAGTTTCGTCGCGGCCGGCGCCGGTGGTATAGCCTCCGGTGGTACTGGCCATGGTGTGAAGAGAAACAGTGCAGAGCGAAAGAGAGTGTGGCGAAATGAAGAGGAAAGGGTGAGGTGGCCGAGAATGCCAACCGTGTAACCGAAATATTGATAGTATTGGGGGCCAACACAGAAAACGTGCCTTCGCGTGTGCAGAATCGCGAGGCAATGGTCAAGAATTAAGCAAAGAGGTTGTCATCGAAGAAAAGAAGAGAAAGAAAGACAGAGGCAATCTCCTAGCCAGACTGACTGCAAGGAGGATTTATGAAAGGTGAAGAGTGGTGGATGCGCAGCCAAAGAACAACGTGTCTACGATGTCGACCACTTGGCGCGGTTGGAGTTGAAAGGGGGTTTGGGGCTCCATCCGGCGGAAGGAAAAAGGAGGCACGTGAAGAACCGCCGCATTTGTTCCTGTGCAATCGCACACAACGTACGCGATGGACCGAATCTAGCTTCAACACCACTGCTGTCATCCAACATCTTGAATCATTTATTCGAGGATGCTCGACGCGCTAGCATCCCAGTCTTCCACGTCAAGCTAAACTGACGCGTCCTCCGGCTCTGTCTTCGTTGTCGCCAAACAGATTTCCTGCCTCTCTACAATATCGGACCTCTCCAGTGCCAGTGCTACCGACTTCGGTGCCCCAGCATACAACCACCGCATCGACAACGCACGCAAGGACGCCCTCCATCGCTCCGAGGATGCCCCAACCAATGGCTCCGGCCATCAGGCCAACTATGTAAGCGTAAAGGCTGCCTCGCATCCCCGCGCCTTCAAGTCTCAAAGATCTAGCAGTTGTGACCCATCCACCGAACCCCAAAGCTAGTGACATGATGAACCGAGTTGCATGGAGCACAAGCTTGGCTAGTCGATACGGCAAAAGGGGCGCAGAATCACCAGTCCACCCATCACTCCTCCGGCGTTGGGAGAATGTATGTGGATGGAGGGCCGTGGTGGCGTCGTTTGGCGCGAGGAATTGCATCTGAGAGAGTCCTCTTGCACTGATGCTTAAAGGCTGAGAATGAATGGCGGCATAAGTAAGTGTGAGTGGATTGATGAGCACAACGATTGGACTCGGAATAAATGAATACATCGCAACTCCAAGGAGCGTTGTGAGTCGTCGAGGAAATACCAGCAAAGGTAGTCTGACCAAGAGGCTCAAACCGGTGAACAACGCAATCGTGCCAAAAAGCGTCGTTGCAGAGTGGTAGAGGGCGGCTTTGACGATGGCTTGAGGGGTCGGGGCTGGCACGGCTAGACGATGGAAATACCATTGCGATACAGTGGCTGAGGTGATTGTCCGTTGCATCCCAAAGGCAAGGGCGATCGTCCAGAGATACACCAGGATGAAATACACTCCTAACCACCACGTGGAGGTGTCAATGACGAATTTGCTGATGGTCGACCGAGTTGAGGGGTGTCCGCTGAGGAAGACTCTGGTGAACATAGACAGCCACACCCAGGTGAAACTGATAATGAATCCCAGGGTGGAAAAGCCAACCAACACTAACGTTGGGTTCGCGGCCAATATCCTAGTCGCAAATTCCAGGATTGAAATGGCTCTCTGCATGGCCATCCTTCCACGGAGAACAGCTAGGATCCATAGGGTTGCCAGCGCGGCAGGAATCAGTGAACTCCACCTCATTAATACATCCTGGATACTTGAGCCATGCCACGAGCCCTTGTAGCTCGCAATCAGGGGATAGAGGGAGAACGCGTAAAGGATAACCGGTACTGCAACCAAGAAGCCGTAGACCAGGTATCGAACATATGACCGGAGGGCCGCGAGCCAAAATAAGGAAACAAAAGTCGCTACAAGGGTATAAGTCGCTAAAAGGTAAAAGGATCCGTGCAGTGCTGTGTAGATAGTGTCGCCGAGAGGTTGATTGGTGCTAGGCGATTGCGTGTGAAGGAAGACGAGGAACCATGTGGTACACATGGCTGCAAGCGCAAGGAAGTAGACTTGGCCCCAGAAAGGATCATGTCTTGGCTGATGAATGGCAGGTTGTATGCTGTCAGGAATTGATTCATCTCCGCCCGAAGCATTCCGTGAATGTGTAAGCAGTCGTCCTTGAATGCTCTCATTCTCCGACCCTTCTGAGTCATACTCGTTTTTTGTCAATCGAATCGGCTTGCGCAGATGTTGGATTGAAGGGGGGTTTTCCATCAGATCTTCAGGAGGGTCGTCGTCCTCTTCGGTCCTCAGGGTGTCTTCTAAACCTATGTCGACCATCTGGTTTCTGGACAATGTTGGGTCCCCATCTCTTAACTGCGACTCCGTTGACTCAGCTAGATCCGCTAGTCCAGGTTCTCTGCGTCGAGTAGTTGGAGCGTTTCCGTGCCAGGAGCTTCTAATACCACCACCTCTTCCAGTAGACCGGTCATGTGAATCGCCTCCTTGGCTGGTTGCTCCGTTGAAGCTAGATCCAGAACCATCTCCAGCGTCGGATGAGGCCCTTAAGTCACTGGCCCCTAACTGTCGCCGTGAACGCTGGAGTGCGTAATAATCGGCAATCTCTCGCTCATGTTCCTCCTCATCGTTCTCTTCCCGAAACTCATCTGTTGCACTGTAGAAAAGAGGGGCTTGTTGAGAATTCAGACGAGACGCGAACGGAAATGCGGACAATTGTGAGGATGTCGGTTGATAGGGGTTTGGGGCACGGGGAGCCAGTGTCCTAGATGTAGTCGACGTTCTCCATGTTGGGTTGTGTCGTCGACCCTGGCCATCCCCAGATCGACGCTCTTCCGCTGGCGCGAAGCTGATACGTGACTGGGACTGTGCAAGGAACCTAGATGCGTCTATTAGAATGTCAGTATTGTCTCTGAACTTTATATTTGGTTTTTTCGACAACGAACATTCAGAGAACATACTGCCCGCAGGCAGAAGTGACCACACGAGCTAACAGTCCAGTGTAGACCGGGGCCTGATAAGGTGATGGTGGCGGTTGGAAGTCGATCTGGCTTGCAGAATTCAGTAGGTATTCCAGCTGAGAGCAGGGTCAAAGTAGGATAGCTCATGCAGATGTCCTGATGGCAAGTTGGTAGGCCGGCAACATGGAACCGAGTCGGCCTTTGACACAGGACGGGCGATGCAGTGAGTTGTCGGTCGGAAACAGACAATGACTGGCCAAGGCGACAGCACGGCTGCGCTCAACTACTACTATTACCGCAACTTGCAGCTGACACATCCCGTTGCACAATGACGACCACTGCACTGGCCACCAGACTCCTATAGCGTGCTGCCTGACGCAACTGTCTACAACTGTACAAAATAAGTCTTTGGGAAGCCTCTACCACCGGGAGAAGTGACAGGACACAGGAGATATCGACTTCAGGCACTAAATTGACCGTTAGTTGCGCACATGCATGCAATTTTGTTCACAGGCCAGCGTCATCGCACTCCTAGTTAACCATTGTTGTCACCAGACCTTGCCATCTTCGATTCCTAAAACGCACCCACTCGCCGTGCTCTTGAACCATTTTATGATTCTACATCAAACCCAACATACCTTACCTAGGTAGCTAATTAGGGCCACACCGCCGCTCATGCCCAATATCACCCCTGTTCCCACGCCCCCTTGGAACTATATTGCGAAACTTGTATGCATAGGGGATTCGGGTTAGTGACTCCTTGATCTCAGCTGGAAACCATCTGACACCATAAAGCGACAGGAAAGTCTAGTTTGACCATCCGCCTCTGCGAGGGAAGATTCTCCGCCTCTCACGATGTCACCATCGGCGTCGAATTCGGTTCGAGAATAGTGCCTGTTGGCCCTCCGGCAAATGCGTCGTTGGGGATCGGTGCGCCCAATGGCGAGGCCAGACATACAAATTCCGCGGAACAGAAAAAGATGAAGCTATCCTTATGGGATACTGCAGGGCAAGAAACATATAAGAGCATTACACGGAGTTACTTCAGGGGCGCATCCGGTGCTCTGTTAGTATTTGACATCACGCGCAGGAGCAGCTTTGAGTCAGCAACAGGCTGGCTTAATGACCTCAGGCAGATTGCCGAGGAAGGGATTGTTGTCATTCTGGTGGGTAATAAATCCGACCTGGCTGCGCAAAGCACCGACGTAGAGGGCGGGACCAAACGTGCGGTTAGCAAAGAGGAGGCGGAGGACTGGTGTCGAAGAGAGAACGTGGTCAAATATGTCGAGACAAGTGCTAAAAGCGGTGAAGGGGTCGAGCAAGCATTCCTCGAGGTGGCCGAAAGAATATACCAGAACATTGAGGCGGGCAAATACGATCTCACCGACCGAAGAAGCGGAGTCAAAGGATATGGTACTGGCGCTGGACGAGAAAAAGGGAAGGCTCCCAAAACTGTCAATCTTACGATGAACGATGCAGTCAAGAATGGACAAGGCAGGGGATGCTGCTGAGGTGGAGGTTTGTCGATCCTGACACTGAAAACACACTGAAACCCTTCTGGCAATCGAACCAGCCAGACACTGGACGAAGCTGCGATAGTGAGACCATTGGAGTTCGTCTTCCGAGCGCGTCGAGACGCCTATCGAGCCAGACGAGACAGTGCCAATGTCGAACTCAATCTACATGGGGTTCGCGGAGATCTTTGGCCGCTCTTTGACATGGGCAGGCCTACTGGCATACAGTAGCTACCTACCTATACTTGGCCTCGCTGTTTGTTGGGGAGGAGCACAGGAAACGATTTGCTCTAACACAACGCGGTTCAGTCCGATTGCGGAGACCATCGGCTACAACAAAAGACTTACCCCGCGGCTCAGGCAGACTTGGCCATATCGATGCTCGATTGCGCACAGCTTCTCCTCGCTTGCGTGACACCGTGAGCTGTCTCAAGTACATGTCCCAGACTTCGCTGTATATATTTCGTTGTTGTACCCGCCCTTACTTTCAATATCTCTCCTCCGTCCACTGTCGCCGAAATCATCGATTCTACGCCCACACGCTTTCCACGATGGCCAAACTTGACATCTCCGTTCCCGACCTCACCTTACCTGATGGCAACAAGATACCGCTGGTACGTCCAAACATAATCTTGAATTACATGGTGAAGGGTCATTGACTCAATTCTGATCAGATCGGCTATGGACTCGGGACAGCTTGGTACAAATCGGACAGCAATGCGCCCAAAGATCAAAAGTTAATCGAAGCCACTAAGGTCGCCCTCAAAGTCGGTTACAGACACCTCGATGGCGCCGAGGTGTACAACACCGAAGAGGAACTGGGCGACGCCATTAAGCAGAGCCAAGTTCCGCGGGAACAGTTGTTTGTGACGACCAAAGTGATTGTCAACATCGAGGATATTCCTGCAGCCATTGACAAGAGTTTGAAGAAACTGGGACTGGACTATGTCGACCTCTATCTGATACATTCTCCGTTCTTTGCCAAAGGAGACAAGAAGGCGCTACAGGAGAAGTGGGCGCAATTGGAACAGATAGCAGCTGCGGGTAAGGCGAAAAGCATCGGGGTCAGCAACTTCTTGAAACCCCATCTAGACGCCATCCTCGAGACCGCCAAAGTGCGCCCTGCGATCAACCAGATCGAATTCCATCCTTACCTACAACACGGAGATCTGCTTGCATACCATAAAAACAAGGATATCCGGGTCGCGGCGTACGCTCCCTTGACGCCACTTATTCGCGCCAAAGGGGGCCCGATCGATGGAATCCTGGACTCCCTGGCCAAGAAATATGCAGTCAGTCCGGGCGAGATCCTCCTCAGATGGAGCATTGACCAGGATGTTCTGCCTATAACCACCAGCTCGAGCGAGCAACGGCTGAGCGATTATCTGAGAGTCTTCACCTTTAAGCTGACTCCGAAGGAGGTGGAGGAGATATCACAGGTGGGCAACACTCATCATTACCGGGCATTCTGGAATGATGTCTTTGGTGCGGATGATCGGTCGTGAATGTAGAAGAGACATATCCATAGCGAGATATACATAGTCGCACGGGAGTAGTTCCATCGCCCACACAGCGCACAACATGCGCTTCTGAAGTATACCTTCGCCATAAGCAGTTGGACTGTGCTACATTCCTATGTATGTTTTATTAATAGCAGTACCTGAGATCTCTCGCCGACTCCACTGGGTCATTTTCGGGAGCTCAGCCTCAAGTACATCCGTGCACCTCTTTGAGAACCCCACAATTTACGGTACTGGAAGAACCTGATGCCGCCACACGTCGTCACACCACTTGGGAGCTGTGGGAGCTATCGTCGATCATGATGTAGCGATGGAGATGGAGAGAGCTGGACCTGACTTGGGACCCGGGATGCCGCCTCTGTTCTTTTCTGGATGTCAGCCTTTGGCACTAGATCTATTGGGTTCATATATACGGAGCACCTACCTTACCTAGTACCTAGGTGCCTACTGTAGGTACTGTAGCACAATGCAAAGCATGCGCCCAAGACTGTCAGGGTTACGCATGTCTCGTAGGAGACCATTCTACTCGCCGTTGGCAGGAATCCCCGACATCTTGCTCCTGTCAAGAGCTTTCTCCCATTGGCCTAGGTCGTTTCGCTAAGAGGAAGAGGCCGCTTGGGGCTACTACTTAGAGCTGTGAGGTTGTCGCCACCATTCTAGTACGTATATCCGCCGTCAAATGACCCAGACTATCAGTCAGATATCCACCCGGTTCATTCTCCTCCATGGCTATCCGGCATGTCTATGACCATAATAAGTAACATAGTAGTGATTCAGCAGCTTCTCGATACACGCTTACCTCACTATTGTCTGGCGCCCGCTGGATGCTGCAATAATAGGTGTATGCCGCCTCCACAGACAATGCCTCGGTGTCCACTGCCTGCCTTCCGCATGACCCTGCCTATGACCTCTTTGAGGCTTTTGAGGGGTTCAGGTACGATGCCAACATCTGCTAACTCCCAACAGGTAGGATCGCCCTCAATCTCGTGTCGGGTCGGTGTGTCGGGTAGCTACATATTCCACTGCTATTCCCGGAACACGAAGGAGAAAATCATTTAAAGCTGACCTTCCCCCTCGCAAAGCCTCTCTCGTCTTTGTCAGTTTGAAAGCATTGCTCAACAAGCTTCACTCATTCAGAACCAGCAGGCAGAAGCTCGTCCCGAAGTGCATACACTGCAGCTCTACCATCCACCATCATGCATTTCTCAGCCATGCTCGCCACTACCCTTCTTTCGATCCTCACTTTAGCTACAGCAGTGCCTGTTCTTGAGGCTCGACAGACAATTGACCCCCCTGCGAGTTACTACCTACAGACGAAAGTGGTTAATGGCCAGCACAAAGACAGCGGCACCAACAAGACCGACTTATGGCTCTACTCCTATCATACCGGTGCTGGTCTAGGAGATGCCGCTCTTTCATCCAACAAGTCTTGGGCGTGGGAGGGCTACCTGAATGGGTCGCAGCAACTGTTCACCTATGAGAACAACGAGATTGGCCCATGGCCGTTGGCCATCGGCTACGGGACCTACCAACGTAAGATCTGAACTGGTTGAAGATGACGGACTTCACTGACTCTTTATCGCCAGAATGGGGCCCTGTCACGATCAGTATTGCCGAGGGGGCAACTGCCGGCCAAGGATTCTTTTTCAATTCGTCTGGTCTTCAGTACAATCAGAGCATCGGCGGTTGGCTTGGTGAGGATGACCACTTTCATCTTGATATTGCGTTGGGCTAATTGATGATCGTGCAGCTTGTGACTGGTGGCATGGCGTACCACAGTTGTTCCAATTGGACGGCTACTCAGACGGACCTCTGCCGAGTTCGTGCTCTAAAGTCCAGCTCTTGCCCGTCGCTGTCTGAAACCGAGGCGGCATATTGTTTCTGCATAACTTTGGATCGGTTTAATCGCATGGGATGGCATTGCGTGGTTGTTGGGTTTCATATCAGGCGCTGGCATAGCATTGCATTGCATTACTCCAAAACGCATCAACTGGACAGTTGGGGGAGTCTCATGGGGTATCAACATAATATCTTGTACCAATACTAGGTGATCATATCTAGCATCACGAGAATCTTCAAACAGGGCTCTCTCTTTCTCCAGATCCACAGGAGACCAGATCTTGCCGCCCACCCCACTAATGGTGATTTGGACGCTGTTGTTGAAGATTCCTAACTCCCCAAGGCTGGGAAGTCTCCCCATCCGCGTGTATCACTGTCTGGAGTAGCTCGCCTCTCTTAACTTTTGCCGACCGCCGGGACGAAGGATTGGTCTGGGAGCAACCTTTCAAGCTTCCGCTCTCTTGGTTCAGGCAGTTCTGTGACTGTGTCATCGAGGGAATCCTTGGGGAGGGCAGAAAGAAGAGTGGCGTGTCTTGGACAGCGATACGCGTTGGATGTAGGGGTGCTGATGGAAATATGGCTGCGCTATCTGTAAGTATCCCAAGGTACTCTATCACCTCAGGCACCCTGGAAATATTTCTCCGCGTCCTGCTTGGCGTCACCAGGGTGACTGGCCTGAATAATGTGGGCCTCTCTGTTCACGTAATGTGCGTCCAGGGTAATATTCGTCACCGTTCCTTCTCACTCGAGCTATAAAACATGCCCCGCGTCAATTAATCCTGGCCGTTTGTCCTCTCCGTTCACCTGCCCTCCTTTGCTCCTTCATCTCGTTTCATCCACACAACTGTTCTCAGCTCGTCCCGCAAAAATGTCTAACCCTTTCTTCGATATCACAATCGATGGCCAGCCTGCGTATGTTCTCATTCTCCTTTCATCCACCTCAGTGGCTGCCTTTTCTAACCGCAAGAAAGTGGACGCATCGTTTTCAAGCTCTACGATGATGTAGTCCCCAAAACCGCTAAGAACTTCCGCGAGCTCTCGACCGGCCAACATGGCTTTGGCTACAAGGGTAGCAAGTTCCACCGAGTCATCCCCAACTTCATGTTGCAAGGTGGCGACTTCACGAAAGGAAATGTCAGTTGATCATTCCAAGACTAAGCGAATCGTTTGCTGATACGCAGGGTCAACCAGGGCACCGGTGGCAAGTCAATCTACGGCGAAAAATTTGCCGATGAGAATTTCCAGATCAAGCACTCAAAACCCTTCCTGTTGAGCATGGCCAATGCTGGCAGGAACACGTACGTTGAACCCTTCTGCTCCCGGTCGATATGCCGTCTAATCCTCCATATTCCAGCAACGGCTCCCAATTCTTCATCACCACCGTCGTTACCAGTTGGTTGGATGGTGCCCACGTCGTCTTCGGAGAGGTTGTGGAGGGATCTGACCTGGTCAAGAAGATCGAGCAATTGGGCAGTCAGTCTGGGGCTTTGAAGAAACAGGTTGCGATCGCCGATAGCGGTGTCATCTAGAAATGCCTCGCTTGAAAAAAGGCCTAGTCAACGGCATACATATAGGACCGGTCGAGTAAAGCTTGACCTAAAGTCAAAAGGATGGTCCTGCTGCATGTATCTCCACGAAGTGGTCAATGCTGTCAAAAGTTTCAAATTCCTCCAAAGATCGTCCACACGCTTCGTTCGTGGCAACGGCTTTCGATGGTCATCCAAACACTCGTCCATACACTGCCTACCGCTCCTTGCGTACCAATTACATTCGTGGTTGTGCTCTTCCCTCTGCCTGGCCTGGAGTGCGGCGGATGCTTGACGTACGACCGGCCAAGCTGCCAGGCACACCCCTTGCCCTCTGGATTTGTCATCTATCCAGCCCGCAATCGATGTGTTGAGAGGAATGACCATAAGGAAAAGACACAAAACGAGAGCTCCTCTGCAAAGACACCACGCCGTTTCGAGCTATTTGTCTATGCTTGCCACAGCTACGGCCAATCCCACCATCTCTCATGAAGCTCCCTCAAGTCGATTTCAGAGGGAACTCTCAGGTAGGAAGCAATATCCGACTCCGGATCTGCCTCTTTCGTCGTCCAGCCATTTCCAAAGTATGCAAATCTATTCTGACTCTTGGACAGGAAGGTATACTCCCAATCCTCCCACCTGGGCTCTTTCCGGACGATGGTGACGTGGGCAGCACTGCCAGGCCACACCCCGAAAATCCTATGACCGGCTTTGCCCCCGTTGGCCCAGGAGCTACAATTATCCGTCAACACAGTCTTCGGGAAGAATGCGTCACAATAATCGACGAAGTCGTCTGCCGCCTGTCGGGAGGGCTCGACGGTCCTGATGCCTTGACTCGACACTTTCCGCAACAGCTTTGCATAATAGGTGAGTTGGACTTCCACGGCGTGAGGGACCGTCCCTGAAGGACCGCTGCCGTTGGGCCCAGATATGAAGAGCAGATTCGGGAAGCCAGGGGTGGCTAATCCGAGGTAACTATATTGGAAGCCATACTGGCCCTCGGGCTTCCATGCTTCACTGAGATTGGTTCCGCGGGCGATGATATCGAATTGTGGTACGAAGTGGGCTCCAGTGGCGCAGAAAATGGCGTCCACTTCGCGATGCTTCCCATCAACAGTCTCGATCCCCGTTTCGGTGAACCGCTTGATCGGGGTCTGAATAAAGTCCACGTTCTCCTCCGTGATGGCTTCCAGATAGCCAGGGCCGGGGGTAAGCCGTCTGCAGTTCGGGCTGAAATCTGGCACAAGGGTGTCCAACAATTCCGGCTTCTTGGCCAGCCTCTTGCGCATGATCTCGATAAAAGACTTACGCATTGCTTCGTTTTCCTGGGCGCCTCTGAAAGTGGACCCAAACCGTCTCCAGTATTTCGCTTCCAGCTCTTTCCGGAACTTCAAGTACGTCTGATCATCTTTGAAAGATTCCAGTTCTTCGGCTGAGTAGTATTGTGGGTCGAAAGTCCTCTCATCTCCGGCCCAGGATCCCGCAATCCAGGTTTTGTTGCGGGCATAATGATCAAGACGGTTGACAACCCGCTGCAGATTCGGCACGACCTGGATCCCACTCGCTCCGTTGCCGATAACAGCGACGTTCTTGCCCTTGGGGTCAAAGGACGGGTCCCAGTTTGATGTGTGCCTCAGGACTCCCTTATAGTCTGAGAGTCCGGGATAGTCTGGGAGCTTCCAGTAATTGAAGCGACCGACCGCGGTCAGGACAAAGTCTGCCCGGTCCACAAAGGTCTCCTTTGTCTGGGTGTTCTGGACGGTGATGATCCACTTGGCTTCTATATCATTCCATTGCACTGTCTGGATGAAAGAATTGAACTTCACATAGCGATACACGTCGTATTCGCGAGCTCGATCTTGCCAATATTGTAGGATCTCAGCACCCTGGGCAAATCTCTCGGTCCATTGAGTTCGGGGGGCGAACGTGGACTGATAGACGTTGGCGGGAATATCACACCTCACGCCGGGGTAGACGTTCTCCAGCCATGTGCCACCCTAGCAAGCAACCAAAGAAGTCAGGTCTGTGTCGAATCAAGGGGGCCGGCGGGCCGGCGGGAAGTGATGCCGTGACAACTTACCACATCGGCATTTTTCTCATAGATGGTCAAGTCGATCTTGGGCACCTTCGCTGGTAATAGGATCCCGGCAAGTACTCCAGCCAACCCGGCGCCGATGACGACCACGCGCAGACTTCTGACCTCGTCGATGCCTCGATCCTCCAGCTCCAGTTTGGGCTTCCACGGCGAGTCTGGGTACTTGATCGGCGGTGCTGGAGCGTCTGACAGTTTTGGGATCAGATTCTCATGCGAGGCTGAGCCGTTGGACAGCTTGTTGTCCGTTGGCGCGCCGTTGACATCCGCCGATGTTTCTTTAGCCCTCTCTGGAAGCAATGGATATTGATCACCAAGGGCTTTGTCCTCCGATGGGGCGCCCGTGGCCCCATTCTGTTGGCTGGTCGAGTCAATGCTCCCCATTGTCGTGTCTGGTCTGTCGAGAGCCGAACGAAGAGTACAGTTTCCGTGTCACGCTTGTGCCAGACTCCAATGTTCTCGCAGCAGCGGAAAGTATCTTTATAATCCACTTGGGATACTGCTCCCGCTCTCGAGCTGCGGTGGTCTTATCAGGGCGGAATGACTACGCCGGAGTTGACCACTCATAGAGAGCCTCCTGTCGAGCACGTCTTTGTCCCACCAACTGACATGATCATACTCACTCCACATAATACTACTAGAAGTATTCTGGTCGTGAGTTGACCGTGTTCCTATGGACTAGTTTCTTACAAGTACCCGAGTGTTTCGCGGTAAGATGATTCTCGACCACTACCTAGGGACCCGTTTCAGCCTCGGAGAACTATTTTCGACATCGCATGCCGTATGTCGCAACTCTCAATCAGACCAAACCCCTGGCCAACCCCTTGCTTGCTTGCTGCGCAATGCTAGCTGCTGCTTACGCCTTCGAGGTCTTCGCCTTGAGAGAGCTCTGTGGTATATAAGCAGGACGGGCCATGTTTGCCCCTCCACAAAAGAGGTCGATTGATCACAAACCCCGCAAATGGCACCATCTGGATATATGGGTGGTGGTGGTTCGCACCGGATGATGGATGATAGATGATAGTCACTGGGGATGAGTGCAGACTGATCCTCAAGCTCGACATTGTTATGGTACTGTATGTATGTACCTTTACCATTTGCAATCCCGACATTGTGGGACCAAATACAATGAGAAGGTGAACATCAGTGAGTCTTTACGCCCTATAAAGCTGTAGAATTATTTGCTCAGACCTTCGGCGGGACTATTGGTGGAGCTTCAGACCAGTTTATGTACAACTACATAATCAAATATGCTCACTCTCCATCTTTTTCAACACCAAAACCAAAGTGATTGTCTTGGGAGGACGCGTCTTCAGAAATTCTTAATCCATGACTGATAATAATTATGTCGACATGTGTTCCCGGCGGTCCCACGGCATGCACGCTCATGCTCGACATTTGTCGCACGCAATCCGCTTCTGCGATTGCGCCATCCCAAGGCCTATCAGACAACAGCCTCGGAGACACAAGGCACGTTTCTGGGAGAAGACGGAGAATGGCGTCTCTTGGGGCCCATTATTATTATGAGGATTGGTGATGTTGTCTCAACAGGCTGAGCAGTGTTTGAACCTCTTTCAGTCTTTCAGTTTATCAACTGCTTGCCGGTGAGAATAGGAAGTCATTTACCTATAGTGCTAGAATCGTTGGAAGGTAGCATTGCTGTCTGTGCAATCTAGCGGTCACTCCAACCATCTGCTACCCCCCTAATTCCGACAGGCATTTGATTCACTTGAACTGGGTGGGAGACGTCGTCCAAGTCCAAGGTGATACTTCAATACCGCCACGATGGGAGACGCCAGCGAGACGCAGGGCCATGTTTCGGCACCAGATGGCACCAAAAAGCAAATCCTCTTAAATGCTTTTGATATGTCCACTGTCGGACATCTGTCCCCTGGGCAATGGAAGGTAAGTTCCATCCTGGGGAGGGGAAGGGTCTGCTGGTCTTGGACCAAAGTCGATGGGGATACACGCTGGTAGCGAGGAGGAGCACACGTTCTGACAGACAAGCAGAACCCGAAGGACAAATCAGCCACCAAACGAAAGCTTGATTACTGGATCGATCTTGCAAAGCTGTTAGAGCGAGGCGGGATCAACTGTCTCTTCCTGGCGGACACATATGGAGGATACGACACTTACGAGAACTCGCTGGACAACTGTATCCGCAGAGCCGCCCAATGGCCAGTGACGGATCCAACCATCGTAAGTCCTGTCTTGCCCTTTCGCTGCCGCAATTCCTCCCGCGACGAGGGCGATAAAACCTTAGGAGAGGTTCGACAGACTGTTTGGATCGGTCTAACAACTTCACCTACAGCCTATTTCTGCAATGGCGGCAGTCACGAAGAACCTGACTTTCGGCATCACAGCTTCGACTTCGTTCGAGCCTCCTTTCCTTATGGCCAAACGATTTTCCACCTTGGATCACTTGACGAATGGCCGCATCGGCTGGAACATTGTGACTTCATGGAAAAAGGCAGCCTTCAAAGCCATTGGGCTCGAGACTCCCATTGATCACGATGAGCGCTACCTTCAGGCCGATGAATATCTCCGGGTCTTGTACAAGTAAGTTTGGTGTCCCTCAATTAATTCCGACCTGAAGAACGCCCCCATCTAACCCGCCATCCAGGCTCTGGGAAGGATCATGGGCCGACGATGCTTTGAACCCGGACCCAGAAAACGACACCTACGTTGACCCGGATAAAGTGCGTGAGATTCACCATCATGGCAAATACTTCAACCTCGACACCAGACACATTGTGGACCCGTCGCCGCAACGAACGCCATTCCTGTTCCAAGCAGGCACGTCACCTGCCGGGTCAGAGTTTGCTTCCACGCATGCCGAGGCCATCTTCGTGTCGTCCCACTCGCCCCAGGTTCTCCGGCCGAAGATCGACAAGATCCGGCAACTTGCGGCCGCGAAGGGGCGCGATCCCAGATCAATCAAGTTCTTTGCCACATTCACCCCGATTGTGGGCAGGACCGACGAAGAAGCCAGACAGAAGCACGAAGAACTGAAGAAATATGCCTCGACCATCGGCGGGCTCGTGCTGTTCAGCGGCTGGACGGGGATCGACATTTCCAAGATCCCCATTGACCAGGACATTACCGCGGCGGATTCGTTGGAGGCGCATAAAGTCACCAGCCTCCTCGATGCCTTCACCACCACGAGCCCGGATATACCCAAGTGGACGCCGCGGGTGGTGGCGGAAAAGGCCGCGATCGGGGGCCTCGGTCCTGTGGCCATTGGGAACCCGCAGACCGTGGCGGACGAGCTGGAACGATGGGTCCGCGAGGCTGATGTGGATGGGTTCAATCTTGGATATGTGACCACTCCAGGCACCTTTGAGGACGTGGTCGACTTGTTGATCCCAGAGCTCCGCAAACGTGGACTGTACCCGGAAGCGCCTGAGGACGGCTTGACTGCGCGAGAAAAGGTCTATGGCAAGGGACAGGCCAAGTTGAGGGACGACCATGTGGGCAGCCAGTACAAGTATGATGTGTACAAGGAGGAGAGTTCGGGGCCTGAGCCTGCGAAGACAGAAGCATAGGAACCAAACACAGACATTCACACCGTGTTGTGGAGGGGCTGCCGGACAAGGCGCTGATCCACCACGCCCATTTTTTATGTTGACCAGACTCAGTGGAGTCACAAAAGCTATATGGTATCGTCTGTACGTTTGTACGCCCCTTGTATGCATGCTATTCAGTAGATCAGCACGACAGGGACAAGGAGAGGATGAAATTTGACGTGACTATCGGCTATGGTCGGCATGTGATATAAGTAGGCTACGGAGGATTATATCCTCGGGTTGGAGCAATGCGGCGGAGCACTGCAACTGCAGCAGAGCATTTGTGTGAGAGCCATTGGTCCGTTTAGCCGAGGTATTTCCACCGTTCAACCCTGGCAGGACATCCATCATTCCGTACGTATCCAGACAACGTATGAATTCTACGGAGTATATATGTTGAGTAGCCCACCGAGGCCTCAGAGCTGTTCACCCGCCCGAATTCTCTATTCCCTGGCCACGACCTCATCCTCGAATCTTGACTGCTTGTGATCTGGGCCGCCCGCAGCGAGACGCCTCTCCCCTCTACCATAGCAACCGACAACCCATCACGAGCTGGCTGGCTAGAGTCGAGCAAACGTGTGAATCTCACCCACATTGTTCCAGAGACGGTCCCCGATCAGATCAGATCAACCATGGCTCCCACATACAAGGCCGTCACGCTGGCCAAGCGGCCCAAAGACTCGATCGTGGCGGGCGAGACGTTCACCGTGGTTGCGAAACCAACCCCATCCGCCCACGACCTCAAGGACGGAGAGGTGCTGTTCGAGTCCAACTACCTCAGCATCGACCCGGCCATGCGCGGCTGGCTGAACGATACCCGGTCGTACATCCCGCCAGTGCAGATCGGAGAAGTCATGCGCGGCCACGCGGTCGGAACCGTGGTTGCGAGTAAAAACCCCAATTACCCTGTGGGGAGTTACGCCCAGGGCACAGTGGGCTGGACCGAGCTCAAAGTCTCCAAAGCGCGTGAATTGCAGAAGGTCGAGCTGCCTCGGGGTGCTAAGATTACGGATGTCTTGGGTGTTTTGGGTACGAATAGGAATACCTTGACCACTGGCCCAACCAAGCATCTCGACTAGTTTGAGTTACCCCGACTAACTGTTCACCCTCTTCCAGGAATGACTGGCCTGACAGCCTATTTCGGCATCATTGACGTGGGCAAAGTCAAGGCCGGGGACTTTGTCGTCGTCTCCGGTGCTGCCGGCGCAACGGGCAGTGTGGTCGGCCAGATTGCCAAGCTGAAAGGTGCCACCGTCTTGGGCATTGCAGGGAGCGACGACAAGTGCCGTTGGTTGAGAGAGGAGTTGGGATTCGACGAGGCGCTGAATTACAAGGACAAGGAATTTGCCAAGCAGTTCAGGGCGGCGACGAAGGTACTGTACCGACCACATCGCTTTGCTCTGCGTCTACTACGCGTCTATCTCAGGGGACACTGACTGACTGACGACAGAACCTGATTGATGTCTTCTATGACAATGGTGAGTCAGCAGCTGCGTTAACCGTCGGCCCGTCCTTGGTCCCTGACTGTTCTAGTTGGCGGTGAGATCCTCGATCTTGCATTGAGCAGAGCAAAGCCTCACGCTCGCTTCGTCATATGTGGAGGTACGTGCCTATGTCGACTTGCTACGATAAACTTGGGCCTTCCTAACGTCCAAGCAGGGATCAGCCAGTACAATTCGTCTAAGCCGCAAGGGCCAAAGGTATTGATGCCGACTACTCCAGACCGGCTCGCATTGCCTCTATCTGGGGCGAGTGATTTGATTGCTAATGTGTTGCGTATGCTTGTAGAACTATCTCATGATCATTTCCATGCGGATTCGGTAAGTACGAATGCAGCACCACTGGCTGAAGATCCCCGATCCCCCATCACCAACTCCCGACATGAAGAAGTTGAAGCACTGACTGGAGACTGGACTGCATTCAGCATGGAGGGCTTCATTGTCTTTGACTATGAGAAAGAGTACCCGCGCGCCCTTAAGGACCTGGCTCAATGGCTGTCCGAAGGCAAGATCAAGAGGAAAGAGACGATTGTCAAGGGCGGCATAGAAAAGGCCGAGTCTGCACTGCGCGACCTATACAACGGCGTCAATACAGGTGAGTTATGAATTATGAGTTACTAGTCCACGCACCACCCCACTAGTCCACGCACCCCCCGACATAAGGTGCAAGCCGTTGCTGAGAGTCCCAGGCAAATTGTTGGTCGAGGTCAAGCCGGTCGAAGAAAAGATCAAGGCCTCTCTCTGATGCGGTTGATGCGGTTGATGCCGCCGGGGCCGGCTGAGAGTGTCAAAAGGTTCAAAATGTTCCTTGTTCGCTATCAAAGGGTCGCATGGAGATCACAAGCTATATAGTGTATAGTACGCCTAAACCAGCCTTCTGGTTAAAGCACAAGGCTGAGAATGCCTAAGCTTGACTGAGACGGTGTTGTCGACACGATCCAACAAGAAATCTCTACCTAGTACTGTACAAGAAATATATATCTAATGCTGTACTCGCAGCCAGCCTCTAACAGGAAGAATATTTGTGGTAGGGACGTTCATTCGTCCCACCCCGTTCCAATCTGGTATCTGTATACATAAATACATGTCTTCTTGTAATTTCAAGGTCAATGTGGATTTAGTTGGCTGCTCGATGTACGGAGTACATGTAGTTCTAAATATTTAGTTATTCCGCCAAGTGTCAGAAGTGATGAAGTTACTTGGTTGATAGAAGCATTGTTGTCTAAGAGAGAGTCTATATAAGAGAGAGTATAAGTGTTAAGTAACAAGTATACGGGGTAGGCGTACCCGCCAAGGTGAGACAGCCGTCCCTTCTTGACAAGAAAGGCCTGGGAAGTTTGGAGGGGTGATACTAATCCTATACAGTGGCAGTATTATTGCTAGATCGGCAAAGTATCAGGAAAAGGAAAATGATCTTTAGTGTTGTTCAAGCGGTGCTGATGAAGATCCAACAGCAGTCTATTCAGCGAGGAGTCAAGGGCTTTTCATATCATTTGACTGGAATATGTATAAGGTGTCCGAGTTTCAGTTTCATTGTCAAACTATGGTGGGAAGTGAAAAACGACGCAAATAGAGACAAATACTTCTCTTTTCATTGTCAAACTACGGGTATAACTATGGAGGATGGCGTGGGAAGTGAAAGATGACCTAGACAGAAAGGATAGAAAAGCTCATGTCTTCTCTCGTCTTTGCAGTAGCTTCAATGCAAACCCTTGACCAGGTTTTTGTAGTTGGTTGCCCTCTTCCACGTCGCCGACACCTACGGCTACGCTACATCCAAGGCCGCCTAGGTCAATATAAACCCTCGACCAGCTTTGTAGTAGCTTCAATACAAACCCTCGACCAGCTTTCTAACCGCCTTCAACGTCTCTTCGTCGTGCTGGCTAGACTTCTTCTCCTTCTCCTTCTTGAGGGCCAACCCCCCCGTGGCCCTGGAGACGATGAGATCGACCTGATCAGCCCCGACGCCGCGTTCAGTCAAGGTAGTGTTGAGGCCCAGGTCGGCCACCAGCCCCAAGATGCGATCGCCGACACGGACGCTATCGGTGAGGTCGTCGCCGGAGCGCTGCTCGCCGAGATACGGCAGGATGTTGGCGATAGCGGCCGCATTGTCCGGCGACTGGCGGGCCTTGAGCTTGACGACATGCCCCAATGTCAGACACGACGTGACGCCGTGCGGGATGCCGTAGGGGCTGCCGAGCGCATAGCCCAGCGTGTGCGACAGGCCCAGACTGCCCTGGATGTTCTGCCCGAACAGGCCGAGACTGGCGAACGCCGCGAGGAACAGACCCGTCACCACGTCTTCGTTGCCCGGGTCGGCCTTGTACGCCGGCAAAAGGCGGAATAGCTCGGCGATCGCGCTCAGCGCCACCAGTCGCGTTGGCACCCACGTCGCAGATCCGTGGTACTGCGTCTCGACGGCGTGGTCGAGTGCCCGGAGTCCCGTCGTCAGCAACAGGTTTGGAGGCGTCTGTGCCCCGAACCGTCCGTCGTAGAAGATATATGCTGGGTAGATGTTGGGGTGGGCCACGCCCGTCTTGACCCCGTCGGGGCCCGTGTATCCCGCCAAAGCGGTGCATTCGGCTGCCGACAGGGTTGTGGGGATGGTGATGTGTCGAAGCCATTGGCCTTCACCATCCTTTTTCGTCGCTTCATGCACTCGGTACACAATCGCCTTGGCGCTATCGATCGGACTGCCGCCCCCGACGCTGATGACAGTATCGATACTCGGGTCCTGCAGCACCAGCGCGGTCGCCTCGTCCAGCTGCGCCACCGGCGCGTGCTCCTTGATGCCGCTGAACGTGCCGGCGTGGTGTTTGGCCGTCAAGAGCGCCTCCACGTCTTTGATCAGACTGGTCTTGGTGGCCAGCGACCGGCCCGTCACGATGAACGCTTTGGATTGCTCGCCCGGCAGCACCGAGAGGAGGTGTTTCTCCACCACCGATGGGCCGTAGTATAGCCCCTTCAGCTGGTTCGGCTGGTACAGGCCCGCCAGGGGGTGGAGCGACGCCGCCATCTTGGTCTTGTATGTGCGGACGTGGGTGTGGGCGGAGACAAAACCGGAGAACCTAAGCTGCGGTCGTTGTGGTTGGGACGCGAAGAAATCCCCCTTGCAGATATGGGTGTGAAGATGGGTATGAAGATGGGTATGAAGATGCCGATGGTGATGGCGATGGCAATAGACGAGCTGGAACCCTCGGCTGATGCGGTGATGGATCTGGAGGGAGGGGCCGAGCATATATGTAGTCTGTTCGGAGTAGGTAGCTGGGATTCGTTCGACCAGAGCTCAGCTGATTTATTCACCAAATCGGCAATCAGTATTGATGTAGCTTTTATTACCGCCACGAGCAGATCAAGATGGACATTGGATACTGTTGTCCTTTTATTGCAGTACGTAATTACTAATCTGCGCATGCATATATACCTACAGTCTTAAAGTGGCGTGGTGCTGGTCCTGGCTTGGATGCCGGGCCTACAGCCGGGACGGGGCAGCTCGATGTCGTCACGTCATCGGAGCCGCCGGGCCTAAGCGCCTCCGCTCTCCGCTCCCCGCTCTACGTCTCCGCACGAGGCTGAGAACGGGAACGGCAACGGCGTACTCGTACATGCGATGCGGCATACTATACTGTTCAGTAGCCTCACGTCCGCGGCAGCACTGACGACCCCGAGCATTGCTCACTCTGTGTTAGACCCTCAAGACTGAAAGCTAGGTAGAAGTGACGCCCATGTGCAATGACATGGCTGCTCACCACCACTACCACTACCACCACCTCGTCCCATGCGTCCTTCTCCCAATGTCCAGAATGACCATCTTTAGCCGGCTCGACCGCTTCTGCTTCGTTTCATGCAGCTCGTCTCAAGGGCGATGGAATCCCTCAGCCAGCGTACTTGGCGTGGTTCGGAGCCACTTCGACGCTGACGTGCGCAGGAGAAGGGAGTCCAACACCGGTACGCTTCTGGTAGATCCAGGCATGGCTACGACTCTGGTCAGCAAAGCGATCCGAATTGAGAATGACATATCAGGAGCCAACATCAATCGATGCACCACCTGATTCCGGCAAGGGGATCCGAATTCCTGAACTTGTACCACTCTCCGACTAAGCAGAAGTAGTAAATGTATCGTGCGCACAGTGTCAGTCCGGATTCGATCACTGTACCCAACGGTTCACAAGGCAGGATGCTGGCCACGAGGGCATTCAGCGCTTCTTCGGCCTGAGTAGCTTGCATCCACACCGTTATGCTATCCAGCATCTGGTCCTCGTCTTCTGGCATAAAAGACCCTCCTCGTCGGCACTTCTTCTGGAATGCGCGAGCATGTCGAGAAAGAGTGTCGAAAGACCACCATGTTTCTGTGTCAAGCCTAGTCAAGGATAAATGGGTGTGTGCTCTCGCACAAAGAGGCTCTTTCGACGCTTTGTACGTTGCGAAGATTGCCGGGTATCGTTCCCATACTTTCCGGTCGTTCTGCTCCCTCATATTGGTAAGTGTGTTTCGAACTCTCACGAACAACACAGGCATCTCGTGCTCGCAGTCAGGTATTATCGGTGTTCCATGCCAGAGGTTGTCGACCGCACCGCTGTACCAGCTTCCATCGTCGCCTCTCAGCATGACGGTTTTGCCGGCTGCGGATGCAGTGGGTTGGCGGCACATGTTGATAAAGTTGCGCTTTGACTCTAGCGTTCTGTTTCCCGTGTTTGATGAAGATGAAAGGGGCAACAGCGCTGCGACAGGAAGGCCCATATCCACGGCGAACTCGAGGCCGACGTCTGTACACTTGATATAGTGACCGGCGATTATAAGGGGGTTCACGAAAGCTAGTTTCGCGAGATCTGGATTGGTGCCACCCAGTAAACTAGCCGGAGCCCATCGACAGCCAAGATGTTCAAGTTTTGGCGAGCACTTGGTGAAGATCAGGTCAACCGGCACCGAGGTCACTTGTCGCCAGAAAGCCGCCATCTTGTTACTGTCCTCGGCTTCAACGATGCTGGACAAGTCCAGTCGAAGAAGCGCACCAAGGCACAAGGCCTCGTCACTTGGCCAGCTGGTCTGCCTCGAAGTGAGGGCTATCTTGATCTGGCCAAGTTCTAGCAACTCACCTCCCTCTCGGCCACTTTCGAGAAGATTCGTTGCCGAGTGCAGAGCCGCCACGTTGTAGGAAACGCTGGTCAAGGGATTTGCAGGGATACGTGACTCGAGCTCCTTGTGCCAGTTGTTCATGAGCTCATAGAAATCAATTGCCCTGTCACGAAACTGGAACCATACGCGTCTTGCTAGCCGGCCTTCAGAGTAGGTCCACAGCCTAGCAGTCCAGCCTGAGATTGAGATTCGGGCCACGATTTCAACGGGAGACATGTCCCTCGAATCTGAGGACTGAAGATAGGAATCCAAGACGAGGACGCCGCCGGCTTTCAAGAAGACATCGCTGAGTCGGAGCAGAGCGTTTCTTCGGAGCTCCAGCGGAAAGCGTGGTAGACAGATCGTGTCCATCCAGATTGGGGTATGCTTAACTCGCGAGTTTGAAATCCCCAGCGCATCGACATCGTGCTGCAATTTTTCCAGCACGCATGTAGGGAGCGAGTTGGCCTGGAGATTGCCGTGGCCGTCTGCCCAAACATGAGATATTGCAACGTAGTTCCTGGTTCGCTTCTCATCCTGGACTGATAACATGACCTCTCCCATATCACGCTGGACGGTGAATAATGCAATAGAGCCCCGGCGCACGATGCTTCCCATTTCCTTTGTTGAGGGGCACTTGAGGCCACAGCTGCAGTCTGCTGTAGTATGCTGGACTTTGTAGTTGTCTTGATTGATATGCAACGAATTGCATTGCTCAGCACTGCACTTGCTATGGTTGTCGCGTACTTTCGGTGGCTGGAGATTTGCTATATACCACAACACCCCGATTGTGCAGCCCTGGGTGTTGATCAGGCCATGTAATTTGTTGGGACACCAGCTTGGCAATCTGCGCACCAGAGGCCGACAGACACTCTCGGGCAGTAACCAGAGGGTTGCTGGAGTGCCATCACCATCGTCGACACCCCTGGCACGAGCTATATCGGCGAGGGCTTGACTGAGGTAGTCTCCCAACGCAGCAATACTTAGGAGTACGAGACTGAGCGTGTCCGTCATCTTGTCTTGATATGCTTCAACAACCCGAGACCATGTGGCTTCAGCCACATCAACAATATCAGCTCGTTTTGAAACCCAGTCTTGCACCGGATGGACCAGTCCAATATCCTTACCGAGCCTGCGGCGAAGGCTCTCATCGACTTCACATTGGAGAGTCATTGATTCGAGAGACCACTGGCCCACAATGTCCGGTAGAGACTTTGACGAGAGCCAAGCGGTACTTCTAGTACGTCCGGGGGCTCTGAAAGCTGCAGCATCGATGGCATAGCCAGTGATCTCGGACAGCAAGCCAAAGTAGAGCCATGTTTGAAGGAAGGACGCGATCTGAACTTCTCCATGAACTTCTTCGCCATAACGAGACAGAGTTTCAGGCCACTGTTCCTCGGTCACATTCCAGCCTGTTCGAACAGGGTAGGTGAGGAACGAACCCCCATCATATGTCTCATGGCAGAGATATGGGACGGGAAGCGATCCAATCACCGGATTTGGAGGTAGCGGAAGATGATCCATGTCATGTTAAAGCCGCGATAGGGATATGATCGCCTGCCAGACGAGGCCCGGCTGGCTCAGGTTTGCGTCTTAGACTGCCTCGGCTTGTACGCATTGCAACGCCGCATTATCGACGCTCAGTCACTGCTTCGCTGCCTCATCATGCATTCTTGGGGCGGAGTGAATCGTGATTCAATGACCAAAGCAGAAAAAATAGCCATTGTTGTTAGGAAGGTCCAGCCTGGTCGACAATCGACAGATCATGCTAGGCAGCATTCTTGGCAAAGCTGCTACAAAGCCAGCTGTTACAGTACATACATGGTGTATAGACGCTGAGCGGCATCAAGTCATGTATCAACCGTCTTGCATGGTCAACTCTTGCCGGGATTGAGCTATACGCCCTCCTTATAATTACTAGGATCTTTACGAGGCAGGTTTTGGGAACATCTGTATGGCAGCCATGGAAATGTGGGTGTTACTGTTAATTTTGGTTACTCTTCATCGCTCGGGTCGTACTAATCCTACGCCCATAAGCTAGTATCTTTCCCTTCAAAGGACTGCTTGTCTACGCCGAATCACTGCCACTGAAGATGGTCCCGTCATAGTCAGTCCCGTTGTTGGGGTAGTCCACGGTATAGTTTCCGAAGCACGCATATTGATAGTTGCTTTGATCGAACGCTCCTGCTTGACTCTTGATGAATGAGTTTAGCGGACACAGCCCGTCAGTCCGGTTCCCACAGTAGCCACCGCGGACGGTCGACAGAGGCAAGATCCCGTTGTTCAGTCGCATGCGCAAGAACTTGTGCGTGGCGTTGCTCGCATCGTATCCGTACTGGCTAGAATAGTATTGGGTCCGGGACGGTTGGGGTCTGGGGTTACCACTGCCACAACCTACCACTTCTGTCACCAGACGAGCCGCAAAAGGTGTCAGATGTGACAGGATAAAGTGTCGGTTTGCATCCGGCGGGTAGTCCGTGAGCGACGGCGGGTCGCGAAAATAATCCACCGAGGCGGCCGTCAGCACTGAAATGAGGATGTCATCGTGCGAGAAATCAGCATATAATTTCTGGCCCAGAGGGAAATCCGCCGTGTTGTTGGTGATGCTGCTGTTGACGCTCGAGTTGGACGACGTGATGTACTGATGCGTCAGCCTGGCGAGAAGTTCTTGCAGGTAGCCGATCCCTTGCGCCCGGCCCGTCGGGTTGCCGTATGCATAGTCGTAGTAGTACTCTTGGTCCAGCGTGGACTCGAAGCCGGCCCATTCGTTTTCGGTGAAAAGGGTGCAGAAATCGGATTGCCCAAGGTAATTGGTCTCATAGGCACAGATGCTCCTGCAGGAGGACGAGTTAGAGGATGCGATTGGCTATGATGCTGAAACCTGATCAAAAGCCTGAAAGATGTCCTGACTTACTGCAAGGCGTAGGTGTCATTGATGGTCAGATTAAACCCGGCTGGCACGTAGTCTGCCAGGCGATCATGGGCATCAGACAGGTACAACGGCAGGTAGGACAAAAGATCTAGATCCCCTAGATATCCTATAGTGGCGTCGTCCACGTTGGTACAGCTGTCGTAGGATGCTAGCGTGTTGTTTTCCGTTCCACCTTCAGGAATGACCACCAAACTGAACGGATGGGTGGCATTTGCCAGCGTGGGGTTGGGCTCTTCTAGGTAGGACGGCCCAAAGAATCCCAGCGCCCAATTGATTTGCGTGTTTTCGATCCGGGACTGTGACGTGGTCCTCAACACTGGCTTGGGTCTCGCAGTACCATTGGGGAAGCTGGCATTGTAGGCCAATTGGCCGACCGACGCATTGAACAGCGTCCGGCCATATCGCTGCCAAAAGGTAACTCCCGATTCAAACAGCTGGGAGGCACCGGTTCCAATGAGATAGCTCTCGCCCAGCTGGTACCGGTACGAGTTCAAAAAGCTCAGAGGACCGGTGAACAGCTCCGATGAATTCGCCTGAGTCCAATTGAAGACTTTGGCGCCAAAGTGCTCATTGTTGACACCGTCGTCAAAATAGCTGGTGGGAAACCGAGCTCCATGCCGCTGCAACAGATGAACCTGCTCGACCTGACATCCATCTGGCAAACCGACGTCACTGACGCCGAAAAACTCCTCCGCATTGTCTGCGTACGGCGTAATCTGGCCCCAGTACTGTTGGATGAGGTGGATATCCGTGAGGGGCTCTGAGGAATTGTTGGCTTGCCTCCGATGCCTTGGAAGAGGTGACGAGGTGGCTAGAGCAGGTAGCAAGCCCAGAACAATCAGGCAGAAGCGCATTTTGTAGCGATGACACGTCCAAGTCCAGAGAGATAACGCACAAGAAGACCCATTGTGGCGGGAGGGGATGTACCTCAGTACCCTCAGTCAACGATGCCGGAATCCGGGAGTGACGACAGGGAGGGATGAAGCTATGTAAGCATGCGTGGGGAAGCAAGTTACATTCTGTCTGCGTACTACCCAAGTGTGACAGACATCTGGATGGAGATCCCTGGCCTCCTAAGCCTAGAATCCCTTCAGCATTGCTGGGTGCGGAGATATTCCTCTAGGCGGGGTCCTTTTTGAGTTTCTGGAGGATTTGTACCCTTGCGGAATGAGATCCTGGCCTGGAATGTACAGCAGGACTGTACTCCGTAGATATCTTCTTTCGCGTCCAAGCTTCTCGAAGAGGCTGTGTTTGAGCGATATCGGCTGTGTCTGGCTGTTGCCTTGTTGAGCATACAGTACTGTGTCCTATTGCGTGCTCCTCAACGCCAGCAGGGGCACCATGAAAACAACCCCATCGGATGATCCGCTCAATTGATCTAAGAGGTAGACGGGTGATCTCTAGGCCCGGCTGATGGCTAAGATAAGGTATGCGGCAGCGAACCGACGACGACCACGACGTTGCAGATGGATGTGGATGGGTTTTCTAAGACATGGACGCGGAGGATTAGGCCTCGAAGAGATTGATGTTGCATGCTTCTGTGAAGCCGCCTTAGCCGTGCGGGATGCAGCTGAACGGCGACCGAGTAGTATCCGTATCTTCATTGATAATTGACTTTGTCTCGCGGCCTAAAGGGCGACATGGCATTGCTCGTCTCCTCGATCCCTCCAGTAGTCCAGTAGGAGAGGCGGTCGGCATCTTCCGGGTCTTGCGTGTGAATCGACAACGCATTCATTGAGGATGATGAGTTCGGCTTCCTGCACGACATGCCATGCCGGCCGATCGGGCTGCCCACGCCACTGAAGGCGAACATTGGAGGAGTGGCATTGTGGCATGGCGATGTCGTCGTACGAATGAGATATCCGATCTGGCGGTGCTGGGAAGAAGGAACGGCGAAAGACTGGCGTGGCGTAATGTATGTACAGTGTTAGGTGGATGGTGAATGGTGGGTGGTGCACGGCGTTGTGCTCGCCCAGCAGCAAATGAATCCCCGCCACGACGCTCGCTGCATCCTCGTCCTCATCCTCGACCTCGACAACCAAACAACCGCGTGAAACTCTCAGCGTCCTGCTTCTTCGTTCGGCTGTCCTGGCATTGCCTTCCGCCTGAGTCGTACTGTTCCTCCTCTCTCGCGCCACGCTTCCCAACCTTTGGGTTGCAAGCTCCGTCCTAGACACTTAGACACCGCCAGCGTCAGCGCAGCTCACTGCTCACTGCACCCCGAGCCATCCCGGCGTCGGCGTGTCCAAGGCAAGTCTGCCCTCTGCCCTCGCCTTCTCATCCGACCATGCGTTGTTTGTCTTGAATCATGGACACTCGCGCAGACACGTTGTCGGGCCGCTTCCGCGAACAATGGGCCTTTCTGTCGCACCCTCCACACCATGCTCAGGCAAGATCCCTTCCGCCATCCTCGAGTTACCTCCCAAGCGATCGAAGCAACGTCTCCCCCTTACCCATCGCGCTTCACTTCCAACGCTTCAACGCCTCCCGCTCCAGCCTGTCCAGACATGCCTACCCTCCTTCCATTGGTGGCAACAGTTCGACCACCATCGCATCTCAACCCGTGGTTGTCAGAATCCATTCTGCCGATGCTTCGATCCAGATTCATCCCGCAACGCGCCCACAAAGGCCAAAGGAGAAGATGAGCAAAGACAACCAGCTGCCGCCGATTCAAGAGTACAGCATGCAGGGCATCTTGGCCGCAATCGATGAAGAGATCGAGGACAATGTGAATGCCATCTCCGAAATCCTCGGAAGGAGCAGGTTGGTTCTGGCCGACCAGCACGAGAGCCATTTACCTCCTCAGGGCGAGATCAGAGCCCCCAGTAGCTCTCTACAGGCGGTGGCGGAAGCAAGCACGAGCAATGAAAGACTGGCCGGAGCAGACGACGTCCTTATCTTGAGAGAAGATGCCAGTCTTGTCGAAGGTAGTCATACCGGATCGGCGGCATACGGACTTCTGGAGAGATTGCAAACTGTTCCACGCACTCGCCGCATGAAGAGTGATATGCACGGCGCTTCCGTACCTAGGCCTACTTCTGGCTCCGCGCGCAACTATTCAGCCCCTGCGGCGCTGACAGAAGTTTCCCCTACAGTCGAAGACCATGATCGACCTGCTTTACCCGGGCTCTCGCAAGCTTCGCGACAATTGCTTCGAGGTCAAGCGACCGAACACCAGGCCGGCGAACATCCATCTAGGACCACGAATGCTATGGTCTCCGAAATCTATCTCTCTGCCGGTGCCAATGCAGTCACAGTGTCTGATCCTCCCGTCGTTTCTGCAGGCGGTCGTCTGTATCCGTTGTACAGCTATGACTATAGCGACATATTCGAGGCACCTATCCCTCCCCCCCCAACCGCTCGAATGAGTCTTTTCCGCAGACTCCAGTCTCTGATCCCTAGCGGGGAATTGCACACTCTGACGTCTTGGGCCCACGGTCGGAGCAACCGTGTGGTCACGGCAGAGTCTCAACTGAGGGATATTCTGGACAGACAGCGACGCAGAAGTGGGCCGCCACACAACCTGCAACCCGGTCACGAGGATGCCGAAATGTATGAATAACCAGGTTATCTGGTTGATGATAACGAACAATTGATGCGTTGATGACAATGGAAATCTATCATCTGCTTTTATGAGCACTGTCTTATCCTGGGCTGAGGTCCACAAGTAAATGGTCGCTCGAACCACGCGCTCTTCCAGTGTATGACACATCTCACACCGCAGTTGTAGGTCCACTTTCACATCCCGTACATACTAACACTACTGACTATAATCACCGCCGTCTACCTACCTCTAGTGGTCTGGCTCATTGTACCGACTATGGCGTCTCTTGGTTCCGGATATACGGCGCCAGTTCATCGACATCAATCGTGATTTCGGCCCTGACGCAGCCGTTTCCAAGAACCTCCCACATTTCTCACTGTGATACTGGACATCATAGTGTTCCCACCCATGTCGGCCCCTTTGACGCCGGCGACTGCGAAGTTGGGTTTATGCGAGACATCGAAGCCCGTGGCGCAGACGACGATGTTGGCATCGTCAGCACACCAGTGGCGTCGACACAGCCTTCTGCCACGATCCTGGCAATGCTCCTGTGCACAGCGAGGACGTTGGCCTGCACCAGGGCCGAGGTAGGCCTCTCCAGGTGTCATGCGTCTGCAGGCAGGAGCCCAGGTGGAGATCAAGTTCTTCGCTCTTCGTGGCCCGGCCCGATACGACGGTACGTGTCTTCTCGCATCTAACGTTGGGCGTCTTTTGACATCTGCGACCCGGCGATGAAAATATCGAAGCCGCCGGTGAACTGAGACTCGAACTTTCCACGATACGCCAGCAGCTCGTCCGGCTGTTCGCGGAAGCGTCGCTTGTCTGCTTCCGTGTAGAGGGATCAATGCGTGGTAGGCTGGCTCTGGTTCTGGTTCTGGCTCTGGCTCTGGCTCTGGTTCTGGCTCTGGTTCTGGTTCTGGCTCTGGCTCTGGTTCTGGCTCTGACTCTGGTCCTGCTGCGAGCGCGCCTCGTTCTCGTCGAGTACGTCTCCTGCTATCCAGCTTCAAGGCCCAAGCTGGACTGGCCCGTGGAAGGCCTCGACCGGGGTTGGCAATGCCGTAGTCTGTTGTAGGACACTGGCATCACTGGTATCTCGCGTCTCTCAGACCGTGGCAATCTCTGCCCGTCCACCTCTTATCAGGAGCGAGCAAACAAATGCAGAAAAGGAGAATACAGAATTCCCGCTGCGTTGCCACCGCCACCGCCGCTCGGCTGTCATCCGGGGTCCCCAGTCCGCCTACAGTACATAGTAGTAATCCGTATCCGTCGAGAACCAAACCCCAGCCGGCGAGATCTGCGCGAAACCTCCATGTGAATACTACCTTGGGTAAGGTAGATATCAATTTGGGTTGGCCTGCCTGTCAACCGGATTCCGGACTACACACTCCGTACGGAGTACAGTGCTTTCTTAGGAGCGAGGATTAGGAGTGAGGAGTGGGGATTCCCCAGACTAAGGCTAGCGGGGGCACTAGTTCCCAAAGCGGTGCCCGACTTTCCCAAATAGGTCTCAGTCTCAGACGTCTAAACTCGACAGCATTGATGGCTATGACCTTACCTACATACACGCTATCCTATCGCATCAGGTATGAGGCATGCATGTGCATATGCATGTGCACGTGCGTGGCACTGGAGAGAGAAGTTTGGGTCAATCCCGACTCCTGATTCCTGATTCCTGATTCCCCTGGGTCAGAGTCACCGGACCGCGCTGATCGCGCCGCCGCTTTTCTTCGCGTTTGCGCTGATTGTCTTCACGCCGTTGCTCTTTCACCACCGCCTTTCTCCGTCGTTCCTCCCGTTCATCCTGCCGATCCATACGCGCTATCTTAGAGAACGTGAACCACGGCAGCCCGGCGTTTCTTTTAGCCGCTGCCTTAGCCTCCCGCAGGGTCATCGACGGCTTCGGTGGGTGTGGTATTGTTGACTGCCGGACGAGGTCGGGAGATCAACGCGAGGTCCGTGGTCACGATCGCAGGTAGAGGAGAGGAGGCGCTCGAGGAATAAAGGCAGCTACCGGTCAGCCACGAGGAGGACGATCAATGAGGTCAGAATGAAGTAACGGCGAGACCAACAGGAAAGGTGAGACGGAGGTTAGGTTGGACTAATCACGACGCGAACTTGGGCGAGAGGGCCCGCATGCGGTCGACTGACGCATCTAAGAACTCGGTCACGATCTCGTAGCTCGCCATCGACAAGGAACGGAGAAGGACCGACTTCTGGTCCTCACACGACAACTTCTCGTAGACCTTGAACAACTCGTCGTGTTTCTTCTCTCTCTTCTCCGCGTTGTCGTCGTCGTTGTTAGGAACGGCGTAGCCGTCTGGCCCGCGGACAATCAGCTGTCGGCTTAGGAGCGTGCTTCGGATTCGGCGGATCTTGTTCTCGACCTTGTCGAGAAGGAGCCGCTCGGTCCCGGGGTCCCAGTCGGCGATGGCAAAGTACGGCTTGAGTGTTTGCAGAATATCGAACAATTTCGCCGTAGACTCGACGTTGAGCCGCTGGACGGCAAAGAAGTGCTTTTCCAGCATCAAGGTCTGTAGCGCCGCCGTAAGGTGATCAGGCCACTTATCCGTCTTGGACTGACGCGGCGGGTTAGCCTCGATGTCTAAGAATAGACACTCAGGCGGCAACCTACCGTCAACCACGTCCGGGTGAGGAGCAGGGTGTGGTCGGGCGGAGACGCCATCCTCAATATATCGAGCCTGTGGCCAGACTGGATAGGGCCTCAACTAATCGAGAACTACCGCAATTCTTCCTCCGAGGCGAGCCCACGTCAAGTATAGGAAGGGAGGTAGCCCACGTCAAGCAAAGTAAGGGAGGTTAGCAGGAGATTGTAGAGCTCCTCGTGACGGGACGACGAAAAGGAAGAGGTGGCCACGGTGGAAGGCTAAGAACTCTTGCCCTTGGCCGCCGAGCCTGGAGTCTCCGCGTGGCGATGGCGATCCCGATTGACGACGAAGGCTCTACGACCAGAATAGCATCTCCGGCGCCCTCAGTGGCCTAGTCGGGCGCGGCGACCCACTCCTCGACCAACCTTAATCTGGCGACCTCGACGGCTCTTCTCGGTCGCGCAGCAACGGTTCGACGGCGACGTCGGAGATTCAATCATTTAGGTATGATATCACAAGGCATACCAGCCAGTCCCCTGCCTACTGCGGAACTCTGCTCGGGCGCCTTCTTCTGGAGGAAACAGGTCGATGTACGGTAGACTACCCCTCTAGATCAGGAGAGAATTCAAGATTAGCAATGTCAATGTCAATAGCCAAGCTGTTTAAGAGACAGTTGAGTCGCCCTTCTCAACCCCCATCGTTCTCAACCCCCATTGTCAATCTATAACCTTTGAAGAAAGGCCATCGACCACGGCATCTCTCATGCCTACAGGATCCGCACACCCACACCATCCACCCTGAAACGTTGCAAGTATCGAACTGAAAAAGAGTATCCGTCCCTCTGTCTTCAAAGTTTGGACATGGTACCAGCTGATCCATAAACGACTAGTGACTCCAATCCCACCGAATGTTTCCAAATCATTCCCAGTCGTTGGAAATAGGAGAAAAGGGAGTTCTTAGGCACATATCCCAGATACCTCGACTGCCACGAGGCTGCAAAGCTCCCTAAAGATAGGACAGCATAGCTGAGTTAGCCAGGAAACCAGATTTGACCGAAGACGGAACGTTGAATTCGATGTGTCACAGTCACAGTCACAGTCACAGTCACATACCTTCGACCGGGCCGAGTTCCGCAAACCCAAGAAGTTCAAGCATGTATGGGAACAGGACCGCTAGGATTCCAAGAGCGATCAAGGTGCAATAGGCGGGATGGTCACGAGCAAACCCGACGGCAGCGACCACGGCTTTGTCGAACGCCTCCTTGAGAGCGCCTCCGATCTGCACCCCTTCCAGCACCACCTTCCTCACCCCTTCTTCCAGGCGAGCGAGCACCAACTGCGCCAGTCGGTCCGTCCAATAGCTAGCCGGGGCAATCTTCTCAACTTGTCCCCGTAGTTGGTCTCCCACCTGTTTGGCACTCTGGACCGCGTTGAATATATCATCCGCCATCATGTCTGCCTTGCTTTCGGGGGGTGGATAGTAGCCTTCGTGAGTCGATGTCGTCCCCGCGAAGTGCGAACCCGAACCCGAACCCTCAGAACCGTTGACGCAGGACCAAATGGCTTTCAGCATGGCGGAGTGCGGATAGGTGCTGTTTGGTTTAGATCAGGAGCCGCGTTGGATAAGGCGAGGCGGGGCGGGGCGTGACGTTGATTCCAGAAGCGATCTCTGGCGGTGCTTGGAAGTAAACTTCAGCGATCTCTGAAGCTCTGCGGGAGTGTAAGCCTAGGAACTTTCAAGTTAGGGACAACCTTAGTGTACAGAGGCAGAGAAATCAAAACATACTGCAGGTATCTTCCTTCTTGCTGTGGTAGTGGTGGTGTGGCAGAAAAGAAGTCTTCCTAGGTAATGTAATGGCGTTGTCAATCAGGCTAATCTTTCGCAGGGTGCAAGGCAATCAGAATGTCGCAGCCGCAGTCAGCATCGTACAGTTATGACACAGCAGTCACCTCTTTGGTGGCCGAATCACGACTCAGTCACTGCCACGTACAGAGTGCAGTCAGCCTCACTGTGTAGCCATGGCGGGGCATTGCTGCTGCTGCCTGTACGATGAACCCAGCCGGCCGCACCTAGACTCGACGATGGCAACGCTGGTTGCTCAACCCCCAACCAAACCAACCGCCTCCAAAATCCTACAATTACAAGCCACCATGCAGGTCTGCCGCACGTTGGCCAAATAGCCCAATCCCTCTTCTCAAGAGACTGCGGCCGTTGTGAATGTGACCGGGTGGCCGGCGCCTAAACTTTCAAGCCACAACGCCCTATCCTCTGGACACTGATTGCTTGGTGTCTTCTTCGGAAAATCGCACAGAATGCCAGAGGCGCCTCACCAGGATGGCAGGCCAGGTGTTCCGCCCAAGGGCCGCCTTCACTGGTCATCATCACCTGTTTGTCCATGGCTCGTAGTGCTGTTGGCGCTTCGTCCACCGTGGAATATATGTCGAGAAAGTATTGGAGCCAGAGGCGAAGATTGAGCTGAACTTTACCCATACTCGAGCAGGCTGGAACGAGAGGGACACGGCAGTACCTACCTAAGTGTAATAACAAGATGTGTATACAACGGCAGTGGTATAGAGAAAAAAGAGTGAGTTCAATATTGAAAGCTGCGAAGCTCAAACATCTGCAACGAACACAGAACACACCGTCCAATTGTACAAGTGAACCAGCTGCACGCAACTACTAGGTTTGCCAATACTTGTCAGGCTGTTTCTCTCTCTCATCAAATATCAAATATAACGTCATCATGAGTATTATTTATAGAGTTGAGATACAACACACCGAAAGCTAAATCCAACCACCGATGCCCAAAGTCCAGAGTTCCAACCATGGTCAGGTCAATTAGATGAGCTGCCGTTCAAGGCGCTCCCAATAAACACCACTTCGACCGCAGCAAACCTGATAGGTAGGTGTGAGTATCCTGTTCTTGGCCCGAAGATTGTGCTGAGAGAGGAGAAAGGATCGCTTACGTAGCAGTGGCCGCAAAGATCTCAATCCTCCTGGCCGAGCTGAAGGCTGCCAGCAGGCCCGCGAATAGTGCGGTGAAGCCTGCAGCAATTCCAATGCGGGCATAGGGATTCTTGACCACAAATAGCGCATAAATCGAAAGGACAGGGATGATGGAGGACAAGACGGTCGCGATCAGGGTGCCCGCCTTCAGGAGTTTCGATTCATCGTAAGAGATCATGCCGGCTTCAGCGTCCACCGGGCGGCCAGCAGTTCGCCAGAGCCCAAAGTATTTGTGGAGCACAGAGATCAATACCCAGGAGGTGAATTTGGTGAATTTGTCCCGCTCGCCACGGGACCGGCCAATTTGGACAAATCTCGAGCCTTCTTCAACTTCCCACAGTCGAGATTCACTCCTAAGGAGGAAGTTTGCTCCCCCACGCTCATCCATCAGCCAGTCGCGAAGTGCTCCGAGTTGTGAGGGAGCTGGAGGGTGCAGTTCACTGAGGCGTGACACTACGTTCGTGTTCGATTAGCCTTCACCTTCATCAAGGCTGACCGCACTCGAACGCGCAAAGGAAGGTATGAAAGCTGTACCTTGTAGCAGCAGATCATCTAGGATTCGTTCATTAATTAGCCATATGCTGGGAACCAAGCGATAGGAGCCAAGTCATCGACACCAGTCGACATACTATACTGTCCCACCCCTTTCCGAAGAGCCTGCAGTTTCTGGTTCTGCTCACTTCCGCCATTCCCATCCTCCCTCAGCGTCTTGAAGGAATTGGAGAACGGTCTGTCCGTCGCTTTGTCGCGTCGGCATTGATCTAGAAACTCGGCCTCGAGTTCTTGAACTTCGGCTTGCAGGCTTAGCAGACTAATGGCGTTTGCAAAATCGTATTTCCGAAAGATGGCAAGGCTTTCATCTCTGGTCATAAGAGTCGCAAGCCGGTGGTATCCTTTTTGATCTGCGGGCAGGTTTGGACAGGTCATGTTGATCCAAGGACGCTGGAGCGAGTTACGGGAGGTTAGATGACCAAGCTGGACAGTGAGGAAGGAGTGGACGGGGTAGATGCACCCGGCGGAATGATCTGATCTCATCTTTTGACAGGGCCAGAGACACACCGCCACCGCCACCGCGACGCCACTGACCTTCCAGCCCAACTTCCCGCAGCCTCCTCAGCATTGATTCGCACGGCAAGGTCCCCAAGGGGCAAGTTTCCACGACGCCCGACTCTGCTGCGGAAGCGACAGCCAATGCGGGTGCGGCTCGCGGCGAAAGTCACATGCCACATGCTTCCAAAGCTAGGATGCACCCTGAAGCCTAGGAAAGATTACGAGAGAGAGCGCTGCTCGAGTTTTTAATCAATGTTACCCTGAGCGCGTGAGCAGTCACCATGATGGACGCGTGGCATTTCCAGCCAGGCAGTCAGCGTGACATTTGCAGCCATTCTCGCAAGCCTCCTATCTCTTAAGATCGTGCCACTCGGGTCATATCAGAGTGCTGCCTCGTCTACGTCATTTGCAGCCATCCTTCGAGCATCCCATCTCTCTCTCTAAGATGGTGCTACTCTGATCATATCAGAATGTTGTCTCGTCTACCTTCCTCCTGAAGAGGCCGACGCGGGGCTGCGGTACTTCAGCCAACTCTTCCCCTCCATCATCCCTCTTGCCATTGTCGTGTACGAGCCAGCCGCAAGATTCTTTGGTGGATAATGATCAGCAACCTGACAGGAAGAAGAATACCTTCGAATACACTGGAGCTTCTACGACAGGCAAAGAAGAGCAGGTCGGTACTATTATCTCAGATAGACGAGATACAAGTCGTGCATGATGTGCTCGGGGAATGCTACGGAACCATACAAGCCGGCCGGAACCCCAAGGTACCTCCATCGGTGGAGCGTGCCTTGCGCATCTGTCAGATGAGATCTGTACAGCTCGAGAAAGCATTCGCGGCCGCGGTTGACCTCGATTTGGTCTCCAAGAAACGGCTTACGAAGCTGAGGAACGTCAAGATTTTAATGCTGACGGAAAACGAACGTAAGGCAGCTCTGAGGGGTTTCAAGAGCGCTGTTCTTTTGCTACGAGCCCTCTGTTCAGAGTAAGCAAGCCACGATAATGATCACTGGCTACTATAATGATACGCAGTGCTAACTTAACCTACTGCACCGCAGGATTCGCCTTCAGCGTCAACTTGTGGACATGAGGTATGTCATATAACACTCTCCAGTCGCCAGGAAGGCCCACCCTAACTGTACCTGCACATCTTTAATTGTTTGAGCTACAGCGCCGGTTTGGCCGCATTACTCGCCGACCGTTACGATGAGGCTGCCTCGCAGTCAGCAGAGGCTCCTCAACCCGATCATATCTACATTGATAGCGAAGACAACCATGACCATGACCACTATCACATGGAACGGGAACAGGAACAGGAGAAGCACGGTCTTCGATCCGTGCAGTCACAGAAACTGAAACCCACGCTGTACGCGAAGGGCAACGTTGGTCGCAACTGGACGGAACTGATCAAGCAGAATTTCACCAGAAATGCCACCATTATTGTCGACGGCGGACTTGGGTATCAACCCCGGAGAGTCACTGTTCGGGCGAAGATGGACACGGGCTGCAACGACAACCTCATCACCTTGGAAGTGTTTGAGAAATTCGGCATGGACAAATCAATACTCGTCGAGATTCCCGAGGAAGATCAGTTTGATCTAGTCATGCTCGAAGGAGCAAGGTGCCACATTCTGTACAAGGTCCATCTGACTTGGTACTACGACGGTGACATGAAGATGCGCCACTCCGACTTCTTCGTGGTCAAGACTGGGCCGTTTGATATGCTCATCGGCTCCGATCGATTGGCTCAGGAATTCGCAGAACACGGCCGGCCAGGCCTGGTTGTAGGGAAGAAGAACAAGAAAAAGGGTAAGTATATACACAGGTACCGGACCGACATTTGATTGCGCCACGCACCCAGAAGCTGACCCCGGTCAAACTATACAGCCGATCGCCAGAAGGAAATAGACGACCATGCCAAGCATCTAAAAGAACAAGAGACCCTGGAATTGGAGGAGCGCAAGGCACAACAAGCAAAGGCAAAAGTATCTCCACCAGCACTAGCAAAGAAGGGTAAGAAGTTTTTGAGTTTCTTTAGGAGAAGGAAATGATCGATTTGGACCATGTTGCGGCACAGAGGAGCTGAATCGCATCGGTGCGGTGCAGTGCGCCTTGATTGTGATTCAGGCTACGTTAGAATAGAAGCTGTGCCCAACCTGGATTGAGGGCCAGAGTGCCGCCGGCGGCAAGTGCGAGATCCCGAGGTATAAGTCGTGGTCGTTCAGGTTGGGCCCGAGGATAGCTGTGTATTCATCTGTGTATCGCAGACCGAGCATGAACATGCGATCGATCGTCACCATCTCTACCGGTACGCCCAGCCCGAGGGGCGGTTGCATCTTAACAGCAAGGCCGTAGTATACATTGGTGGCATCCTCCCTTGATATCATATAGCAGTGCACACCACAGCATAGCATATCTTATCATACGCCGCGAGCGTTCTAATTCCTTGGTTGTGGATGTGTGCTTTCAGATGGGCTGCAGGCTGCAGGCTGCAGCTGCAGCTGAAGCTGAAGCTGTAGCTGTAACTGTAGGCTTTATCCAAACTGTACCAGTGACGAGACGGCGTAAGAGGGAATGTGATGAGGACCTCCAATGCTGCACTGCGTGGTCTTCTGGCTGTTTCATCCAACCAGAGTAGACTAGGAATCAGGGACCACTCGGAGAGAAATCCATCTCGCAGGGCGTCACAAGAGGCCTCCTTCCAAGGTCCTCTATCGAGTGCCACGAGGTAGTGGATGCGCGTGCTTTGAGAATATGGCCCCGAACGCGGCAAGGCGCTCTCTGCTCGGCCCGGTGGATAATGAATCTTTCGCCAGAGCTGCCAGCCTTGCGCGCTTCACACTTTCTTCGTCTCCGGTCCAATCTTCGGAAATGGTATAGCTCACGGAAGCCAGAGCAGTTGGGATCGGGGCTGGTTGCTCGCGGGCGTCTTCTCCACCATCGAACTTCCTCTTGCGTGTTGCGACTGGAGCTGTCTCTGAAGTATATTGGATCGTGACGGTCGGCCAGCTTTGGGACGGCAAGCTTAGGCCGTCCCAGGCGTCCCATTCACGTGCGTCTCGAGTAAAAGACTTCTTGATGCCCACGCGGAGATTGGTGGCATTAACAGGCGAGCAGACCACTTCGGCAAGTTTACAGATTTCCTCGTCGGTAGCCAGAAGATAGGCCTTGTGCACCGGCCATGCATGACAGCGGATATTAAGGTCTTTTTCAGATTGATAATCGCACTAGATTTTAAATTTCAGGAGCAGGATCACGCCGAAAAGCTACTGTGAGTATACTTTTACCCTTATCAATCTAACATCACCTTCAGGGCCAAAGCAAGCGAGGTCTTCCAAATGTCGTATCCTTTGTTCGAACGACATTTCGACCGGCATCATGTGGACAAAAACCTCCTTCGGAGGCCGCGCGGGATTGGGATACTGCACCGAGTTCCGCTTACGAATCTCGGTAAAGGTAGGAAGGAGAGACCCTTCCATACTCGGTCCAGGTCCAGGAGGATAAACGAGGCTGTTGTTGTTTCAGTTGAGCAGCTTGGTTTCGTTGCAGTCCACGTAGGTCAAGAAGCACAACAGGAAGTCAAGACAGAGCAGCAACGCATATCGCTCGTAGGTATATTCGCCGTACAGTAAGTAGGTAGGTTGGTTGTCTGTTGAGGCTGAGGCTGAGGCTGAGGCCTGACACCGTTTACTTCGAAGTAGTACTAGGCCAAGGAGGCTTAGGAGGCCAACCCGTTTCGGTGTAGGTCATCGTCGAGTCCCTGCCACGTGATCGAGCCGTGCACGTGACATTGGCCGGTGGACGGGTCACGTGGCAGGCTGTGACTCACATACCACTGCAGCCTTGCACTCTCCAGGTTTTCGCTCGCTTGGTGGTATCCGTGCACTCCGAGCACTAAGTTTGCCAACTTACCTATATGGAAGGGCAGTGCGACAGCAATTCGAGTCTTCCAGAAATCACTACTCTGTAAGGTCCAACTCTAAAGCCTTACACGCCATTGACCGGAGGTTCTTCTACATATACCATAACATACAGTGCACACGGCTGACTTTCGGCGGGGGCCAAACCCAAACCCAAGCTCGGCTCAGCTCAACTCAGCCCCAGGCATCCACGCCTAATAATGAATGAGACATAGAGCACTCACTGAGTGTCCACGCCTAATAGGGAATGAGACACGGAACACTCACTAGGTAGGTGGACAGTCGGCAGGTGAGGGAGAGGGTGAGACCTTGGGATAGTAGTATCTATCCGTCCGTACTCCGTAGTAGTAGTGTAGTAGTGTAGTAGTGTAGTACTCGTAGTGGTGGTGGTACGTAGTGGTAGTGGAGGGAGTGGAGGGAGTGGGGTATGTGAGGCGGGAATGGCTTCCTGCTCGCTGCGCTGTGAGACACGACACGGCTATTATTCCCTCATGCTGCGGCCGACGCTGACGCTGACGCTGCCGACGATCACACTCGGAACTTCACGGCAGAGAGAGAGAGAGAGACAGAGAGAGACACTCCCTCACTCACTCACTCTCCCTCTCAGCTCTTTGATATGTTGCGCTGGAAAGGTGAGACATCTGGTCTGGGCGGGTCGAATCGACCTAGAACACCTCAAGAATACTCGACCGAGCACTCCGTGTCCTGGTCAACCCCGCCGACTACGTCTGCTGTATATTTCCATTTCAATGCGGGATGTGCTCGATGCTCTAAATTGAAATTTGAACGTGGATGGTTTGTTTGCAAGTGTGAAATTATCGTAACTATCAACTCAGAGTAATGACTATTTGTCTGTGGTTCATGTCGTATGTGTGGTATGCCGCGGGTCGTGCTGGAGTCCTGGTCCTGATTTCCATGCATTTTCCTGCTTCCCCAGATGCAAAGGTGAAGAACTGAAGTGCCGTGTCGGTGAGCATGGTGGTTGTCGTCCAAGGGACTTTGGTGGTCTCCCTTTCGCCCTATTATGCTTTTGCGTATGCTGGTCCCTTTCCTCATTTCCCCTTCCCTTTGACATGATGATATTAGAGAGTCGTGGCTTGGTCGTTGCCGCATTAAAACTCATCGCGTTCGTCTGTCTTCGTCTCGGTGTGCCCGAGCCGAGGGATGGATGCGTGAAGACCTAGTTCCAGTCTCCCCAGGTCCCTTTCGCAGCCGCGGCAGTCACGGTCACGGTCACATACTCTGTCACAGGAGCAGGAGTGACATAAGCAGTGGTAGTGGCCCATTCGGTGGTGGTACCCCAAGCAGTGGTGGTGGCAGTCTCGTAGGCCGTGGTGGTGTCCGTCTCGGTCACGGTCTTGTACACGGGAGTGGCAGTGGTCACGGTCTCGGTCTTGTAGGCAGTTGCCCAGGCCGTGATGGTGGCATACGCCGTGGTGGTGGAGGTGGCCCAAGCAGTGGTGGTACCCCAAGCGGTGGTGGTGTCATATTCAGTGGTGGTTGCCCAAGCCGTGGTGGTCTAGGACATAGAGAAGCACGGTCAGCCGTTGATCTTTATAGTATCGATGACATGGTAGTCATGTAATGTATGACAAAACTCACCTCATAGGCCGTCTCGGTCACGGTCACGGCAGACTTCCCCCAGTCATTCCAGCTTCCACTGTCCTGGCGGGGATTGAGAGCAGCAGCGCTGGCGCCGGCAACAAGAGCAGCAAGAGAGAAGAACTTCATGTTGAATAGTTCTGTTGGAGCGAAGGTGCTGGGAGGTCCAAGCGAGGGATATAAGATGTAGATGTGGGATAACGAAGGGCCTGGAAGGTTGGATGGCGGAACGAAGGAACTGATCTTCTCTCTTGTGCAAGGCTGGAGGTTGAAGGGTTGAGGAAGGGAAGACAATTCACGAACCTACCTCGACCATCTTTATACCTTTGAGGCACCGCTCCACGCTCATCCGTGGAGGGGGAGGAGTGTGCCGGGCTGGGATGATCTCACAGAGAGCACGCAAGGCGTGTTCCTGCCCTGCCACCACTGTGACTTGACTCTGAGACATTTCCCACCAGTCAACAGCATTGCCCGCCTTCGGTGTTGTTCTGGATCCTACGGATACGCCCTCTCGTCTCCCCAGCTGAGTGAGGCCTGACGAGGTCAGCCAGCGTTCCCAGCCACGGGGCCAACGGGAAGCGGGTTAGCCATCCATGTGCACACCGGCACACAAGGAAGGTTGCAAGAATGACACCTAAGTACTGGCTGATCCACCGCCGACCTGGCCGTGGTCCTGCAGAAGCGTGCGACCTGCAGGACATGTGTACAATCCCGCTGGCAGGTCGCTCGGTCATCCATGTTCCATTGTGGAGGTGAGGCTGTCGGGCCCGAATGAACCTGGTTTATTATGACACACACAAAGCCTCGCCATAGGGCGGCCGTATTCGCCATAGGGTAAAAAGATGAGGTCAGGTCAAGCTTCCCAGCCTCAAGCGAGGAAGAGTAAATATTTAGAATGCGCCATCCCCGGAGAAGCTCTAGCGTGGGCGTGGTACAGCAGGAACAGGTCCCTAGCTGGATGTAGGCCTGTCTTTTCCCCGCGTCGGCAGGCCTAGGAGGCCCTGAGGCCGGTGGTTGCGTCTCCCGGTGACCGGGATACCCTGGAATCTGGATCACTCAGCCTCCCTTTGTGCCGGCAAGGGAGGCTCTGGATGGTGAGGTTTCAGCCATCAGAGGACGCCCAACGCCGGCCGACTTGGGTCTTTCAGCCTCCATCAGCCAACGGATTTTTCGGGGTCCTGGAATTCCCACTTCCCACTTCCCACTTCCACCTGTTTGCTGTTCCGGGCAACCGGCTGTGCTGGCTATTCTGACCACCAGTCTATTCCAGTACGAGTGAAACCTCTGCTCTTCTTTCTGTCAGCCGAACTACCGCAGGCTCGGCCCTGTACAGAGTAAGCAAGGTACTGGATGCCAGTCTGTGTGCCGTATTTGGAGCACTACATTGACAGGTTGCTTTCCAACCATCCAAAATACGGCCATGGGAAGCGAGGTTGGGTATGTCCTCCCCCCTGTTAACTTTTTGAGCTACTCGAATGCTGGGAGACCGGGTTATTTCTCGCCTGCATATCACAGCTGATCGTTTTGTAAAGCCAGCATTCTAACACTTGTGGCTTCGTGTGATGGAGTTGCCTTACGCATCTGAATAACAAAGTCTATAACATCACCTGAGCCGGTTGGAGCATGCCGTCGTACTGTGTAATCGCGCGGTTGGCACTCCTCCTCTGACTGGCCCACATCTCTATCCGACGAAGACCGACCTCTTCTTGAGGCCGAGGAGTCCGTAGGCCGCGGCCTGACCAACCCCTCTCACAGTAACGCCTATGGCCCCTATGGCCCCTACAGACTATTGCAACCTGCTACGTCTGGCATTGGGGGTGGCACTTTCAGACCCTTCTGGGCGATATTGACTCTTCGCCTGGAAGAACTGAGGGAGGGCAAGACGACAGTAGGCTGCCTGTGAACACGGGGTCCGGCGGTTTAGCCCTGTAGATCTCTGGCCTGGACAGGACCAAGGTGAGACGAACGCCATCGCTAAAAGACATGAGGCATTGTCGCCATAAAGAGATATTCTGCCTTGCGGCATAGAAGCCTGAGTTGTGCATCGTCACAAGGTAAGGTAATGGGGCTAGAATATCCGTATTTCCAGTGTCAAGACAGCGGATGAATGATGTAGATGAGAGCCACCGACCCAGTTTCCGGTGGATAGATCTGCATTTGTCTGTACAAAGAGGGTGGAAAGCGCAGACGCTCCATAGGTACTCGTATCGTGCTTTAGAGCTTATGCCGTACCCGCCCATTGGGGACTCCAGAATGGTATAGCCTTACTGGGAATGCGACGAGGACTCGGTTCCCGTCCCGCTGAATGTGGACTCCGTAGGCTGTCTCAACCGTGAGCAAACCAAGCATGTCCACTGGGTAACCTTAACTCGCTGGCCTGATCTTGATCAATTCTGACGTATGGCCGGTGGAGGAGACGCTACCATTGTCAAAGTGCACGCCGCCATATGGTGATTGAAAGACACCCCGTCCCGAGTATGTGGCCACATAGCCGATGTGAAGCCCATCAAACAAAGACAGACACCTGTATTTGACATTCGTACCCGTCCCGGCCTCTTGACATCGGAGCTGCGTTTGCAGACCGCCTTCGGATCCTCGAGGGTCAGATTCTGAGACATTGTCTTGCCGCCAATGTCTACAAGCAACCGTCGGCAGGTAGCGGATATGAACCGGACGGATATTGAGAGCTGTTTGTTCGTAGAAGAACAAGCTGCCACAACTAGGATTGGGTGTCTCGTTCTCCAACCCCAAATCTGTTCACTCTGAATTGATATGCGCCAGTTTCGGGACGTCGTTTTATGAGGTGGTCAAGGCTTTGTCCATGCCTCCCTCGCCCCACCGTGTCAGCTCATCCCAAGCTATCCAGACACGAGGGAAGCCTGTCTGACAGATTCTTAGACAGAACAGAACAGCATTCCACGCGTAGATGCCTCACCCACGGTCACTGCACACCACCACCTCCACAGCCTTGGCGGCCACGGTCAACACTTCACCCAACACTTCACCGCACCCAAAATACTGGTTGATATATTATTGCCGCGAGATTCCTCCCAACAATCCACCGAGACAAACCCAGGCCTCGATGGTCTAGGTGTTTGGACGGTGGTGCGTTAACCACTCTCTCTAAGCAAACCAAAAAAGTTCGAGCCCTCCCGAAAGAAATCCTGGGTACAACCCCGGTCTTGCGAGGTAGAAGAGCGTGTGATTTCCCCTCCCGGGGTAAAACACCGTTGGCCAGACAAGATCGGTGTGTTGTACAGCACCCACCGGGGTTTTCACTTGGTTCCAACCTGCTTCTAGAAGACCCTAAGAACGGGGAAATTGCTAGGAGGTCAGCTTGGTTCAATAAGTTTTTTGCCTTTTTTGCCTTTTTTGCCTTTTTTGCCTTTTTAGCATTTTTTTGCCCTTGCCAGATTGAATACACGTGACAGCTTCTACTACACCTGAGAGTTGTCGCGCCAACACTGACCAACGTGTCGTAGGTGCGCCCGAAGCATGAGGCTGCCTCTCGGAGAACAGCTCATGACTCGAGATGACCTGCACATGGCCTAGTGCAGGAGTGTTTCCAGGCAGAGCCGTGCCAGGGTGGAGAAGGCCAAGGTGGTACAACACTTGCTCCCTCATATGGGCTCATTATCCTTTGGGGAGATGGCTGCGAGCCATATATCGAGGGGTTCAACCACTTGTAGTCCCTCGGACTTTCTGGTCTACCGTGGTTGCAAATTTGGCGAAAATGGGACATAATCCACATTCTCTATATCGCTCGACCAGTTCCGTAGATTTCTCGGAGTTGTTCCCGTTGGTCGTCGGAGCCCCATTGACTGCGTTCTGCTCCTCTTTCACGCCCTCAACCAAAGCGACGAATCCTGTATCAATGGGAACAGAACCCAGGAAAGGCACGTTGGACTCTCGAGCCATCACCTCCCCCCCTCCTTTGCTGAAGACGTTGCTAATTTCACCACAGCAGGGGCAGATATATCCAGCCATATTTTCGATGACTCCAAGCACGGGCACTTGTGTCTTGACACAGAAATTCAATTCCTTACGAACGTCGGCTGTAGATATGGCTTGCGGAGTCGTGACCACCACTGCGCCGGAGAGCTTCGGCCTTACGCCGATGTCGAGCGACAGCGTATTCCCGTTCATAGCGGGGTCGGGTTGGGTATCGACGGCAAGTTTGTGTAGTTCCTCCACGATCGCAATGTGTTCGTCGCTAGTGCCCGGTGGGGTGTCAATGAGCAGATAGTCTGTGTTGGGTGGCCAAAGGACATCTGCAACGAATTGTCTGATCATCGCAGTCTTCTTCGGACCGCGCCAAATTACGGCCGAAGAGCGTGAGGGAAGGAGGAAGGCAAGGGACAATGCGTGAAGAGACCCTCGCTTCGCGGGCGCGGCGGAGTGAAGTGTCTGGTGGCCATTTGAGGGTTGCGACTCTCCGTCTCTTGCATCATGAACCTTGACCGGCAACCAGCCGCCAGGGGCTTGTGTAACTTTTTTATCTTCTAGGTTTAGGAGACGAGGGATACTGGGCCCTGTGAGGTCGATGTCGAGGATCCCGACATTGTGCCCCTGCTGCGTGAGGGAAAGGGCGAGCTGAAGAGTCACACTCGATTTTCCGACGCCCCCCTTGCCGGAGAGTATAAGAACGACGTGTTCGATGTTATCGAGGCCCATGACGAGAGATACGAAATGCAGGAAGAGCAGGCGATGACATGAGACCGAAAGAGACGATGAATGAGTTGCAGTCCTGGGGTGATTTGATGTCCAAAAAATAATTGCTAAGCAACCACGGAAAAGACCGATGCGATGGGATGCGATTACTGATTAGGTACTCCGTACTGATGTGGCGTCAGTGCAGCTGTGAACTGCGGTAGAGATTTTCGGGGTTGGCTAGCCTGAACTGGCCCTCTTGCACCGGCTGATTAGGCCATTTAGGCGTCGATGCGGGGGTGGCGTCTAGGCGTGCAGGTACCAAAAGGTACCAAAACCCAGGCATTGGATGCCTGGCCAAAGATTTTCTTTCCAGGCCGTTTCCACAGCCTCATGAAAGCAGCCTTGTGTCCTGGCTTCCTTGAAGGTGCCATGTCCCAATCTCAGCCAGGAATTAAGGAAGTTCCAACAACACACTGCAGTTGTGAGCGGCTGTTGGTGTCCTCACAGCGTGATTATTGCTGAGAACTGGAAACAACTGTGCACGTAAGCAGGTTTGGGCCTCGAATGTACGGAGTAAGCAGGGCTTGTAAGGATTTCGTTTGAGCACGTGCTTCTCTCTTGGCTGGCTGCAGCATTCATAGTAGGCCCAGAGTAGAATTGTTGTTAGGTACGTGGTCCAGCACTGGGAGAGTACTACCTCTATCCCTAGTCTGTTGTGGCCCAACATCATCGGAAGACAGCTCATGATTGAAGTCGATGCCATTCCGGATCATTTCCCTCTTCCCTGCGGCGATATAGACGAAGCGACTCCGAGTGGTGGGTGATCTGCGTCATCGGCGCGAATCGGCGATCTTTCCCCGTCCGCTGTTACAGTGGTTGTTGCACACCAAAAAATCTACTGGGCTGTGGCTGTGGCACACACACAAACTACCTGCGACAACAGCGCAGCTTTTCTCTTTCTCCCGGCACAAGACTCCAACCTGTCCCATCCAGTCTATATCAAGCCAACCCTCCCTTTCTCAACATTTACCCTGGTTCTCAGAGTCCCTTCCGACTGCCAGCCGGTGATTGCGAGCCAATCCATTAGTGTCAAAATTTCCGCCTGAGGCATTTTCAGCTCCAGCAAACAAACGTTCACCTTTCGTCGCAAGTCTGGCAAACTTCACCTGCCTTGCGATTCACATGTCACTCGGGCTGTAACGGCCACGCTTGATAAATAGCCGTCTCGAGCAGCTACTCCATGAGCCGCACAGATCTGCTACGCTTCCTGTCCAAGCCAGCAAAGTGAGTTTTAATCAGCGGTCAATCTCAAGGCCCCATTTCACTGACTGGTACAAGGCCTAGATAACACCAGCTACTTGCGAGTCCAATCATAAAGCCAACATCTATTGCTGTCACAAACACCACTGTTTGATCAACACACAACTCCAGTCGATACCCTGAACGGTATCAGACGCAGACCTCAAGAGAAGGGACCAAATCTGCCCACGATTCCGTTCGTTCAGGAAATCTTCTTCCTCCTCTCCTCCACCCGGCCTCCCTAACGACCCTACGGAAAGGGAACTCTAATCCACTCGGACATTGCTGCTGGCAAAAGCCAGCCTCCCAAACTCCCGCAGATAGTGGGCCTTCTCTTCTCAGGCGGACACCGCATTGTTCGTCTGGGTGGCAGATAGTGCTTCATTGAATCGTCAAGATCCAGTGGATTTAATCTCTGCCCATATCAGCCAATTTCTATACTACGGGACTTTGTCCACCCCTGCGACAAGGATATGGTGCATATTGGGATCCCCGCGAATTACACTGCTTCACCATCAAGCTTTAGTCACACACCGTCGTTGACTATCAATCGTGAAGTTGCGCTAGACCTTGATTCCAGCAATGCATTCGAAGGTCAGTCCCAGTTCCCCCGTGTTGGTTTGCCGCCGCTGACATTGTCAAAGGTCCGGAAAAACTTTTAGAAGTATGGTTCAGTCCATCATCGCATGCCCTCCATGGCTGTTCGGAACCGACCGGACTCAAAGCGGTGCCTGCCGAAGTCTGGAAAGCAATGCTGGATCTCGTCAATTGCAAAGTGTTGTCGATTGTGGAATCCGAAGATGTTGATGCCTATCTTCTCTCCGAGTCGAGCATGTTTGTCTTCCCACATAAGCTTATCTTGAAGACATGCGGCACCACCACCTTGCTCTGCGGTCTACCACGAATCCTCGAGATCGCCACCCTTTTCGGTGGCTTCCCCCGCTCTACCGCACCTCCGTCTCACGGTATTGCGATTGCAGCTGCTCCATACCGAGTGTTCTACAGTCGTAAGAACTACTTGTTTCCCGACCGTCAGCGTGGCCCACATCGCAGTTGGCGTGATGAGGTGCACACGCTTGACAAACTCTTCCTCGGAGGAAGTGCCTACATGATTGGCAAAATGAATGGCGAGCACTGGTATCTCTATTTGACCGAACCGTTCACCATGTTGACACCCCCTGCAAGTCCCCAAAGCATGGACAGTCCTGGAGCTGAAACGGAAACGAAGATCTTGAATTTGCCCTCCTCTTTGGTCCGTGATCGTGGCTCGAAACTATGCGAGGGTGATGATGAGACTCTGGAGATTCTTATGACTGATCTGGATGAGGAGAATGCTAAGCAATTCTACCTGGACCATGCGAGTGCGGTCGCAGAAGATCAGTGGAGGGGATCCCAGGAAGGACAAGACGATCACGTGGACGTGTTCGGCAATGGTTCATCTGATGGGAGTGACATCTCGGTGAAGGAAGAGCCATATCCTGCTGAACTCACAACCGAAGGCCATGCCCTCGGCACTGTTGTCTCTGAGTCTTGCGGCCTGTCAGAGGTCTACCCGACAAGCCACTACCCAGACTCTCGTATCGACGCATATCTCTTCACTCCTTGCGGGTTCTCGGCCAACGGAGTCATTCCTGCGCCACGCGGTGGCAAAGGGACTCACTACTTCACTGTCCATGTGACGCCCGAACCTATCTGCTCATATGCATCTTTTGAGACCAATGTACCTGCCGGTCAGAATGGTCGGGAAACCGCCGACATCATCCAGCACGTTGTGGATATCTTCAAACCTGGCCGGTTCAGCGTCACCCTGTTCGAAGCCAAGAGCAACTATGAAGAGCGAGCTTATGCCGGCGACGACGAATTGGCTCAAATCAAGATGTTGGAGCGACGAGCTGCTCATCGTGCCGCTAGGATGGATACTCTCAAAGGATATCGTCGGGTTGACCGTATCGTCCATGACCTCGACGGTTATGACTTGGTCTTCCGTCACTATGAGAGAGTGGACTGGAAGGGAGGTGCACCGCGCATTGGCGAACGAGGGTTTTAATGGCCTGCGACAGCAGACACTTGACCTCACAAGTTCCATGCGACTGGGAAACATGAGATGGCTTGATGGACTGCATGGAGATGGAGGATGTGATAAGACTCTTGCGGATTGACTACTCTCCTTTTCCGCAGATCCTTATTGGATAGTGCAGGATTGCAGGCTTTCACTCCTTCGACTCGGCCTGCAAACTAGGTATTGATGAATTATCTTGACATAGGTGTCTTTTGACGTTAATTAGTAGCCTAGTAGCCTTCACAAATTGTTTAAGAGAAGTTGGTCGTCGCTTCGATATTTCCACTTTAGAAGCTTGGTGGCTTTCACGGGGTTATAAGAAAAAATGCCCAGTGCCCAGCCGTCACGAGGTATGTCTCTACTGCTACAGTAAATAGATTTTATATAGCTGTTTGGCTGGATATTATTACGTAGCTGTTTGGCAGTGAACGAAGCCAAGCCAAGGGACAAGGCTGAGGCTGAGGCGAGACGGAACAGATAAGACCCGACAAGGGCACGACCCTTCTTGTCAACTGTTGATATGCATGCTCTTACCTGAGCTTTCGTTACCCCTCAGGTTGAAAATCAGGACAATAATAGATACGAGGAGAACGGAGTCTGTACCGTAGGGCGGCAGAGCAAAATACCAGACCCAGTGTGAAAAGCACAAGTGATTTCTCCCAGCGAGCTCGACGATATCCTAAGGATCACGAGTGCATCTTGAGGTAAGTGGCCCTTCACCACTCTATCCCTCAATCGAGAAGATCATGGTGTCCACCAATGCAGCCCGCAAACTAACTTGATGTTTTGGCCTCCCAGGCAGCATAGGAGACCTGTCTTTCCACTTGCATACGGCCAGCCATTGTCTACCCCAGATCAATCCCCTTGGACGACTCTACGTAGGCTTTCCACACCTGGCCGATATCATTCTTGTGGATCCAGTCCAAGTGGCCTGCCATATCAGGGAAGAAGTGACGGAGTCGGTCTCTCAAGATGTCTTCCAGCGGCCGGTTCTCGCTTTCTACCCGGGCTCTTTTCGCTGCCGACATACTGGGCTGACTTTCACGCCAGTGGTAACTATCAGTGCATTAGCTGTGATGCTGCACAGTATGGCGACTCAAGCTCACATTCTTTTGTAGTAAGGTGATCGGATTTCATCAAAAATCTTAAGCGCATCTTTGACACGATCGGACGAGTTGCGAGTGTGCTCGAGAGCCCGTGCAAGGATCCAGGCGTCCTCCATGGCAAATGCTGATCCTGTGCCAAAGCCGCCTGGTCGTTTGATGAGTTTCTCCAGTCGCTCCAGTCGCTCCCAGCTGGGGAATGAGCTTACCTGAGAGTGGATGACTTGCGTCGCCAATGAGGGCAACCTTGTCCCATGCGGTAATGTCTTCCAGACAAGGCCCAGCAAACAAGGCGAATTCTCTCCATTGACCTTCTGGGACCAATGCGATTGCCGCCCTCACCCTGGGATCGAATTCCTGCCCTGGGATCAGCATTTCACCACTGCTCCCATGCGGGGTCGAGAGCGCCTCATACCGTGAAGTTGGATGTGACCTTGTCGTTCGTGACAGGGACTCCCCAGCTCACCGCTGGGTCCGGACGGCTAAGCTTATCAGATGCTCTTAGTGAGATCTCAAACAGGTCTTCATCCGACTCGTCATCAACGCCGGAAAAGAATGCTTGGGTGGTTGTTCCATGCCACGCGCCCATGAGATCGCCTATGGGTACAGCAGATGAGATGGGCACGAGTGTACGCCAGGTTCTGCTGCCTGTAGAGCGCCGAAGGATTTTATCAGTTGGCCGCATCTGGGTCCGGAAGGAGAATACAGATCAATACGCACCGATAAAATGCAGTTGATGGTCTGGAAACAGGGTTCGCCGCACAATCTGGGACAAGTCAGAATGTCTTCAGGGTGAATGCCAAACCGAAGCCGGGGGAAGCAGACCGAACGAAAGCCATCGGCACCAACAACAAGATCTACCAGAGCCTGGGTCCCGTCTTGAAATGTCAGATGGGCGCCCTTCTTATCCAGATCTCGAAGTGAAACGAGCTTCTTATTGTATTGAATGATCCCGGGGGGAATCCTGGCAAGCAGGGCAGACTGAAGCCGAGCCCTGCGAACTCTCGTCCTTGCACGCTTAGAAGTGGAGACTGTGGGATCTGGTTGCGGTGCAGGTAAAAAGACTTCACCAGTGTAGCCGTTCCTAGATCCAAGACTGGCGTTACAATCTTCGACTATCATGAAGCCGACCTGCTCGTGGGATGTGGCTAACCTGTGGGTAGCATTGGACTTGGTACATCCTCGAATTCCATCTGCTGCTCCGAGCAATTCGAGGACCTTCCAACCATTGTCACCGATGCTCAGGCCAGCGCCGACCTCTCGTGGCTCTGGATTCTGTTCGTAAAGAGTGACCGAGACATCCGAGAGCTCAGACAAAGCTATAGCGGTTGCGAGGCCTCCAGGTCCTCCGCCGACAATAGCCACCGTGGTTGAGCGTTGGTAGGAACCCATTCTTGCAAGACGGCCGAGACGCCAAAAGTGCGGATGGCAAGTCTCCTACTTTCACAGTGCGAGGACCGGGCAACGAGGAAGTAAACCCCTGTAGCCACTGGGGCCTACATTTAAACACCTCGCCACACGAAAAGAACCGCCCTTGCGTATCGGCGTGGATGACTCCGAACGAGTGGTTCCCTGGCTCGAGGACATGGGTTATCTCTCTGTCGGTCCTACAAAGAACGCCGTCTGCTAGTAATAGTCTGCACATATACGGACTACATACATACCAGGCACGCCAGGTGCCCAGAGCCACTTCTGTACTCCGTACATACACACGGTTTGATTGGGTGGTTACGGAGGCTCCGAAGCTCCTCGCTTGCAGCCAATCTATCCTAACCATTTCAGGGGAACCATATGGGGTCATCTCCACACGTGGCGTCGTTAAGTCCATAGACGAAGTCCTGCAGCGGTCTGAACGACTCTGGATTCCTGCGCGAAGGATACAAGTCGTGCTGTCTGTGCCCCAGGTCCTTTGCTACCCCAGGTCTTTGCTACGCCATTTCGCAAGAGTTCAGCACGATCATACATTCTGTCTCGAGGAATCCTCTCGGAGCAGCTCCGGACAGCACCACTACTTCTGCCCAGGAGGGCCCGATCTGACTGATATTTCCTCCTTGCCACCCAGTCCCAGGTCAGCACGTCTTCAAGAATGGAAATCACACAATTCGTTTACCAGACTCGTCACAATCACGGCTTAGGCCTCTGTGGTCAAGGTTGAATAAAGCCGACGTTCTGACGCCTCATGCCGTCAATCATCTTGCTTGGAAACCGTCCGACAAGTCTATCTCCATTGCTCTTGAAAGGAAAACAAAATCCCTGCGCCAGCATGTCCAAGGCTCCGGAGATCAGTGTCGACGTCGACGCCGACGACGGCACAAACCACGAACTTCGTGCGGCGCGTGTGGTTGCGCAGACGCCGAAACAAACCCGCCGGGGCTGGTTCTGGGATACACTGGACAAATCGCCCGAGGAGCGACGATTCCTGTTCAAGCTTGATACCGGCCTTCTGACCATTGTTTGCTTTGGTATGTTGCATGCTCGTCCTGGGCTTGACTTGTCGGTGTTCCAGTCTGGCGAACGTACTAATGGGAATACCATCAACAGGATTCTTCGTCAAGTTCCTCGATCAAGCCAACCTGAACAATGCGTTCGTCTCTGGCATGTAAGTCACCCGTCCGCTGTTGCTTTTCACTCCCGAAGACGAAGATGGTGTGTGCATCCCTCCCTGGCTGACAACTGCGGCAAATAGGAAGGAAGACTTGAACATGTTCGGCAATCAGCTCAACTACGTGACGACCATATACACAGTGGGCTCTATTGTTGGGAATATTCCCAGCAATCTTCTCATGACAAGAATCCGGCCGTCAATCTGGCTTCCCAGTTTGATGGTATGAGAGTTTGATACACGCCGTGCACCTGTGCTAACAGACCTCAAGATAATCTGGTCGGTGTTGACCATGTGTTTGTCTCGAGTCAACAATACCAAACAACTATATGCATTGCGCTTCTTCATCGGTCAGTTACAGAGAGATATAAATTCCGCTTTGTCTGACTGGCTCACTGATCAACTTTTCCAGGTTTGTCAGAAAGCGGATTCTACCCCGGCGTCGAATATATGCTCGGTTCTTGGTGTAAGTGTTCGCTTCGCGACCTGCAAGGGCTCCAGGATCCAGGCTCGGTTTTACCTTTGCACAGACACTGGCTGACCCGGGCACTGTCCATCTGCCTCGTACAGACCGGAGGGATGAATTAGCCAAGCGAGCAGGGATCTTCAACTTCACCGGGTCGGTAGCCACCATGTTTTCGGGCTACCTGATGAGCGCAGTGATCAGTCTCGACGGCAGAGGAGGCCTTCGAGGTTGGCAATGGTAGGTCACGTCTCATCTCCTGTTATTCATGTGACAAGTCAAAATAGACTGATGGGGAATCGATTACTGATCAACCTCTCTCTAGGCTATTTATCATGGACGGAGTGATATCCTTGCCCATCGCCATAGCCTCTTTCTTCCTGCTCCCGGATTATCCGGAGATCTCTCGAGTGTGGTATCTGAACGAAGGCGTAAGTACAGTGACCAGGCTGAGGCTACAGATCCGGCAAGAGGCTTCATCTGAACAGTTCTTAACACCCCTCATCTCATAGGACAAGGCAATTGCCAGAAAACGCATGGAATTCGAAGGCCGCCGAAAGAGACAACCGTTCACAAAGAAGAAGGTGTTGAAGATCTTGAGTTCCTGGCACTTGTGGCTTCTACCTCTGCCTATCTTGTGAGTTCAGCCTCCCCAATCATCTATACTTCTGTCTGCCTGCCTGCCTGCCTGCCTGCCTGTCTATTCATCTATCTCATGTCCCGTCCTAACATACACTTTGCCTTGTAGCTTCTGCGCTGGCGCTGGCGGTGGTGGCCAGCCGACCTTTGCGCTGTGGCTGAAAGCATCCAAGCATCCCAAGTACACTATTTCCCAGATCAACACCTACCCTACCACAGTGCCGGCCATGCAGGCTGCCGCTACGCTCGCCTACACTTGGATTTCGGATTCCTTTCTACGTGGTCGGAGGTGGCCTATAATGCTTTGGGCAACGGTATGTGATTTGAAGACATGACATGTTTTCTGTTTCTGTCTCTGTGTCGTTTTTCCGTCCCCTGTTTGATTTCCTTTCTGTATCCTTTCTGATGCGTCTTTGGTTCCCTTTCTGATGCCTGTTTGGTTCCCTCTCTAATGCGTATTTGATTTCCTTTCTAAACCATGCTGCTGACCTTACACGTTGTCCAGACCATCAACTTCATCGTCTTCACTTCTCTAGCGGTCTGGAACATCCCAGTTGGATGGCATTGGGCATGCTATATCTTGATGGGTCAAGCCGTGGCCACCAGTCCTCTCATGATGACGTGAGTAATGTCCCGTTGATTCCTATCATACCGCATCACATCACATCACATCACATCGATTCCTATCATATCATACCATATCATATCACCTCAAGAGAACCCCTGTCATATCATATCATATGAACCGTCGGTGTGTTCACGTCACATCGCTTCCTATCCCATCACATCATATTACATCACCTCAAAGAACCATCCCTGTGTGCTGACAACTCTATTTGAATCAGCTGGACGAATGAACTCTGCTCCGGCGATGCCGAGGAGCGCGCTCTCGTGCTTGCCGTGGTCAACGACTTCCTCCCAGTGATGAACATCTGGCTGCCGCTCCTCATCTGGCAACAGGTCGACGCTCCAAGATACCACACCGGGTTCATCACCGCCTCGTGCCTGATTGTTGTCGGCTTCTTCCTGATCCTGGCGATACTATATCTCTCCCATAGGGACAGGGATAGACACCAGCAGAGGTAGGTGTTGAGTTGTGTTGCGTGCATAGCATGATATCTTGTAGCGCACAAAATCTGACCTTCTAATTAATCCTAGGATGCAACGCGAAGAAAAGGTCCAGGCAGAGCTACAGGCAGAGGCACAGGCACAGGCACAGGCACAGGCACAGGCACAGGCACAGGCACAGGCACACGGAACAGAGACGGCAACAGGAACAGGAAAAGAAACTGCTCAGAGCTCAGGCGAGAGCCCTCTGCCTGTGTGACCACAAATAACGGACGGGTTGGTTGGAATCAGGCTTGGCCATGTTATGTATGTATGGATACGGATATGACTCGTCCTTCTGAGTCCGATCATCCTCGACCGATACTACAGCCTGGCAGAGCGATTACAGATGGTTGACAGGACCGATACTACAGCCTGGCAGAGCGATTGCAGATGTTTGACAGGACCCGTGGAGGCTGGACCACGGTGTCCTTCCATCCCGTCAAAGGTTGAAATTGTTCCCCTGTTCGCTATCAGGGGTTTGGTATGGGGGGAGCCCAGGCTATATAGGTGTGCCTATGGTGCCTATGTATTGACCTTAAGCCAGCCTTCTAGCCTTCTGGTTAAAGAACAAGGCTGTGAATGCCCAAATTAGTGCCTACAGTAAGTTTGACGCATCCTTCGAGAGATGGGGCGTAAATGTACTCCGTAGTGTGATTCGAGACACCCCCAAGAAAATAGGAATAGAGTTGGAATTAGAATTAGGATTGGAATTGGCCGCGTGCGTGGTGTACTCAGTACAGTGTCTGTTGAGCTTCCAGCTTTCAAGGCCACAACCCTAACGCTCCAACATCCAAGTTCTGGACGGATTCCCTAAAGCAAGCATGTAACTCAAAGCATAAATTCGAATTTCATTCCGATGGGCTGCAATTGCAGTAGGTCCATTAAATCAGATGTAATGTAACGTAACGTGGCGTAACAATGCAGGGGTTCTAGAAGAGCGAGGGCGAAAAAGTTGCAGTCGCAGTCGCTGAAGCCTGACTTAATTATAAGATCACCATGAGGAAATCAAACCAAACCAAAACCAAAACCAGAACCAGAACCAGAACCAGAACCAGAATCGAAACCACGCGAATGCCTTGCAAGCTACTTGATGCAGCTCGAATCCAACGCCACACACCTGTGCAATTCGAATCCAACGCCCACACACCTGTGCAATTCGAATCCAACGCCCACACATATGTGCAATATATATCTTCCGGCATTGCAGATAGATTATCAGATTCGAAGCTATATACTACTTCGCTTCGCTCAGTAGGATTAAATCAAATAGGACTATGAGCCGTTCACCAGATCGATTTGATAGATCTTACAAAGCAGCCACTCGCACCTGTCGGCAAACCGGGTGCGCAGCGCATCCATGGCCGCCTGCACGATCTGGTCTAGATTCTGCCCATACAATGCCAGAAGAGAACGGGTTGAAGTCATTGCTTTGAGTGCGTAGATTGCGGACAGAATTCTGGAACAGAGAATTAATTGATTAGACACAGGACTGTATGACTGTACAGTAAGGCACAGTCTTGGATTTCCTCTGGTCTGTGGGCCGGACAGTAGGACTCGACTCACCTATTCCCCTCGATGACATCGACGTCCGGCTCTTCGGTCAAAAAGACCTTGGCCAAGGTCAGCGCGGAAAGGAGACCCTCGTGGAGTAGGGACCACTCGAAATTCTGCAGACGGAGACTCGGATCCTGTTGGACGCGAAGGATGAGCGGCCGGTACAGGGCAAATCTGGCAAACCAGTAGAGTAGTTTCAGGCGCTTTGCTGGCGGCGACGAAGCTCCGTTTCCTGGTTCGACCGACCAATCCAGGCAGTCGGGAATCCGCGACACCCAACCGTCAAGTTGGTTTCGAAGTTCCCGGGTGAGAGTCTGTGATGAGACTTCTGCACCCACAACCACGTGCCCGGATGTTCCTGCGAGATTGTGCTCAGGAGCCGGAGCCGGAGTGCTGACAATCCGGGCCACCGTCATCCTGAGCGACATCTCGGCGAGGAAGAACATGAACGCGTCGCGGGTTTGGGACGGGATGCTGGGCCTGAGCGATGTGTCACAGCCGAGAGGTAGAGCGAGAGTCTCCTCTAGGAGGGATAACGAGCTTTGTGGAAGAGTGTCATCCACCTCACTTAACAGATCGCTTTGAAAACACCATCAGCTTCGCTCAGTGGTCAAGTGAAGTCAGTACACGGAGGGATTCCACCAACAAAAAGACAGACAGACCGTTCAAAGTTATAGCAAATCCAATACATCCGCCTAATGCTATTTTGATCCATCTGGCTTCGTTTGATGTTGGTAGTTCGATCTCTTTTTGAAAGGGGGAAAATGCATTAGCTGGTCGTCCAAAAGTCAAGTCTGGTCTCAACGCAGCCCTACCGTCTGATCAAAGTAAACAGCGCAGCACAGGCTGTATGCAGCGTGTTGGTAAAATTTACCAGTCGCCCTATCTTCAATAGGAACAGCGCCGACATGACTTGGACGATGACATATTCGAGGCTCGACCGACTGCTCAGCCGGCTGAGAATCTGGGTGGCTCGCTGGAAATCCGCCAATCCGCTGTCCACGGGCGCGTAGCTTCGGTACGCCTTTGAAAGAGCGACTATAAGAAGGGTGAAGCAGGAAGGCACGTCGTCCTGAAATCCGTGGCTCTTGACCCATCCCACCATTCTTTCCACAGTATCTTTACACGTGATTGGATACACGTCGAAGAGGCGATCGAGGAAATCTTGCACGAATGGCATCATTACGCTGACGCTCGTAGGCTCGGTTTCGGACAGGACGTCGGGGATAGGACTCCGTGATTCTTCACACTCCAATGGTGACTTTTCCATGTACTGTGCCCTCTTTGAATCATTAAACAAGATGTGACCTGGAGTTCGGTTGCCCATGTGGTCAGAGCTCTCGTTGTAATAAGCGTTGATGTCCTGGGATTGCATCTCGGCTATGTCTTCCTGCAGATCATCGTCTTCCACCTGGTACTGAGGCATTTGGGCGGCATCGCTTCGGGCGGCCGTGGCCGTGGCCGTGTCTGGTGAAGTGTGTCTTGCACTCGGCGTATCCAGATCTCTCCAGGTGCTCCAGGATACCTCAGCCTGGCCATCCGACTCATGACTCGACGCTTCGAGCTGAGATATTCTCTCTTCGAATTGAGAAAGACGTTCGAGCAGGAGGTCGAGCTTCTGGTTCTGATCGTCGTTGCTGCTGCTGGTACTGCTGACACGTTATTGTTGGGTAGATCGAATAAAAGGGACAGCACAAGCCTTTGTCTAGTGTGATCTCGATAGTCACATCGAAAGCCATGGCTACTGCAATAGCTACATGCTGGTCGGCCTTCGTCGCATTTCACCTTCTTCATGCGACACGTCTCACAGGCAACTAAGGCCTTTTGCGCGCCGATGTAGGAACTCATTAGACAGAGAAAAACAACGATCCATCACGATGGCTAGAGCACCTACCGCGTTTATCCTCTGGTGGCCGTCTCGAGGCAGTTGCCGTTGCTGTTGCAGGTTCTGGCTCTGCTTGTGAATATTTCGATGCGATACAACATTTCTGTGAGTGGTATTTTGCAATACAGAGTTCCGTGTTCGCCTGTACGAGGCGTGGGCGCTTTGGTCCATCAGTGCCTGCAGGAACTGGAAGTTGGTGTAAGGACGTCTGTGGTCACCAAATCTCAGCTCCATTGACAGCATGATTTCCTCGCAACCGCCGCACATATTGGCCTGAATTAGAGGCACTGTGGTCACCACGACTGGCACGGGGTCTGTATGGCGTCAATGATATCCAAGAAGGCGTCACCTTATACCTAGGTAGCCTGGCCGACTCTGCCTGTATTAGTGGGAGACGTTCTGAGATCATCTATTGGCCAGACACGGAGTCCCCGAGCCTGGGCAGCCTCCCTCGGGGTTTTCGGGGGTGGACCACAACTTGAAGTGGATTTACCAAACGACGACAATCACAAAGACCTAGAACATCTATCAGCTTGCGACAGGGCGGTCGACATTTGGTCTCAACTCGAGTGGCACCGAAATGCGGCCGGCAGTGCGAGAAGATAGAAGATGGACACTGCACGGCATTGGCTCTCTTGGAATGGAAGTGGGAGTGGGACCTGTGCCCCGTCACAAGGTACAGAATGCATTATAAGATGCAATGGGCCCTTTAGCCTTCTGTTTGGGGAAATGCCATATCACCATGAGTCTGAGCGACACTGGTCGTCGCGTCGCTGTCATCGGCGCTGGTGCTTCTGGAGTGGCTGCTGCGGCCCATCTTCTGGCTGAAGGCCTCAATGTGACGGTATTCGAGAAAGGACCTGTGACCGGGGGCGTCTGGTGAGTATTTCATGGCTACAAGCCTGATGCTCTCAGCTTACAAGACTCCCAGGGTGTTCGAATCGCACCTTCCGCCAGAACCATCCTATCCGACCGTGAAAGCGTCGCTGGCAGAGACAGAATTTTATGGCCACCCAGAGAACGACGAGCCATACATTCGGCATCATGCACCCGGGTAAGGGTGAAGCAGGCTGAAACCTCAAAGAGCAGATCGCTAACCGCTATAATAGAGCTTGTTATGAAAATCTCAGGACGAATGCCCCTACACCATTGATAGAGATGAGCCTGAACCCTTGGAAACCAGATACAGAGTTGTACGCAAGACATTCTGTCGTGGCAGACTACATTCAAGAGACAGCCGCCAGGACCGGGGTGCACAGGACAATACTCCACCATACGAAAGTCGAGTCTGTCACCAAACGTGAAGAGCAAAGTGGATGGAAAGTCCATACTTCGACCTGGGGCACAGCCAAAGGAGTGCTGCTGAAAAACTGGGTAGGTTCAGAATCCCCGGTTGACCACAAGTTGGAGGACCTTGTCTGGGGGCTGATATGACTCAGACGTTCGATGCAGTCGTTGTAGCTACGGGACACTACCATGCCCCTTACATTCCCGATATACCTGGCTTAGCACATTGGAAACAGGCATGGCCAAACCGAATTCAGCACTCGAAAGGATACCGATCCAACAAAGGATTCCAAGATCAGGTAGTCCAAGTCCGTCAGAGCTCGAGCAATGTAACTGGTCACTAAACATCGTTTGTTTCCAGGTCGTCCTCCTCATCGGAGCTGGGGCCTCGGCCGTTGACATTGCCAACGAATTGGGTCCCTGTACAAAGAGAATCTGGCAGTCGACGAGAGGCAGCAGTACCGATCACTCACTTGACATGCTACCTGCGAACGCTACACGTGTTGCTGAAATCGCCTCCTTTGGGCCTTTGAGGAATGACGCCTCGACCTGGGCCGGCGCAATTCCAGGCGCGGTCACACTGGTGGATGGCCAAATCCTCGAAGGTATCGACAGAGTTGTCCTGTGTACGGGATACCTCTATTCCCTCCCCTTCTTGGCCAGATACCACCGCGATGATTTGTCGGCCGTAAATGCAGACTCGAAGGTCCTTGTTACTGATGGTTCACAAATCCACAACCTACATAAGGACATCTTCTATATTCCAGATCCCACACTTGCGTTCGTGGGAGTTCCGGTTGATGTCGCCAGCTTTTCTTTGTTTGAATTCCAAGCCATGGCCATTGCCGCCGTGCTCTCGGGACAAACGACACTCCCCTCGGAAGACACGATGAGGGCAGAGTACGATGAGAGAGTCAAAGAGCGTGGCCACGGGAAGCGATTTCACAGCTTGTTGAAGAAGGACGTGGCATACGCCGCAGAACTGATGGAATGGGTGAATCGGGGAAGGCAGCCGACCCGAATGAAGAGCAGTGGATATTCGAGGGAGTGGCTAGATCGTCGTGCAACATTTATCGAGAAGTACAAAGGGAAAGGGGCCCATTTGAAGATAGAAGATACCTATCCGAAGTTAGAAGGTCAAGCAGCTTGAAAGAAACAGGATCCGGAAATCGTGGCCTCCACTGTGGAAGGGTATTCTCATACTCTCATCCTTGCATCGTTCGTGATATTCAATTCTGGAAGGACATCCCATGGCACAGCTTGGCCTCGACGTTCAAGTTAGACAGCCGGGCATCTTAGTCGGCGCAGTTTCTTTAAACAGAAGGTCAGGCGAGAGACAACTGGTGATCGATCAATACTGCCTGCAGCCCGCGTCCCTTCCACATCACTTTAACTTTAGCACCTCATCGACAGTCTCTCTGGCTCTTAGAACCTTTCTTTGAATACTGTGACGTGTCTATTCCTGCAAACTCATCTATGGTACGGCCCTGCATTTGTTCCTGAATACAGTCATGGCGAGTTCACCTCCAGCACCCTTCCCCGCGAGCCTTCCCAACCCCAAAAAAAGGGCGTCAATAGGCTCCCAAGGGCCGACACAAGGTGCCACGAAACGACCCAAACTACATCCTTTGAGACAAACGTCATTTCCAGCTCAAGACCTCAGTGGCCGACATGGATCAGCAGTTACGAGCGCGCGCTCCGAGACAGGCAGTCTAGTGTCTGGCGTCAGCACTAAAGTGCCAGGTCGAGGAAGAGGCAGACCTAGGAAGTCGGCTCAACTCAACGACGATGACATTCGTTCTTCTCAACAGGCCACGGCAGAGACGAGCAGCCAGGTTGAAGGAAGTGGAAGAAACACGGGGGGGCGCGGTACCAAATCGGTGGTCAGTGCAAGATCGGGTGCAGCTGAAGCCGAGGAAGATGACGAAGGTGACATTGACGGGATGCTTGAAAACATGGATGAGCAGGAAAGACGGCAGGCCGAAGAAGAAGAGTTGAGGCAGGAACAACGACGAGACCGTTTGGCCGATCAACTTGACCCGGACCAGTACTCTCGCTACAACCAGTGGCGTGCGCTGTCGTTGAACAATACCACGATCAAGCGACTTGTCAACTCGATAGTTTCGCAATCGGTGACTTCGGCCCCGTTGCAGGCGGTTAGGATCTACGGCAAATATTTTGTGGGCGAGATCGTGGAAAGAGCCCGCGAAGTACAGGTTGAATGGGCCAAGGCATACGATGTCACCAAGGAGGAAGAGAGACAACGCCGACAGCGGGAGTTACAAGAACTAGAGGAAAAACAAAAGCAAGTCAATAGCCCTGACCAGCGACCTCGGTTGATTCTGAGGGACATTGAAAGACTGAAGAGAGAAGTCAAAGAGTACATCCCCAACCCGCACCGAGGCGGACTACTTCCGGATCATCTGCGAGAGGCTTTACGAAGATACAAGGCTGATGGCGAAGGTGGGGGGGTCGGTTTCACAGGCATGAGCCACGGAATGTTAGGAGTTCCTGGGTCGGTGGCGTGGCGGGTCGGTGATGGCACTTCGGGAAGGCGTCTTTTTAGGTGACCTAGCGACCGTTGGAGGGCTAAGGAGGCTCCTCTAGCTAGCTATGCCGAACCATGCCGCGCAGTCAAAGTGCTGATCTTGCTGGTTGCTGAAGCTGCCCAAAAATGTTCAGCCTCGCAGGAAAGATCCGGAGGAGATATGACGTCACAATGCCGATGGAGCCTAGAGCCTGTTGGAGTTGCAACCGGGCGAGTGGAAAGTGGCCGAGTCGGAGAGGGATGGCAATCACGATGCTCGACAATTCATTACCTAAAGTAGGTGTTGACGGAGGAGAGAGGACTCGTCTCGGTACTTTCATTTCAATGATGACCTCTCCCTCGACCTCCCTCGGTTCTGTTTTCGTCTTGTGATGCCTTGTTCCTATTGTATTGTTGTCTCGTTTACCGCAGTGCTGGGTTGTCTCTGCTGGCCATTTGCTGTACAATCCTTTGATCACCGGCCCAATGGGTTTTCCTAACCAGGAAAGTGACAGCTATCACCAGGGAAAAGACGAGGTTGAACCTGGTCAGCTCTCTATCCGTTCGAACCTCCACGATGCTGGAGTGAAACCCACTAAGCGCCTGCGTACTGACTATGATTCTCGATAGGATCCAACGAAGACCTCCCACCGGGATTACAGAGAGAGCTCGACCGCTTGGAGAAGTTGTTCACGGTGGACACCGAGATGCTGAAGAAAATCACATCACGATTCGGCGAGGAGCTGGAACAAGGTGAGAGAATGGAACTGGGATGCTAGACGAGGCGAGGTTTTATTGTCCGCAGGGTCCGGACGTTGACTGGTACTTTCAGGGCTTCAAGAGGACCACCAGAATATCGTAAGGACTGCGGTTCCCTTCAAATTGTATCCTCTGAACTCACACCACTCTAGCCTATGAATATCACCTGGGTGACGTCGCGGCCAACCGGACATGAACAAGGCACATTCCTCACCCTCGACCTTGGAGGGACGAATCTGAGGGTCTGTCTTGTCACGCTCGCCCCAGCTAGCCGGCCGAATATTATGCAGCACAAGTTTAAAGTGCCCACACACTTCCTCACTGGGACGGCAGATCAGTTGTTTGACTTCATATCGAGTTCAATGCAGGAGTTTCTTGACCAGCATCCCAATCATGCACGAGGTTGGAGTGGAAACGCGCCATTGCCCCTGGGGTTTACCTTCAGCTATCCAGCTACCCAGGAGAGGATTGATCATGGGATACTTCAGACGTGGACGAAAGGATGGGATGTCAAAGGTGTGGAAGGAAACGACGTTGCAGAGATGTTGAGAAAAGCGATACAGAAAAGGGTGAGTTTCTCTTCATGTACGCACGGTCTGATCCTGTTGCAAGTCTTGTGTTCCAGGCTCTGCAACCGCTCTTCCCGTCGCGCGCCATTCGAGCTACTAGCTGACGTACGGTATCTATGACACAGAGCCTCCCCATCAAGCTCGTTGCCGTTGTGAACGACACGACTGGAGCATTAATTGCCTCCTCATACAACGACCCCGAAACCATCATTGGGGCGATATTTGGCACCGGCTGCAACGCGGCATACATGGAGCAAGTCAGTCACATCCCGAAACTGGCCCGCACTAGATCAGAGTTAAACTCGAGCACGACCGAAAGCGCCAGGTTATTGGATGATGAGGGTTTAATGGCCATCAATTGCGAGTATGGCGCCTTCGACAATTCGCATGCGGTTCTCCCTCGCACCTTATATGACGAGATTATTGACCAGGACTCGCCTCGGCCGGGCGAACAGTCGTTTGAGAAGATGTCTGCAGGCTTGTACCTGGGTGAGATTTTCCGACTGGTCCTCGTGGATGTGAGAGATAGGGAAGGCATTTTCCGGCAGAAGACCAGTCATGAGTTTATCTCAGCAGGGAAACACGGAGTCAGCAGCGAGGCAAAAGAAGCCAAAGAAGACAGAAAGGGCCTAGATGACGCATACGCTCTTGACACCGAGTTCCTGGCGCTCATTGAAAACGACCACTCTCCAGACCTTGTGGAGTCGAGACTGAGATTTGAGGCGCATCTCCATCACCCTCAATCCCTGGCCCCTATATCGCCCTCGCACAATGAATTGCTCTTTTGCCGTCGAATAGCGCAGCTCATTGCCATCCGCGGGGCCCGCCTCTGTGCGTGCGGTGTGTCAGCCATCTGTCGACGGCTCGGTGTGAACAAGGGCCATGTTGCAGCGGACGGGTCCGTCGCAATCAAACACCCGCATTTCAAGAAGAGGTGGGAGCAGGCTGTGGCCGAAATCCTGGATCTCGAGAAGGGAAGAGTCGAATTGACGAGCGCCGAGGATGGGAGCGGGATTGGAGCAGGTGTGATTGCTGCGTTGACGTTGAAAAGTGACAGCTACAACGGACAATGACCTACAATGGTGGTATGTAATGGCATTCCTTGCCTATTTAATATTTGTTACTATATCAAACTAAGAAGATGTCCAGGGAATCGGGCGTCCTTGAACGAGACAGATGCCGAAAATCGAACGTGCTAATTGACATATCCAGTCCAATCCCCCTGCAATGCATCGTCTGAACAACACAACGGAGCCGCTTTTTCATCAATCTGCGGCCGCAGGCGCTTGATATACGCGCATGTCGCCTGATATGTGGTGTCGGCCGCCGCCACGTCATTTACCACTGTGTTCCTCGGTGCCACCGTCGGTCCTAGCGAGATGTACTTTGGTTTGAGGTCCAGACAGCCGCTGTGATACTGGGTATAGTACTCTTTCAACGCAACATCAATGTCTTCGTGATACTTGTTCTCGAGCAGGATGGCCATCTCCGTCAGCTTGTCGTCGTGGGGATCTGTTTCCTGCTTGGATGCACCACTGGCTCCTTCAGGCCGTGGGATATCCAGCCGCTCTACGAATTCCAACTTGGTTTTCGGTGTTGACTGGCGCAGGTCTCTCGCAATGGTGTCGCGGAGCAAAGTCCCCCTCTTTTCCAACGGTGTACCAAAGGAAAAGATCCTCGAAAATCCGGCGAGCGAGCGAAAGTCCCGCTCGGTGGATGCGCCTGATCCGATGTTGATTGCCAGTTGGATCGGATGAGGCGTGGACGTAAGACTAGTGATTTCGTCCATGGCAAGAAGCGTGATGGCGTGAGGATCCATGCTATCAGCATCGAAGAGCTTAACGGAAGAGTGGTCCAGGCTGAACGAGTTGAACAGATATTTACACGCTGCTGTCGCCGCGAACGCATCGGCAATCCGACACTCTGCAGCGTCAGGTCCTGGCCATTGCGGTCCCTCGGGTGTTGGGTAAGTACGGAAGATCTGGTATTTGCGACTGGGGCTCGAGCCCTTTTCAGCCGCGGCAGCGAAGGTATACTGGCATCGCGGCCACTGCGTGTCATGGCACAGCATCTTGTCGCCGGTGTCGCCGGTGTCCTTGGAGTATCGCTTCACAATGTCGCTGACCTTGGTCAGAAGACGCGGCTGGTCGAAATTGGCGTTGTGCCATCGTAACCGGCGCTTCTCGACCCACGAGCGGGCGGTGACGGCATTGACGATCTCGACGTAGGCCCGTATACACGTTGGGATGTCCAGGTGTAGTCGGCCCAGCAGGATGGCGATCCAGCCGCCAACACCGATGCCCCCGATGACATCAAAGACTTCACATGGAAGAGGTTTGCCTCCCGTGTTGCCCTCGTTGGCAGCAATCGCGTTCATGAGTTCGTCGACGATCATCAGCATCGAAAGTCCCGTAATTCCAATGCTGTCTAGTTTATCTAGTCAGTCAACCAGTTCGCAAGGGAAAAAGAACAGACACGGCTTACTGAACGTCAGGATACGAAGAGGTTTCTTTCTGCTTGGGCGACTGCCTGCATTGGAACTGTCCATTCGCGAAACTGGAGACAACCCTTTTGTTTTATGGCTACCAGCACACCAGTTGTGTGGTGATGTTTGCAGTAGATTGACCTGATCCTTTTGAGATTCAAAACCACAAACTGACCGGACCACAGACTCATATGTCTGCTTATTTGAATTCACTGACACGGACGTCTCACAAACAGCCTCGTCAGCGTGCGGCAGTGTCTACCTTGAGCAGTCACCCATGTCGCAGGGATGAGCAAGAAGCCAGCTAGTCCAGGGCTCTGGTAACCGGTGACGAGATACGGGTTCCAATCAGAATGTCCTGTGATTGCGGCCTGAGGGGCTTAGGAGCCAGGGGTGCATCCTGGCAACACAGTCACGAGAGATCCTGGGTATGAGAGGCTCAGTCACGCCAAAAGTACCAATACCACCAGTAGGCGGTAACCTGTCACGCCTTCGCCCCTTCACCTCGCCACTGCAGGTTTCAGTCAGTGCGTTGAGGAGGCAGTGCGGGAACCTGGCAGGCAGCCTTGAAATAATGACTTGACGCCTGGTCAGCCGCAGTCCGGCCCCAAGAATACGAGCTGAGGCTGAGTTGTGCCAAGCCCAGTTGCACATGCAACATGGTTTTGGTCACATTTCAGCCGCCCATTATTCAGCATCTGGGCTCGAAACCCCTGTGATGGCCTTGTGCCGGCGGATAGAATGGCTGAGGGCCGTTCAGGCGCCCAGCAGAACGACCCTGGGGGACTGGGGCGTCCCATCCCCCGCATATGTATCACCTGCACAAGGCAACCTTTGTCGAGTCTACAGAAGCCGAGACCTCGAAAGTATCGTCCAGGGGTGTGTCTCGTCGACATTTTACTGGCTCTAGTTGCAGGAATCCGGCATCCAGATGCAGATTCGGGAGACCACTGCCCCTGTCCGTACCATGCACGCATCTACATATGTACCTTGCCTTGGGCTTGTTGTTACAGCCTCAATGGCTTGTCGAAGCCCTGGTCAAGTGCGTCAAATTCTTCTAGCTGTCCTGCAGCCGTTACACACCCCGCTCATCCCTGAATAAATCATGCCTGGTTCGCCTTCTTTTTGCCTTCTCCTCATTCTCGTGTTCAGGCTACGACTCTTCGGCGACCCAGCCACTAGTGTAAGCCGGTTTATGCTTTTCACTGGACCAGAAACGATATTGTATAGATACAGTGGTTATCGACTCACCATTCCTTCTATCCAACCCAGCCAGGGCAACGGTCTCGATTGTCAACACTCGTGCACGGGAGGCTCAGCCAAGGTAAAAGTACTACAAGGCGGTTGAGTGCCACACAGTCGCGAAACAGACATGACCCCCCGAACAAATATCTTGTCCTTCGACGGAGGGGGAACCCGAGGCCAGACTTCCCTTATCATCCTCCAGGCAATTATCTCCAAGGTCAATTCGATCCTGGCCATCCCTGGCGTGACCCTGACGCCGAAAGATATCTTCCAAGCCATTTCCGGTACTAGCACTGGCGGCCTCATCGCCATCATGTTGGGTCGGTTCGGCATGAGCGTCGAAGAATGTATCGAGCAGTACGACACAATGGCGCTCAGGATCTTCAGCAAGCGGAAACTGCTAGGGTACCTTTCGAAGCGCATCTTAAACGACAAATACAGCAGCAAGCCCCTCCGGGACTGCGTTGGAGAACTGGCGGATAGGCATGCGGGTAACAAGGATGCTCCCATGCGTTCCGATCATTCAAATGGCAGGATCCCATGGTAAGTGCTACACCAATCCTTTCCACCTACCTAACGTGGCGCGTGGAGGGAAGCTGAGATCGAGTAACAGTACTGTTCTTACGTGTCGGCTGGAAAAAAAATCGTTCGCAGCAGAATCAGATGCCACTTTCATTTGCAGCCATGTCTGTGAGCCGGATCTTGGCGCTCTTATATCAGATGCTGCTCACGCCACCACCGCGGCCCCGTTCTACTTCCGAGAGTGTGTGCTCGGAGGACGGTTCTATATCGACGGAGGCTTTGGGCACAACAACCCTACCTGGTCAACGTACTGCCACTACTCCGACTTGGCGCTATCCGAGGCTTTTCGAGTGGTCAGCATTGGGACCGGCCGACCGTCGGAGGAGCAGCTTCAGGCCGAACAGGAGTTGCAACCGTCACAGATCGCCAAGGCAAGCCGATGGAAGAGCGTCAAGATGCGTCTCAAACGCCGCTATGGCTTAGCCAAGGGCATGATCCACGACAAAACACGTGCCGACAACCACGACGCTCTAATCGGCATGACAGATCCTGAAAAACTCGACTATCTCCGCATCGACGGCGCAATCGGGGTCAAGCAATTCCCTCTGGACGCGTGCGACCCGGAGAGCATGCAGCGGATGCGGAGCCTCACCGAGGCCTGGCTCCGACAAGCAGACGGCCAACGCCATATATCTGAGATAGCACAAGCGCTCGCAGACGACTGGAAGTCGAGGCAACAGAATATGCAAGCTCAAATCCAGACTCAAGCTCAGACTCAAGCTCAGACTCAAGCTCAGACTCAAGCTCAAGGGCAAGCTTCTGGAATGGACGGTCTATACATATCTGTACACGTTACAGATTCTCAGTATCAGCCTTCACATACGCAGACCATACCGCCACGACGGCCCTCTTTGTCCATTCCACTTCCACAGCCTAGCGCTGGTGCTTGCGTCTCGCCGAATGTTTCCTCAGGATCTGGGCCCGGGCATGGGCCTACACCATCCACCCCCGGTCTGACGCAAGACGTGACCCAAGCGGGACGGACAGAATCTGTACATTCTGTGGATGATGGGCCGTTTCCTCCACCACATGACGAAGCAGCAAATGTCGACGTCGACACGTTGTCTCAGCCATCAGCGATGGAAAGTGAGACCAAGATTGGACAGCAGTTCAGAGACTCCGGAGACATGATCGTCCACGTCCTTCCAGAAGCCGACGATTTATCTATATGATTTGATATATGATATTAGGTTTGAACGAATCTGAGCCTGAATCGGCATGGCACGGCAGGCACAAACATACGCCACAAAATATGGACACAGACAGAGACACAGACACAGACACAGACACGAAGAATAAGGCACCGGCATTGCATTACATCAGCATCAACATCAGCATCAGTATCAGTTAAGCACCTCATCTCAAGAACTTACCAAGGTTGGTATTGTCTCGAGGTGTTGAGAGACCGATATCTCCCCCCTTAACGACTGATCGCATCCATGGTCCATCCATGGATGGAACATGTATTCTGGAACGGTGGAAGCTCAGGTCCCTCTCGTCCATACGTACATGAATGGATGAATGGACGGATGGGTGGGTGGGTGGATGGATGTTCAGAATGTTCAGAATGTACGGATCTACGCATCTACGGACATACTGTATCTTATCACTATTTAGGTTGTTACTGTCTGTAGCTGAGAACAGAACAAACCCCAAAAGTTGGGCATGGCAGTGAATTGAGCACGATTATGATTAATGTCTCTGGAAGTGGTATTGATGGTAGCGATCTCTGGAAGTGGCATTGTAGCAGCAATCTCTGGATATGTGACAAATGAGTATACTGTATTGATCTAGTTCGTAGCCATCCAGGAAAGGCAACTCAGTTCTTTTGAACTCACGAATACAGGACTTACAGTATATAGGTATGTAGGTATGTAGGTAACCTACCATGCTTGGTAATAATGTCAAAGGTTGAAATATTCCATGTTCGCTTAGGTATCATAGGGGTACCTATGTAGGGAGCCTTAGCCCAGACTATGTAGTGTATAGTATACTATACCTAAACCAGCCTTCTGGTTAAAGAACAAGGCTGGGAATGTCTAAATTAGTGCCTACTGTAAGTTTGACAAATAAATAGTAAGATAGATAGTATACTAATACAGTACTACAGTACTATTGTATTCAGAGGCCCATGGTGAAGACTGAATCGGGTCCAGTATCATACTGTAACCATAATCATAATCATATTCATATTCAATACACTCAACTCTGTAAGAAGAGTAAAGTACCTGAAATACAGTCGCGTCGATCTGTATAGGTCTCAGATCGAAGATCGAACTCGAACTCGAGCTCAAGCTCAAGCTCAAGCACTTCACTTATTACCAGACGACACCGACATTCAATGTCGGCCCAGGCTGAGATGACCCTAAGCCTCATTAAAGATCAAGACTTCTGGTTGGTCACGTCGCTTATCGGCTTGATCCCATACTTCACCACGGGACTGTTCAGGAAGTTGGCGTAGTCATGGAAGGCCTCGGTCTGGGTCCTGGACACTTCCACCTCTTGTCTTCCTCGAGTGATAACATCTCGATCATACTCTGCCATGGCTTCTGCCAAAGTCGCTTCACTAGATTGGACCTTCACCATTGCAGCCACAAATCTTTCACTGTCGCAGATGGCATTGTTGGCTCCTTGACCTCGATCTGCAATGGCTGGTCAGCTTGTCGTGGTGAGAAGAGAAAGATAAGATAGATCAAAACAGTACTCACGAAATGTCATGCTGTGTGCAGCGTCCCCTGCCAGCGTGACTCGTCCACTTTGGTTGCTCCAGTCTGTCTTAGGTCCCCAGATCTTCAACGGTACAACTTTGGCTTGGACATGTTCAGGAATCCATTCTACTGCTGACTTATAAGGATCAGCCCATCCGTCCATTCTTTGACGAAGTTCGTCGACCATGTTCTGATTGTCAGAAGGTTCCGTTTGCTTGTTCTTCGGCCAGGTTGCGAGAAGGTAAAAGATCCACGTCTCCGGCTGATCGAGCACGGGCTTGTCGAGCAAGAAGATACCCACATACATGGATTTTGGATGCACTCCGACGTCAACGATGGGGTGCATCATCTTGTCCATCTTCAGTGCTTGCTCCGCCGTGTACCTGACGGGGAAATTGAGGAAGATGTAGGGAAGCACTATGGAGGCAGCTTCGTCTCCTAAGATCCAACGTCGGACGAAAGAGCTGCCTCCATCAGCACCGACAAGAACCGTTCCTTTCTCCGAAGTACCGTCGTGAAAGTGTGCCACCACTCCGTCGGTGGTCTGTTCAATGTCTGAGAGGGTTTTCCCGAACTACACCATTAGTATAGGCCGTGTCCTGGCGTCCTTGTCTCCTCACCTTGACATTGACATCTTTGGACCACAATGTTCTCGTCTTCTGGATATTGAGTCTTCTAACTCCAGGGAAGGGCGGCTGGACTAAAGTGGCACCAGACTGACCATCTCGAATGATGACACTCTCGAACCTGGCCGCCTTCGAGTCCAGATTGGGATCAGGTTGACACTCTGGGAGTCGACTGAAGAGTTCTTTGGGGAGAAGCTGAGCCAGGAGAGGATGGCTCCATGCGATGGTCACTCCCCAGTTGCGGTCACGAGGGGCGCTCTCCTTGTCAACAACGACATAGTCGATTCCGTTCTGCTTCAGTCAGTCTGGGAAGTAGGATTCGTTCGTGCCAGAGATGCAGGCCTTTTTTAATCCCTGGGCGATCGCTAGACCCGACAATCCTGCGGGGCACCGAGTCAGTGGCAGCAAGCAAAGTTGACGAGGAGTTAAGGCCGACAATTCACCCCCTTACCTGCTCCTATGACGATCACTCGGTGTGGTTGGCTCATTCGGGCGGTCCAAGTAAAGGTTCCAAGATCAAGGTCACAAGACGCAAGCGAGCGCAGGCAAACGGACAATATCAATAAAAGATAAAAGTGAAAGTGATACGAGACCCACGAGGCTCAGTTGAGTATATCTAGTCACTCCGAGTCGTTGGGTATGTGCAAGATCAAGATTGCACGCAGACAAACACAACAACAGAAGTACTTCCAGCCTCATTTCAGCCGTACCTGCCTAGATATGTGACACAACACACAATAACAAGGTCATTCCTAGCTCTTTTTGGCACACCGCCACTCCTCACGCCGTACCCTGATTTTAAAGGGAACGACGCAGAGTTACAGCTGATTTGGCCAATCCGACACGCACTCCCGCTGTCATCCCCCAGACTCTGCAGGGGTAGTACGGGCGGACGTCCGCCTAGAGTAGCTAGGACGAAGTCAACCGTCGACAACTCTTGCCGATCATCAGCTGTCAACACGGCAGTGTACTGGCTACGCGTCTGGAAGTGAAGCGGGGGTGGTAGGACGCGTTCTGCTACAAAGGTTGAAGGGCTGCTGACTCAGGATACAGAGCATCTCCTGTCCCCCATCCTCCGTGGCACGTCGTCCCTCTTTCTTTCGTTCTCCCGGCACTCCTCAGCATATCTCAAGGCAGTGGGTGGAGACGGATCCGAGGCCGACCATGGCTATCATCGAGTTTGCCCACATCAGCCTCAAGAACGGCCTGACTGCGTCGGACCAGACATTGAAAAATAACACCAAGGAGGTCAAGAGGGTGATTGAGGAATACAGCAGTCTACCGACCCTGTTCTACACGCAGATTGATGAGCCGTCCATCATGTTTGTAATCGGAGCGTGGGAAAGCAAGGACAAACATCAGTACGGATTCAACGGGTCGCCTCAGCAAGACAAGATCCTCGAATTGATCCAGGACCAAATGGGCATTGACTGGATGCATTATATGGATGTGGACCAAGCCCGCATTCCAGTAGATGCACCGGTGCTGGCAATCATCAAGGAGACACTCCCCAGGCATACCCACCAGATGGCCTTCGACCAGGACTTTGCACGGGCTACTCAGACTTTGGGCGATGCAAGATACGGCGCTGTATCGGCGTGGAACATTCGCAAAGATGAGCATGAAGAGACTGTACGAGCCAACTTTTCGGGCTGGCAGTCGATCGATGAGGCGATGAAGGGGATTGGCAGCACAATTGAGGATGCGAAGAAGTTCAGAGTGAACCCAACAGGCCTGGATTTCTTCTTCCTGGAGAGGACACAACTGGAATAGTAGTTGCATAGCACATGGAGGATTGGTAATGATCAACTCTGCTTTGCAGGATGCTGCATCATGATGCATGTCTACCCTGGTTTGTATTTTGACTGCCCCTCACAATAGACTACAAGAGAGTCTGAGAGATTCTCCTCTGCCCTACTGTATCTGCAACTCACATAAATCCTCACTTATCCACCACCGCCAGCCTCTTGGTTCTAGTTCGAGCCGTTGTGATCAAGTTGAATACAGTCCAGGCTCCGGTGCCAACAAGGCATGTTACACGGGAGAGTGACAGTGCAAGAGTGAAACAAGAGCTGCCTCTCAAAATACTCAGAAGCCGCACGCTACAGATCGACCTTAATCAATCCATCAAGTCTATCCCACGGCCACTCACTGCAACTATCTTACAACTACGCTGTTGTCCTCAACCATGACTTCCACAGACACCTTCACAGCGGCTCTGCGCGACCTCATCTCGGCCAACCACATCCTCCACCACCATGGCGTTGTCGATGCATACGGCCACGTCTCGATCCGCCACCCAGCAGACCCCGACCTCTATATAATGAGCGGGTTCCTAGCGCCGGCATTAGTCTCGTCGCCGGCAGACCTGATCACCTACCACGTGTCGGACTCGAGCCCAGTCGACCCGAACGCCGGAAAAGGGTACTCGGAACGCTTCATCCACGGGGAGCTGTACAAGCGGTTTGCGGGGGTCAACTGCGTCATCCACTCGCACGCCGAGGAGGTGCTGCCGTACGTGGTGACGGATGTTAAGTTGCGCCCCATGTACCACATGGCGGGATTCCTGGCCAGCCACGGCAACGGCGATGGCGTCAAGGTATTCGACATCGACGCGCTCTACCGGGACGGCGAGCAACGGGATATGCTGGTCAAGAACTCGCGGTTCGGCGCCGCGCTGGCCGACATGTTCGCCACCAGCGACGCGAGCACCAGTGGGAGTGGGCCCCGATCAGAGACGCCGGACGAGTCGGTCGTCCTGATGCGCAAGCATGGCTTCACGGTCGTGGGCCGCGATGTCGTCACGGCCGTCTACCGCGCCATCTATACCCGCATCAACGCCGAGGTCCAGACAAAGGCAATGGCCACTGCTGGCTTTCAGGGCCTCACCTCCGAGCAGAGCAAGGACTGTGCCGTCATGAATGAGGAATATCAGCAGAAGCCGTGGAAGTTGTGGGTCCGTGAGGTCGAGCGCTTGCCGTTGTATGAGAACACGTTGAGCGAGACGAGAAACTTTGCTTGAGAGAAAGAGAAGAACAAAGGCTTCGGATGTGAGGTTGGGCTCTGGTTAATATGCTGCCATGACAATAGTCGATTGGGGTGGAAAGGAGAGCGGTACAGGAATGAGCGTGTTTACACATCAAAGGGCGATGGCAATGGCGGAAGGTCCTGAGCAATCTCAGGCCTAGAAAAAGCAATTCATGAACATGAAACGACGGTAGTATGGGGTTCAGCGCCAACATTCGATGCATGAAGCAATGAGATACTCAATGACAGTGTAATTGAAAACGGTCCCTATAAGAGAGTATTAATTGCCTTGACAGTCATCCCGGCCCGTGCACGCATTGTTGTGCCGACCGATTCCGCTTCAAGCCACCGAGCAGCCAGTAAACCATGAAACCGAAATCATTTCCTTTATACTCCTTGGACGCGAACTGGATCAAACTTCAACACCACTGACCCAGGCAATGGCGGCCCTGACTATGCGTTCGACAACATCCACCTCGGCTGCAGTGCGCGGCGTATACAACATGACCCAGCCCTTGTCGACGCCAGGCAGCGGGAAGCGCTGGCCCCATTTCTTCTCGACGATGGTCTTCGCATCGGCCTCGCTGACCCAGACGTGGAAACTTAACTCGGCGGGGTGGTGATGGGCAATTTCACTGGTGAGAATCCTGTCGTGCTTGGCCTTTTCATTGAGCGTCGGTAGCGAGGGCTTTGCGTAGATAGCATCGGCACTTCCGCCTTCAGTCTTGCTGGGCTTCAGGTCCAGAATGTCCGGGTACTTTGCGGCGAAGGTGGCCGTCATCTCGCTCACTCTCTCTGCCACTCCGGGCTCGATGGTGCCTGGCTTGTACGGCATTTGGCGTTGTGGCATCGTGCGCGACACAAGCTGCGGCCTGCTCCCTTGGCGTACGGGGATGCTGCCGGCATCGAGATATCTGCGACCTGAGCCTGACAGTGGTGTCGGGTCGGTAAGGTCGTCCTTGCCCAGCAGCAGCATCCGGTGGATTCGAAGCTTGGTCATGCGCCAGTATCCTGCCCAAGTGGGTGGCGTACCACCGGTGCCGAAGGCTTTCCAGTCATGGAAGTCCTGAACTATCCAGGCGAGAGAGAGCGTCAAAGCAACGGCGGTGGAGGTGAGAGCCGCACTGCGCGGACGGGCCTTGATGCTGTCGATGAGGTGGTGGGAGTATGTGCTGATGGTTGAGATGATGGTCGCCATAGTGGGCGAATCTGAATCTCGAACTGGAGAGCCGCTCGTCTCTGAGAGCACTTGGGCGTTTCAAGCAAATGCAATGAGGTTCAGTTCATAACAATGGACAGCTGCGGTGCCTGAGGCTGGAGAGACACAGGCTAAGGGTCCTAAGGCCTTAGGAGCCTCCTTTTGGGGAGGGTGGAGGTGGGGTGAGATTGCCGCTGCTTTAACGGGCGCAGACAAACACGGGGGATACTTGAAGAGACTGTTTTGTACTTTGATAAGCTGTTCAGCCGAATGCTGCTGGGAAACTGAGGTCTTAAATACCATGCTCAAGTCACCAGGTGGGGGAGAGAGGAACATTCACACCTCATCAGGTCCACCGCGACCGTGCAGACATCCTGATATGACGTCTGCAGGTGTACAGACACAGCCTGAAGTACCTACAGGTATTGTTGTGAACCTAGGAGTGACAGCCGGGCAGGCGATCGATAGGCTTAGGCTAGCAGAGAGGCGCTGCTCGTGTTGATCAACACTGGCAAGGAAGAGCTTCCTTCAACAATCAGCATCAACGAGGTGTCTACTGTCCAGGGTAGAGCAATCTATGTATACTCCGTACTCATATTGCGCATCTCATCTACTACGCGCACTAACTTTTAGCCCCCGTTTCTTGAGCTCCATCGGCATCATTTTTCGCCGGCGCCACCATGGAAGTTCATCGTCCTCTCTTCGTTACTTAGCCGGCCGGTCTCTGGCTCGAGTGTAAGCTGTAAGAGCTTCACCAGCTGTACATTTTGTCAGTCAATATGTCTGCTCCTGTGTCCAAGGGTCTGGCTCGCGCGCTGCGCCGGGCAAAGAGACCTTCAATCCCTCGAGCCCGGCAAGCACACTATGCCCGAACCCTCCACGAGCCAATGCGCCAGTTCTCCAGTACGCCCCGACAGCGAGATGACACCAGCGAACCGAAGCACCATGTCAAATACACCACGGACATGTATCCCTCTCTCCAGCGCGATGCCAAGTACTCCAAGATCACGGCCGATCACGTCGCGTTCTTCAAGTCGGTCCTGGGCGACGACGCAGCGGTCATCGACGGCGTGACCAAGGATGCCGCCGATGATATCGAACCTTTCAACAGTGACTGGATGAGGAAATATCGGGGTCACACATCGTTGGTTCTCAAACCCAAGAGCACGGACGAAGTGAGCAAGGTGTTGAAATACTGCAACGACCACAAACTCGCGGTGGTGCCACAAGGAGGAAACTCCGGGTTGGTGGGTGGGAGCGTGCCTGTATTTGACGAGATTGTCATCTCTCTAGCCCGCATGAACCAGATCCGCAGTTTTGACGATATCAGTGGTATCCTTGTGGTAGATGCAGGAGTCATTCTGGAAGTGGCCGACAATTTCCTCGCCGAACACAATCATCTGTTTCCCCTGGATCTTGGGGCGAAAGGATCATGTCATATTGGTGGCAATGTCGCGACCAACGCCGGAGGGTTGAGATTATTACGGTACGGGTCGTTGCACGGAAATGTTCTGGGCCTCGAAGCTGTGCTTGCAGACGGTACGATAGTCGATGATCTGGGCACCTTGCGCAAGAACAACACGGGCTACGACTTGAAGCAACTCTTTATCGGGGGAGAAGGAACCATTGGCGTCATCACCGGGGTGTCGGTAATCTGCCCGCAACGATCGAAAGCCGTCAATGTGGCTTACTTTGGTCTCCCGTCTTACGAGCACGTGCAAAAGGCATTCAAGGAAGCCAAGGTCCAGCTTGGCGAGATTCTGTCGGCCTTTGAACTGATGGACTCGCAGAGTCAGGGCTTTGTACAGAGAGTCACGGGCAACAAAAGACCACTGGAAGGCGATCATCCCTTCTACTGCTTGATCGAAACCAGCGGGTCCAACACCGACCACGACAGCGAGAAACTGGAGAAATTCCTCGAGTATGTCTTAAGCGAAGAGATCGTCTCGGACGGCGTTTTGGCTCAGGACGAGACTCAGGCCAAGTCGCTGTGGCGATGGAGAGAAGGCATCACCGAAGCCATTGGCCATTGGGGCGGCACCTACAAATACGACCTCTCCATCCCGATCCAGGATCTGTACAAGTTGGTGGAGGAAACGCGCGAGAGACTGACTTCGAAAGGCTTGATTGGCGACGACGACTCTCACCCGGCCCTCGGAGTGGTCGGTTATGGACATATGGGAGACGCCAACTTACATCTCAATGTTCCCGTGCGAAGATACACCAAGGAAGTCGAAGAGGCCATAGAACCGTGGGTGTACGAATGGATCCAAAAGAGAAACGGAAGTATCAGCGCAGAGCACGGCTTGGGCATTGCCAAGAAGAAATACATCGGCTACAGTCGCAGCGACACCATGATCAAGCTGATGAAACAGATCAAGAACCTATACGACCCGAACGGCATTATGAACCCGTACAAATATATATAAGGTAGATATAATCCGTACAAGGTATATATAAGGTAGATATAATCCCGCGAAGATCAGAAAGAGAAAAAAAAGGGAAATGTCCATCACTGTCACTGCCACATTGTCCCCTCTACGACTGCGAGAAAGACCAGCCGGGTCACATCCCGTCTGATGAGCCGAGCCTGGCTGGTCTCTCAGGAGGTCGGGTCTGGATGAATTTACAGGGTCTCGTCTCGTGGGTAGTGATGAAAGAATAGATGATATTTGATAGTTGATAGTTGAGACATACTGCTACAGCACAAGCACAAGCAGATACTGTAAAAAGCTGTCACCGGCGACCTCTATCCTTCTCCCTCTTCTCTTTGCCGCGTTTCCGTTCGAGCTTCAACTCCTTCTCGCGCTCGCGCGGATCTATCACCACCAGTTCCTCTTCATTCTTCCTCTTCCACATCAGATCCTTGCCGAGCCGGTCCTTGGCAAACGTCAGCGAATGGCTCATCCATTGGCCCCCATCGTCGTCGTCGGCGAGCTCGGCGTCTGCGCCGCCGCCACCCTCGTCCCAGCGCGAACATGACTGACAGTTGGCGATGAAGTGCAGGTCGCACAGAGCGGCTTCTTCGTCGTCGGCTGGAACCGGTTGCGAGGTGACCGTGGCGTCAGGGTCGTTTGGCGGTTGTGACTGCGGCTGTGACTGTGGCTGTGGCTGTCCGTTCTGTGTGGATTTGTTCGTGCCCCCCTTGCCTGAGTTGTCGGCCTGCTCGAGCCGTGCCTTGAACGCATTCAACATCTTCAACGCGCTCGCCTCGTCTTTGGCGTTAGTTTGGCCCGGCCGAGGCCGTTTGCGGCCCCGCGTACTCGTCGCGGGAATCAGAGCCTCCAGTGCGGATTGCTTGCGCGTCGTGTCGCCAACCGTCGTCGACACGTTTCTCCGCATCGATGCTTTCAGTGCGGCAATCTCGGCTTCCAGGGACGATGTCTTCGTCTTCGACGTACCTTGGCCAGGCTCATCCGCTGGCGTGGGCGAGCGTGACGGTGATTCTGGGTCTCGGAGGGGAAGTTGGGTCGTCGGGTCGTGGAAGGATGGTTTGCGGCGATGGTCTGGGGATGCTGGTGATTTGGGTGGAGGACTGGCTTTCCGCTTTCGTGGCACGGTCTGCGAAGGGGATGGTGATCTTTCTTTTCGTTTCGCTGCCGCCGCAGGAGCCGAGTTACTCTTGGGTCCAGTACCGTTCTGGGTTGGTCGGTCAGGCGTGGGTGTATCATCTGCATCAATCAACGCAGGATTGAACTTGGCCTTCTTCGGCCGTACTGCGACTTGGCCGGCGTCGTCGTCGCCCTCGTCGCCTCCGAAACTGAGCAGGGTCTTTCCGCCCTTTTTCTTCGGCGCCTTCTTCTTAACAGGAGCCTCCACGACACGTTGGGCCACTTTCTCTCTCTTCCGCAGCTTTTGCCATGCGTCTCCCTTGGGCAATTCGATGATTTCGGCTCTCAGAATCTTCTCAGGGTATAAGGGCCTCTCGGTGCCTTCGGCCAGTTCGCCCTCGGCAACCTTGACCACGTTGTAGATGCCATCTCCCTCGACCCTTCCAAACATGGTGCATTTGCCATCCAGCTCGGCCCTGCAGTCACCCAGTGTGATGAAGAATTGGCTGCCATAACCACCCCCGGGGCCGTCACCCGTCCCTTTGGCCAAACCCACCAACCCTCTCCGATTGAACTTCAGTCTGCTGTGCAACTCGTCCCCGAACGTGATCTTCTCGTCCTTCTCCCGCCCCATGACTCTCGCCCAGTCCTCGTCATACTGTTCAAACTCGCGGTCTTCGTATATGCTCTGCCCGCCTTCTCCTGTTCCGGTAGGGTCCCCTGTTTGAATGACGAACCCCGGCGACACGCGGTGGAAGATGTTGTCCGTATAGTCTCCGTCAATGACATGTTGCAGGAAGTTCCGGCATGTCAACGGTGTCTGTTTCGCGAACAGGGATATCGTAATCGGGCCCGCGGTCGTGTGGAGGAGAACTGATGCGGTCGGAGGAGGCTCAGTCGTGTAGTGAGACGACATGGTGGTTTAACAGCAACACGGGTCTTGCGCGCTATCTGCATCATCCACGCCCAGTCAGAGTGTGGACGAGCCCTGAATACATGTAGACTGAGCGCCACGAGACCGTCAACATCAGGTTTGGAAAATGTACGGAGTAGCAGCAGTTGCAGAGAGAATATTGGCACGTGACAGTAAAATCATATCACGTGGCATTATATTGATGGCTTGGCATTTTTGTATGTTCCGAGTCTGCATCCAGTTGCTCGCCATCCTAAAAACTAGGTTGTTATGTGTATCCGTACATGCAAACATCAGACCTCGAGGTGCGGGCGGTCCTTCGAAGGAAGGATTTGGTCGATATAGGTCAAACGCCCTCTCGCTCTCGATGTATCCTAAACAAGGTATGCGCCCCGTCTGAGACACCACAACAGTGCAGGTCTTGGTAGGCACACCCCCCTCCCCCTTGGTAAATGCTGGTTCCTTTCCCAGCATCAACTCAGACCGCAGCTGTCTGAGTATTTACAAGTTGTGCATAGGATCATGTTCCAGCCATCATTCGTTGGCGATCGTACTCGATCCTCCGCCCTCTAGCTCGCTCAGCACTTTCGTCCCAACCACGGTCCCCTGAGTATCCAAATATATGGCAGCAATCACGCTTAACCCATTGAACGGAGTATACAAATACTCGAGCTCCCGAACATTCTCGTCGTTGTAAAGGACGGCCCTCTCGTGACCGGTGAAGGTCATGTCATGCCAGTATGACCCGACGACTTGAGAACCATAGACAGAGCCGTCGTTGTGCAGGGACTGGTCGACAATGTCGCCAGACTGGGTCAAGATGCGGTTTGTATGGGTGTTGCCGCTGTAGTCGTTGACCGAATACAGGATGCCCTCGTCGAGGTTGAAGGAGCGAGCGCTGAGATCACTTGACGCAGAAGAAGTGTCTCCGCCGAGGGTGTCGTTGACGAGGCTGCCCACGTCCGTACCGAGGGTTGCGATGATCGGATTCAAATCAATCGAGTTCAGCGTGTCATTGATCATCCACAGCACGTTTTCTAGGCGCGCTTCCAACTCTACTTTGGCAGAGACATTCTGGATGGTCAGTGCGACGCGGTTGATGCTCAGGTCGACACCCGCGTTGAACTGGAGCAGCGACAACACTTGGACATCGAGATTGATCTTTGCCGTCAAGTTGGACACCGTAATGTCGATTTCGCCCACGTAGACGGTTGCGTTCAGGAACACGTCGGGCGGGGTCGTCGCCGTGCCGTTGGATGTGTCGGTGTTTGCCGTCTCATAGACTGCCGAGTCTCCATCGCCGGTCACAGAGAGCGTATAGCCTGTGTAGCCATCGTCCGAGGCGAGGGTTTGAGAGGTGACATATGTAAAAAACGTACAGAGAACAGCGAAGAGCAATAGATGGACCATGACAAGCTGAATCAAATGGTATCTGACCTGCTGTGACTGAGGAAGATGCTGTGAAGGATTCTGCAGATGATGCGGCAAACCGGTTATAGACTCTACGTTGTGCCTATTGAGGCGCCGGTGAGAGGGATGATACGAGTACAACACAGGAGATTGTTCCACACCCGCAACGAACTTGGTTGCCATTTGGCTGGATGACAACCCACGTCTGGCCAGGACAAGAACTTTCGGCAGTTGGGCGTTTCTGCTTCGAACCAGGATTCTTCCCTGCATAACGGCCTGCCTTCAACCACCCAACAGGGGCATTGGTTGCTCTGATCTCGCCTCCGGCAGGTCTATACCGCATTCGACCCTTGAAACCCGGGGGTTAAGTCACATCCGGGGTTCACTACAGGGGTACCCATGGCGCTGAGCAGATCATCTTTGCCACTTGCCGAAATGTGAAACGCGGAGCACGCCCTGCCGCAAAGACATGGCAATCTTCCACGGGCAAGCGACAATACGGTGGGAAATTGCAATGCCGAATGTTGAAAGCCTGTCCCGTATACGGATTCGGAGTATTGGCCCTGGAGGGTGAGATATATCTCGGGCAGGCGGCAGTGTGGGTGACATGCTCCGACTGTTGCGACCCTCTGTATGTGCAATACCCGCTTTACGACCAGACCAGCACGAAGATGTTCTACAACACCATGGCACGGGTGGTTACCGCCGTTCTGTGCTTCTGGATATGTATGCTGGATTGTGTCGTCTTTGCACAGAATGCCACCATTACGTCAACCAATGGACCAACCACGGCTGGCACTTCATCGACAGGAGCAGGAACGGGAACGGCAAGCGCTGTCTCGCCCTCGGCCACGCCTCCAGATGTCTATCTCAACGTTCCCAACCTCTCTGTCGGCCGCATCGAGCTGGACGTGGACGATCTCCGGGCCGAGATCAACTTGAACGCCCAAGTTGCGTCGCTGGTGACGCTGAACGCCGGAGTAGCCGTCTCCATTCAACAAGTCAACCTCACCATCGTGGATGTCGCGGCGGAACTGGAGCTGATCGTCCGTCTCAACCATCTGGTCGACATTGTGAATCGCGTGTTCGAGTCCCTGGACCTCAATCCGCTTCTCATCTCCACCATCAACAATGTCACCTCGGTGCTGGAACCGATTGTCGGGGCAGTCGACGGCCTTCTTGGTTCCGTCACCCAGGGCGGCACCACTGTTTCCTTCCTCATCGACAATCTGGGAAACATTGTGCAGGAGGTGGGCGGCGCCAGCACCATTGTCGGTGATTACCTGACAAACATGACCGACACGGGAGTCAGTCAGACACTGTCTGGTGGTCTGATTGAAAAGACCTATTCGTATTCACCGCTCAATGCTCTGGTGGATATTGTGTTCAATACCGCCGGTCAAGTCGTGCAGGCATCTGTGGAAAAGAAGACAGCAGCAGCGACTGGGACGGCCAGCTCCAGCTCGGTTAGTCCGACTACAACCTCTGCAACGACACAGTCGACCGGCGGTTAGGCAAGGGCGCGCTATAGTTTTTCGTTCGGACTTGTGTTGGGATCTTTGAAAGTATTCATCTAGCAGCCGGAATTATTGTATCCGTCACGAGGCCATGCTGCAAGGTATTGCGAGGGTATTGCGAGGGTACTTGTAATCGTACTCTGTACTCTATATTCAGCCCCTGGATCTGCAGCTGCAGCTGCATCTCCATCTCCATCTCCATCTCCATCTCCATCTCCATCTCCATCTCCGCCAATTCACTCACTGCTCATTCGGCAAACCGGGGAAGTCTTCATCCACCGTGATCCGATAGGTGGGCAAGTAATGCGCGTACAGTACGAGTAGGGAGTATATATTAGGTTAGTATCTAGTATCTACTAACGTGCATGATAAGCGAGTGAAACAGACAAGCGAGTGAAACACCTCAACCCGACCACCTCGACATTTTTGACCTACACGCAACCACAACGCATAGAAATGTTTGTAACTACTTAAATTCCTCTTCTTCAGACGAAGTAATCACTACTTGACAGGTTCTAGAGTTGTGTCCGACGTTGCCGCAGACACCACACCGTCGCGCGCGCGTTT